CACTGACTAAACATACGGGTTCCAGAAATAAAGCGAGCCAAAGTCAATAATTTTGAAATAATCATTCCTGATGAGCTCATATAATTCTGACTAGCTCACTTTCTATTTGATCAATATTTGATCAATGATCAATATAGACAAACAATTTTAATTTATGACCAAAAATAAGATTTTTTGCGAATTCCGATCTGCTCATTTGGTCTAGAAAGAAACTTAAGTTCAGTCTAAAAAACACTCAATAATATTCTAACAAGATTTATACTAATCCCCGTCCCCCTCCCACCCCACCTCCTCTAAACGTTTATGGCCCCCTAAGCTCATGACGCAACTGCTTCTTGCAAATAGCTTCCGAATCATTTACTTAAGTTTGTAAACTTACTGCCACATTCTTTAAGTCAAAAGCACCTTTCATGACAAAATTTGGACACTTTATCTAATTCTAATTTTTAGTCTAGATGCCGTGAATACGCTTTACACTTACTCCACAAACAAAACCTCCAGTATTTTAGGCAAAGAGTCTTTTTCCAGTACCAGAATTGCTTGAAGATCTGGGGAATTATCAATTACTTGGTTTGGAAAAGTTGCACATAAAACTGTCTGCGTGCACTATATCGCACAATTCGTTACTTAAAGAATATTTCACGATCAACTTCAGGCTGTTTTAAAAATCAATGTAAACGAGAAATTCGTGTATTTTTAATAAATAAAAAGGGCCTAAGCTCACAGTCTAAGACACTCAAATGTTATATTGTTAGCTTGTCAGAAACATTTTGTTTGTACGAATGTTTTCTTGGAAGAAACCTTCTGATGTCATAGGCTAGATTGATTAAATCATTTCGTGTGAATCGATCTTTGTCAAGCGCGTCAAACACGTTATTGTTTTTAACATGAAAAACAGCCAACAGTATTAACATTTTCTTTCTTTATCTTTTTGTGACGTAAGCAATATAAATCCAATCTGTTTCAATAATATAGCCTGGATTAATAGTTTATTTTAGGCGAAGGGAATTAAATTAACACCTGGAAAAAATTAAGTGTGAAAAATCTCCTCAGTTTTTATTCTCAACCAAAATGTACTGGATATCTTTCTCTATTCTAATTTCATTCAGGTTTCCCAACCAAGCAAACTTCTCATGTATTTATTTGTTGAATCTCGCTCAAACTGTATTACACGCTAACAAAAAATGACACAAATCTGTCTGTTTGTTCATGAATACTTTTTAATATTTTTCATTTATACTCAACCAGTAAATATAACTCACCGAGGCTTGAAGAGGATACCAAGGTGTAGCAAAGTAGAATTTAACTCGATGAAAGAAGCAAAAGAGGTTGATTATCTTCATAGCTGTGATACAGGTGCCATTGTAGTTTAGACATCAACCCGCATGTGCAAATTCCAATCTTTTATTGTAAACAATAACCTGCAGTACAAGAAGCTTTGAAACATCTAGTTCTGCGATATCTATAAACACAAATTTCCTAGTTGTTTCAAAGTGATAAAACATTGAGAACTGACTAAAGATTATCGCAATTTGGAATCTAAATAACAACAAGGCTAGTCTAAAAGAAACTTTCGAGTATTTTATGATAACAATGAAGTAAGTTTTCTCAATTGAAAAGGGTTTACACAATTAATTCATTAAGCAAGATAATACGGCAGGTAGCAAACTGCAAACTCAAGGTCAATGCTTTGAAAGAGCGGAGCATTGCTGTAGAGAACGTGCAAGTTGTTTCCGTGTCAATGGGCGTGAACATGTTCATCAAAACGAGATTCATAATGGCAGCAACATAATGGCAGCAATAAAGGAGGCAACGAAATAATCATGGCATCAATTGCTACTCTTGTAGAACATGAAAACGAGGAAGAAAGAAAAAGTCACCATGTCATGCTTTGACAAACTCATGGACAATAAGCATAAAACCGATTTAACTTTAGAGACTAGGAATGGACTAAGTTAAATTAATTCTTAATTTAAATAAATTCGACTTTCTGGTATTGTATTACAAATTTGTATCGGTTAACCTTGTGATTAATTTGTTATTTTGAAAACGGCATTCCTTTCCCCAGAAGATTCATTATGATTCTTGCGTTCTCGAGATCCTGCTGTAGATATTTACAGAGCAAGCTTTCCTTTTCTGCTTGAGGAAAGAAAGTTCACTATTAAATGATGTGCCGTGCGAGATGCATAAAAAAAATAAGTAACTTTTAAAAAGTCAATCAGATTCAACGTACGGCAAAAGCATGAGACTTTTGAATTTTCTTCCCGCGATGTTTCACTCTCGCTCCTTTTTTTAAGATTGTATCATTCTTGATTCAGACTCTCTTTTAAAAATCGTCCTGAATGCCCTGCAACCTTTTCGAAAAGAGATGCCTTCGCATTTTCCTCATGACACTCAGAGATTCAGATTCCCAGATTCCTCTTTTAAAAACACTAATTCATCATAGAATTTCAATTTTTTCGGGCTTTTGTCTCGCATTTCCTCGATTCCCAATTAAAAGCCGAGCGAAGAGAATAGGAAGATTTTCAAAAAAACTTTTCTGATTAAAGAATTTCAGATTCACATTCGTTATGCGTATCGGGAGGTCTTGAACGCTGATATGTGACCTCCACCCAGTCGCCAAACAGATACAGGTCATGCGCTGTTGAGTTTTCTTAAATATGATGTCACAGGAAAGTCGCTAAACTTGATTAGTAGAAAGTAAAAATCATTGCCAGGTTTATCAGACGTTTTTTACTACAAATTACCACTAAATTAAGCTATCTAAATATCGATAATAGAACAAGTCAAAAAATGGCTTAACTAAAATAAATAGCAAAGTAAAAAAAGGCTATTTCACCAAATGAATCTGAATACAATATAAATGGGAATTGCTGTGCGTAAGTGCAAATATATGGTTTATAGCAAACAAAATTGCAAACAAAAGAGTGGTTTCGAAGTTTGCTAGAATAGCTAAAAGTGATGCAAGAGGAGCGAAAGAATCGATAAAAAATCGCAAAACGTAAAGCCTCAGAAACTAAAATGATGTGGAATTAGGAACTGATGGCCTGTTGGGTTGTAATCAGTCCATGGAAATAGTTAGCTTTCAGCGAATGTTTAAGTATCAAAATCGTAATCCAGGCGAGCCAATTTGTGGCGACCAATACGTATTGGCTTATTGTTTAAGATTTTCCAGTTATATTAAAAACAGCATGCTTGTCATGGCGTTGTAGCACTTTGTAAGGTTCATGGTATGGAGACTGTGCTAGCTTGCGAATGTCATCATGACGCACAAAGACATATTTACAAGTTATCAAAGCAGATGGATGATGAGACTCGGCAAGTTGCTAGCGAAGTGGTGTAGACCAATGTTTTGCAAGTTATATTGAAAAAGCTGTGCATAAATTGCAGGGTCGAGAACACAAGAGTCTGGAGAAGATGCAAAAGATTGCCAGGAATATGCAGGCTACACCAGTAAACTAGCTGCGCGGGAGTGCAATCCAGATCTGGTTTCAGAAGCGTCCGGAAGCTGAGAAGTACACGGCAGACTCTCGTATCAATGATCAACGGGATGGGTCAAAAGATGCCTTCATTGAGCTCTTGAGTTGACGATGGGGGCTCTCAACCATGTCACAAAGATGATAGGCTGTTGTGTCGATCCGCTAACTGAGCACCGCGATAAGTCATGACGATAGCAGGAAATCCATCGGGTGACAAAAGATGGGGCAACTGGTTCAACTGTTATGTCAGCAAGTGGAGTCGCTTCCGGTCATCGTGTGAAACGATCGATGCACTTCAGGAGATATTTAAAACCTTGAGCTTGAGGAAGGGGTCCAACGCAGTCGATGTGTATGTGGTCTAAACGAACATCTGACGTGCAAAAGGAACCAGATCATTCAGGTACGTTTTGATGTGCTTTGGTAAAGACAAAGTCAAGTACGCAAATGGACAGGTAAACAGCCAAAATTCACTACCGAAAGTAATTTCTCGAGAAGGGTTTTTTATGGAGACTTTGTGTGCGTGAGAGCAAACATTAGGCGTGCTAAAGAGAATAATGACTTAGTACCATTTACAGATAAATTGGTTGTGGTGTCAATTATCTTACGTTGGCGCACATCCATATTTAAGTCAGCGTTAGGAAGAAAATCAGCACCAATAGTTGAGGTTTTTGAGCGCTTGGAGAGTGGTAGAAAAGGATGTTGCTTTTCAAACCGTGAAGAAGGAGTATTACTAACATCAGCGCCTTTGTTAACAAGGACATGTGTGCCCGTGGGACGGACTGTGCCATAAAATGGTTGACTTTTGTGCAATGTACCACTTCTCACCTCTAGCGGGGAAGTCTTCATGAAGCTGAGATACTTAGGTCTGTATTGTGAAGGAGCATGGCGGAATGCATTTACAGGCAGCAGAGCAAAACGCAAGTGGTACCGACAATGAGAGCTTACGTGACGTTCAGCTTGAACAACGATGTGGAAAGCGGGACTGCGACTAGAAGGGCCAAAACCAGATTGTGAAGGATAGCAGTTATAGCCTTGTGATGAAAAGGTGCTTATTTGTTGATGGAGCTCGGCAATTCCGTTTGGCGGTACTGTGTTCGAGGCAGCCATGGTCGAAAAGGCTGCAATAAGGGCTGCAGGAGAGGCTACTTCTATTATTTTATCAGCAAGTATTGCTGAATTGTCATTGGAAACAGACTCTGTGAAAAGGCTAAAATTGGCTGAACATTGATAGGCACAGCGATGTAGAAACAACTGTCTTAGAAGCTGACGCATTTTTCAGAAGAATTGTGAGGCTTTCTGTCGCCAAGTTTCGGAGATCAAAAGCTGGTGAAGACATTTTTGCTAAAAAGCTAGAGTGTGTTTTATCAGTTCTGTTTTCAGGTGATCGTACCACCTCCCTCCCTCCCCCCCCCCCCGCCCCATCAAAACATACACGATTGTCAACGGCTCTTCCTCGACGCAACAAATGTAGCATCTGAGGTATCAGAAAGTCGCAACTGAAGACAGTCTCAATGAAATGTCTCAATGAAGATCAACAATGCTGATCGAAAAACATCACTTTTACGCAGAATTTCAACACGAAGGGACCACTTACTCATTCTACACATAAAATCGTGAAAATATCCTATTTGATAACATAAAGAAAGCATTTAACAGTAACCTTACTACCCATCACATACGAAAGAGACTGCAGAAAGCTGCTTGGTGACAAACATCTCTTGCAAAACCTTATTACAACACCACAAACCTTTTAACCTTTTTAGAATAAGTTATTTAAGATAAAATTCTCAAAGCAAATGGCTTAAACTGATACAGCTACAGAAATTTACGAAACTGTGCTAAGATAAAGTCAAGGCCATCCAATACGATTGAAACGGGGGACGTTTTGATGAAGACATAGCTACAATCCAGGATCGACAGTGACTCTCCTATTAGCGCGCCAACGGATGAGGGGAGAGGGGGATAAAATGTTGGGCCATGCACGACACTACCAAGAATGTGTTAAAGGGTTTGGCTCAGCCTTCACCATCTGTGGCTAGAGCAGTTTATTTGTAAACATACACTACTAACGATTGTTTGTTGGATTTCGATTCTGGAAATAACTGCCCTGAAAAACACTGGAGACAAAACGATGTGGCAACAAAGGCTGGGGCAGATTCTTGCTACAAAAGTCTCAAAAAGACAAATGTATCAGAATTCCAGCTGATACATAATGGCTGAAGAGCAGGCCAATCTTAAGGATCATAGTGCTTTTGAATGGTAACTGGTAAGGGTTGCTACTGATGGCCAACTTTTTTGTAGTGCGATGAGAAGTGCAAATGATACTACAAATACTAGAACTATGATGCCAACCTAATATTTAATGGTTCCATATAAAATTATTTACTTTTTTTAGTAATTTGCTAGTAATAATACTAAGAGGCGCAATGATACTAAATGAATCCATCTTCAAAACTCAAAAAAAGAATTTTTTCCAATGCTAGCATTCCTTTTCAAGCTTATCTTCAACGGGGAGTTTTCTTCACCTTTGATATGTCGAAAACTAACAAACTGGACCCTTACACAAATAAAATCTAAGAAGGAGAAAAGGAGCGGCAATAGCTGATACCATTGCATGATGCAATCGCTTTCAGAGATACCAAGTTGATCTGCACTCAATCATTGAATCCAAAGAAATATTCAAATTCATCAAATGCCTTACTTTGATTTAATGACGGCTTTAGTTACCAATAGTTAAGCAATATTAAGTAAATTTTTTTCAGAATCCCATTTGAATTATATTCTGCACTTTGATTTTATGCTAGTAGTTATGCTTTTGAGCGCCTATGAGCCTAGGGGTAATATGCGCTATAAAAATATCTATATTACTATTATATTATTATTATACTCCGTGCGGGTCCTATTCAATTTAGAAACTTGAAAGATAAAAATTCACTGCTATGGAGTTAAAGCAACATTTTTAATATCAGCTGGAAGTCACCTGGTGACAGTATGAATTTCGATCTGGTTGGATACTGAATGAGGACTTTACGTGACAATAATTATTCAGTTAGCCCCGGTGAGAAAATTTCTTCATAACTAACGTTTACATGAAAGAAGAGCATACAAAACTACTAATACCACTCTAGTACATGAATACCACCCAGAACACGCGTCTTGCAAGCAAATGATCCGCCACTACCAATCCCGTATTATACAAAAATTAAATTTCTCACTGAAAACTCGAATAATGATACTATTAAAGTAACCGATTAAATGACATTCACCTTAATGTATAATTTACAAATTTATTCCAAAAATTCAATACAGTTTTCCAGATACAAATAACTTGGCAGAAAGGCACTAGAAAAGAAAAAAAATCTCGATTATTGCTACTACACAGCGACAAGATGACACTGCGGAGGATATTATTACTGGTAAACGGTTAAGAAGTCTGGGGCCTAAAGTAGCGTACAACAACAGCAAATCGGGTGAAAACAAAATTAACAGGTCATAACTTGCAGAAATGATATAAGAATACACACAAGACGTTCAGGTGTTTCAGTGAATCTTTTTTAATGCTTGTACAAAAGAAGGCAGCACTGTTAATGCAAGGTCGAATTCAACATACCAACTCAATCAACGGCTTTGTTTTGAAACATAACTCAAACCATCTTTACGCTGAATTGATGCTAGTTTTATTAAGAAGATTTTTTGACGAAATTGAGTTCAAGATTTTATAAGGGGTTTGACTCTATGATTAGCGATAGGGAATGAAAAGATTCACCCTGAATAATAATTGCGGAATTCAATTTTCAAACTTAAAATCGTCATAAAATCAATGATATACGCACGAAAAGAATGAAAAATTGCCTTCAGTCTAAAAGCAGTATGGAAAGTCCTAATAAGAGTTACAAGAAATTGTACAATAGAGATATAAATGATTTCCAAAACGATTTCGTAAATTTGATTACTTAAGTTAACAATAAATTAAGTAACTAAATTAAATAACATAACAAATATACTTTAAAACAACGAAAATCCCTCAGCACTTCCAGGCAAGATCAAAACAAAATATAAATTTAACCTTACCTTTATTAGAAAATGTCAGGAGCATTCTCATCAAAACCATTGTTTACTTTTGCGGTCCAATAGCCGCCATTATAGACGTGAGAAACCGTCCCGGTATCAGCATCTACTTCAGAGACAAACCACCTGTGAAATTGACAAATATATATATGTATCAGATACCATTCAACATCATACTTCCTTGCGTTTAATGCGACGTAATATCTTTTCTATAAAAATATGAATTCCCGTTTATCTTTCGGTAATTTTCAAACTGTGAGGAATGCCAGATGAAAAAGAGCTCAAGCGTCCTACGTAATTTTTGCCTAACGTAATATTTGCCCACGTAAAAGATTATCTTCATTATAGTAACTTTTGATATTAACAAATAGATAACATAGATCATCTTGAGTCTGTCTAGATAAGCAATGAGTCTTGTCTAGAGACAAAGACTAATAGACTGAAACGCAACAACAATTTTCCAAGGGAATACAATCGGTTAGAACTTTCCCTGTCAGCGTCAAAGCTTTGTCGAAATAAAGTTTTCAAACTTGGGGATATATTATCAATTTTACAGCCATCAAAAGCAACATATGCCAAAGCTTAGCAGCTGCCTTATCATTGGCTAACACCAAAGAACTTGTGCTGTCCATACCTGGGCTTCCACGTCTCTTTTCTATGCTCGCGAGCTTTCCTGGCATGCCGTTGTTTTTCTTCGAGTCTGTGCTTCTCTGACGCAGCTTCCTCTACCTAGATATGAGTTTACTTCTTTAAAAATACTGTTAAATGGGCACAGAGTTGCCAAAAGTGAACTTTTAAGCAGGGAGTGTGTTTTTGAGAAAAAAGGGGATGCTTTTACATCCTCAAGTATCGCCTCCGTTTACGATTCGCAAACAATGACGCCAGTAAGATGTGATACAGTAAATCCCCACTTATCAGAACCTACTTTTTTGAGGTTCAGGCTGAAGTAGGTTCTTATTGGAAAGTTACTTGGATTAATTTCGGGGTATGAAGATTCTTATACAAAGGATCCCTTATTTAAGTTTTATACCGATTGTGATTTTATTTCTTCTTTGAAAATCTGGGAGTAAATAAGGACTATTGAAAACTCTATTTTTTGCCCTTGGGATAAGAACCTATTACATTTTATCACACTGAAACAGGTTCTTAATTACAAGGTGCATAATTTAGGAAAAACAGCCTCTAGGTTCTTATTTTTGTAGGTTCTTATATGCGGGGATTTACTGTAATGCAAATGCTAAGAACAAATGCTCACAACTAACGTACGGACTGTCTCTTTTTTACGAAAATTGCCACCGAAAATCTTTTAATCAAGACTGCTGTCACCTGTCGACAGTGGTATTGTCAATCAAGACTGTCGACAGTAGCATTGTCACCTAATATCACTGCTTTTCGTCCCTATAATTATTAAAACCTTGTAGAATGCAATTTGGCACGAACCAAATGTCCACATCATGCCGTTCTGAAATTATTAAAAAAGAACAAGATTCTGGATTACAAACGACGGGAACAGCAATTATCCACATGTGCAGCTGTGGGTCTCCCGCGCCTTAGAAACAGCTGCTTTCTAACATCCCTGGGCATACATCAAATCTCAAGCAAGATGTCATATGGTCCTATGAATACTTGCTTTTTTCGATAGGCACTTTTTTCGCATAACCAAGGGAAGCTGCAGACCCAAGAGTCCGTGCTTCGCGTCCTTGACATGACAAAACTTTCTCTCAGCGTGAGGAGAGTCTCCAGCTTTCTGTAACTCCATACTTTCATCGAGTTGAAAAACCATAATTAGAAAAACACTTACATTTACATGTTCTCTCTTGCGCTTTTATGTACACTAACAGTTTTGAAATTATTTTATGCAAATAACAATCATAAATCTGACTAAAAAGACTCCTCATTATGCATCTGTTTATAAGCAGAAAGCCAGCAACAAGAAATAAGTGGGATTAATAATGAAAATAATTTTAATAATATTGTTCTAGTGAGGAACTCAAAACAACCGTTTTGATGAATTCTTTCTAGAAATTTAGTTTCTTTTCTAGCATAACAAATCTGCTTACGATCACTGACAGCCACTCGAGCAATATAGGCAACCCCCCTTAACGTGGTATGGTGAAAATTATAAAGACTGGGTAGCAGAAACTACAGAATATTTAGTAGCAAAACTACTTTATAAGACGCATTGGCCAGGATTCTAAAAAGCTCACCTTTGCGAATTCGAGAAGACGCTGATCGGGTCTCCTTCTGCTGTCAGTGGGGCAATTTATACCTATAAAACAATATCCAAAGTTAGGCAAAACAAACAAAGTCGAATGCTGATTTCAGCCTGTTCAAAATGTGGCTGGCTACAGCATAAAAGGCATGTCATCATTATCTTGTTTATAATGGAAAGCGGTCACAAGAGTGAAAGCGAAAGAAGTGAAGGTAGTGGGGAAAAAATAATAAATGCACTATCGTGAGAATTCCTAAAACGAAACTAAGATAGAATTTGAGAGAAATTTCTTCTCGTTTATACGGATTGCTTTTTTGAAACTTATGAACGTGCTTTGTGAATTCTATCTCTTGAAGACTCACCGAAGCACTGACATTAAAATTCAGTTTGTTTCAATTCGATAAAACGAAACTCTTAAAAGTGACGCCTATATTAAAGCACTGACATCAGGTGTTTTTAATTGCATGACGATTTGAACAGTTAAAATTATTTATCATGACAACTTCACAATGACAACTAGATTGTCTGATATCAATAGCTAATTTTATATCGCTGGCTTTTGAATCACGGGAATCTTTTGGGAAGTCCTCTATGTGCATATCTACGTAACGTTAACTGCTTAGCTTATAACCATTTTTACATTTGCCTATCTTTGTATTAGCTGCTTGCTTTATTCTGAGATTTATTGTTAACTTCTTTAACCTGTGAGTATAGTAATTGTTTAGGCGATGAGCCATTTCGGCCTACAAGCCTTATTGTAACAAATACGCTTGCCTTATAATACCCTAATACAGGGAATAGTCTCTCAATACGAGGCTGTTACGAGACCCAGAGTAAACACATGCTATATTTGAGCGAGAGTCTGCTGACTAAAGCAAATGGCAATGCTGGATAGAATCTAGAATACCTGATGACATCAGAAAAGCTTAGACACAAGCAACTAGGAGCTGAAGCCGTACAATACAAAAGTACAATATTGCTAGAGTACGAAGACACAACTGAAAATCCCCTTAAAACATATTGGCGATCTGCATATGAATGTGAGTATCAAGCGATGACAGCATCAGGCTTATGGTTTAGCCTCAATAGGGCAGACTCACTTTCGTCAGCTTCATTCAAACAAAATGCAAACTTTGTGAAACCATACACCCTATGGATGGAATAAGAAGAATGACAAATCTCTAGAGAAAAGTATGCAGATATAGATTAACGTTACCTTATTGAACAGATAGCATGAAAAGAACGTTAGCTTTATCATGTTTTAACTAACACCCAAAACGGATCTAAACAGAGTCCTTCTGTTGTAGAAAACTCTAAAGTCACGGCATTGAGTACTCTAGTTTCTTAATGCTGCAAGAAATTTCAATACTTGTTGATTTTTAGAATATTCTTTATTATTAGATGGCAGACCATCTTGAGGATGGTTTTGGTTGTGAGCATGATAAAAAGATTTTATTGGTCTGTGTCTAAAGAAAAGATACGAAATTGTAGAATTTCAGCTTTCTTTAAGCTTGTTTGCTCCTGGTATTGAAGTTTCTAAATTTCATCTGTTGTTCAGTATTCATTTCTTATAAAGTTTCTTAAGTAAAAATAATATAACTTGAATTTTTATAATAAAATTCTCTCTGCTCTAGGTCGGTTTTTAAGTCTCATCTTCAACGAACTAGAGAACAATTTGCATTTATCTCCAGAGGACATTTAATCATTTAATCAAGATTTTATATAAAACATGTTTATTGATAAAAGTGAAGTAGCCTCTTTCAAAACGGACCACGAAAACACTAATTGAGTAGAGTTGAACTGATCCTGGGGGTACAAGGATGGTTATGATTATTATGCATCGGGAGCTTCATGTTACCTGTGAGAATCGTCTGGCTTGGGAATGGCAGTCCATAGTTTTCGCTCTGATATTTGGCAACCTTGGATAATTTATACCATGTAATTAATTCATAAGAATAACAACTAAAATTATTTTCTGTTATTGAAAAATAACATCTAGCAATCTGTTGGTCATGTATTCCTGTCAAAGCGTTCTCTCGCCTTCTATGAAGGGATCGAATAGATGTTTGATGAGCCTAATCAAAGTAAAGAACACGCTTCACAGAACTGATGCCATTTCACAATAACAGCGTCACTTTGGATCATAAAACAAGTTCTTAAACAGTTACTGACTAACCCAGTTTCAATGCTATGATTGAGAATGACAGCGATAAAAAAGTTTTTCTCTGACAAAAGACAGCTCTTTTTTAATGAGGGTAGTCATCCCACAATATTTTTCAAAACCACCTGTTGCGTTCTCAAGCTTAAAAGAAAATCTGGGAAATACTCTACAAGAACAACAACAAGCAAATCTTATCGATGACCCGGAGAAAAGTGCACCAAGCTGGTTTTCCAAAACGTTGTTTGACTAGAGCACCATGACATTTCAATGCCTCAGAAGGTACCACAGCAACAAAACAATCTAATCAAATTAGAACTAGAAAAATAGGAGCTCCCAATTGGAAAAATATTCAGCTACTGACATTTAAAGATGGTGCCATAATTCAAATTATGTTATTATTAACTTACCATAATTAAAAAGTTCAGATAAATGTTGGGCTACAAATTGACACTAAATTGCCAGGTCTTGAGGAATTGGTCATTGGCCTTCCTTGAAAATCGTGGGGCGACCAAGAATCAATGTCAAGGCATTTTCGTTTCGATAAAACTGTTGCTGGGAAATTTTAACATCCATAATAACAAAATCACCCCTAACCATTTCATTGTAATATCTAATATAATTGTCTCCATTTAGGCAAAAATTCATTGCACTTTCTAAAGAGAAAAATTCTAAAATAATACAAACCATTTGTTGGCCTCGCAATGAGTCCTTCATCCCATGCCCCTTCCAAAGTGAGCTGCGCTATACCGTTTTTATCTTTAACTTCACCTGCGCAAAGACAAAACTGTGTGTGTCAGTAAACATGACGCAGAAGGGACAGCTTAAATGTTCAATGGCAAGAAGGAAAGGCGACCTTACATTCAATGGCAGTTGCAAATCAATACAGAGAGGTCATATGACCTCGCCGAGCAAATCTTAAAAAATAGAGAGCGTAGAACCGCAACAGCATTTAATCAAATTTAGCCTTTACGGCTTTTGCTTTCAAATTTTATAGAAAATTAGCAAAGGTACCAAGAAAATTAATCTAACACGTGACAAAACAAACTCTCTTACATGCTCAAAGGAATTTCAGAAGGTGTTTTGATTGAAGCCTTTAATAACTACATGATTCTGCCATGTCGTGCTTGTTTGAAATAGAAAGTCTACTTGAAGGCACCTTCCTTACCTGTTAATTTCTTGTAGCTGTGTGATTTTCTATAAGGTGTAAATTTAACTGTTGCTTTTTCCCCAGTATTGTGACTAACAATTTCTGATAATCCGTCCTGAAAGGTTACAGACATACAGAGTACAAGAATATCAAATAATGTAGGCTCAAATAAACAAAAATAACAATTCAGTTCGACGTGAGACATTTTTAATTTTGTTTTGCTAACTCACAAAACTGTTAGCTCGTTTACTACTAGTAAAGGAAATAGGTCTTTAAATTATCTTTGACACCACACATACTCTACGAGATGTCAAAATAATTGCTAGAATGCCTAATGACACATTGAGACCTGACCTATCTTTGAATCAAAATATTAAAATGCCTTTGTCTGATATTCCATATTGTCATTTATCTCTAATCTAAAAAGCAAACTATAGTGTTAGGGTTGGACAGCAGGCACCTCAAGACATGTGTGAATAGAAACAATTATTATCGCTGTAAACACGTTGTTTTTGGACAGGTCTAAGTAGCCTAGGGTGCAATCGCCTGCCCTCAAAATCTTAGGATTAATACTCAGAAGGACTAAGGAATATTCCGATATGGATTTCATCGTGTAAAGCAACCATTCTTAAACTCCGGCCCGCAGCAAGTTTTTATCCGGCCCGCCGAGCCAGGGGCGGCGGGCAGTGTTATTACCGTTATTACTGTAATAACACTTTTTCCAAAGTCTTTATCAGTTTGATGCATTCGTCTGCTAGACACAACCAATGACGTAGAAATAATATGGTATCTGTCCTCTATTCATCTGAAGGGGATGATAATTACCTGCTAATCCTTAACCACAGGAAGCCTATTATGTTTTTCAATGGTATTTCAAAATCGTTCAAAGCTAGTTCGAGGCTCCCGGTCTCATTATTACTTTCGCGTTTCTAATAACGGAAACAGCAAAGTCTTTGTCACGGGACTCACCGATGACGTAAAATTCAATTGTTCTTGGTCCTTGAAATAAAGGAGCCTAGCAGCCCCGTTATTACTTCTGGGATTCTAATAACGCGGTCATTTACCTTTTGCCAGTGCTGTTTTATGATTTTGCTTGTAAGTTAGCTGTTTCAAAATGAATCGTGTTGTGAAAGATCGAGTGAATGACCATCGTCTGGGTGTTCAAAGTGTTATTATTTTGAACCGGGTGGAATTAACTCACTAGCAACGTCTCGAACTGAAAAGCCGTGCCAGATATATCTCGTCATTTATTTTTCTATAATAAATTTTTAGCCTGCATCCTTTCAAATTTATTTGTACATTTGTAAACTGTAGCTATTCAAAATGTTGCAAGTTGCTTATGTAAAGGCATTTAAAATGAATGATGAACTGAACTGAACCTTGAATGTGTTCAGAGGGCTTTCACGCAGCGGTTTCCGTTATTACAATCGCGATTCTAATAACGGGCCCACATGGTGGCTCAGAGGAAGTGGCCGCCAAATATTTTTCACGACTAATCACCGCTCGCAAGCCCTTCTGACAAATGTTACAGCCCTCCAGTTTGTTTAAAAAGACCAACAGGAAATCAGGCTCTTCATAGATTTCTTTTTGATATGCGAGCAAGGAAGTATCTGCATTTATTTTCTAGGAGATACAGCACTAAAATTGCCAATTAACTTAAAACTTTCAGCATTCGCTCAGATTCTTAGTTGCTTACAAAAATGTGTATACCCGACCAATTTATGTCTTTTAGTGACTTTTTGTTTGTTGTTTAGAGTCAATTGAAGATATGCATATTTCCCCAACGTATGGCTAGGCCAAATTTGGGGGGGGGTGTTGCAAAACCCCTATACCCCTCCAGCTGAGGAGGTTCAAAATTCCTTCATAAAGAAATTGTTAATTTTCCTTTTTCATGCATCTTCCAAACGTTTGAAAAAGTAATACCAAAAAAAATTTACTCCCAGCCGCCCCTGCGCCGAGCGCTTTATCTCAAAAGAATATTTTGGTTTCATTCATTTGTAAAAAGGTTGATTATTCGCTTTTATGCTAAGGTAATTCTAAAACTTTGAAAGACCCTTTCTTTTTATGTCAACATTAAAAAAGATAAAACTATGGAACCGTTAGCTCTTCTTCCGTCAAATTCTATTTTAGACGCAGTTTCTGGCCATCCCTAGTTTATCATAATCAAAAAAATTTTTTGCCGCCATCATGGTGGCTGCATGGTGGCGGCCTTTTTTAATACAAACGCAATCATTAAATTTTGGCCTCTCTCTGAAATACGTTTCGCCGTCCCTGGATCCGACTTCAAATGCATTAAGTCGACCTAACAAATATTAACGTCGTAACCTAAAGATAGCACAACTGTCTTCTGATTCAACCTGGTAAAAGAAACGCATGCGGCAAACTTTTGTGTCAATTATTTTTTTTGGCAATTATTTGTTATAGTTTGAAGCTTTTTGTCCCTTTCCTCTAGAAAGTTATCCCTGGCCTTAGGCGTAGCAAAAATTTTAAAAGAAAACAGGAAACAAACTGGTTTAATAACAAAATAGAAACAGTTGCTAGAACTCTAGTTAGACCTCCTTTTACAAAGCTTTAAACAAGGTTTCTTCTTACAATGGATGCAGTTGTCGAGCAACGGCTCTCTAAAAAACCTATTTCAATAACTTTTTGCTTTATTAATTGAACATAGAGACATTTAACAGTCACTAAACCAGTCACTCACGTGATCAACATAAAGTGTTCCGATAACAATGTTATGAATCCTTGTCTCCGGCTTCTTCCATGAATAATGGGCGTTGTCCTTCTTGAATATGACGTGTACAGTTCCCGTAGGAACAATCTTTACATACTGGAAACAAAAAAAAACTTTGTCGGCTGTGTCTTTGTCGGATTTTTTGTAAGAGATATAAATCGTCTTAAAAGGCCAATGTATTGGTTCTTAAATACCGTTAAAGCATTAAATTCTAAAAACAATTATATTTCAATTATGTCGCTTAACTTTAGCAGACACGTTGAATCATAAATGGCAAGCATGTCGTTCAAGAATTTCACTCCTAGCCACCAAACCAAAATGTCTTAAAAAACCCCTATGGCTTAAAATAATGTGATAGCAACAGCAACCAATCGCTGCTGATCTGCTTACCAGGCCTCTAAACCTCGTGTCTAGCTGATACTCCTCCCAAAACACCCACTTATCGGATTCAGCGTGCAAAGCACTGACTGGAGGATGATGGGATACTTGCTCGCAGACGACAGCATAGCCTTGCTCTTTGTTCAAAAACTCAAACGTTTCACCAAGAAGTGGATTGAAAGGCTTCCAGAACCTGAACAGAGCCAACAATAAAGAATCTTAGATTAGACAACAAACGAACATTGCCATCAAACAATCTAAAGAAGAATCATCAAATAATTTGCATGGCACTAGAAAACACGAAAAGAAGATTGAAAATGCTTTTAGCTAGTTTTCGCTAGAAACTTTATGCCTGGGTTTCCTCGTACGTTATTTTTACATCTTTTCACAACATTTTAGGATAAATCTATCGATTTCATATAATAATGAAGACTGGACATAAAATGTCTAATTCCCCTGAAAGGTATGCTTTAATCAAAATTTTTATAAGCAGATTTGAACCACACAGTCATTTTCTAATTTTATCCTATAACTTAGAGAGGTGATAATAACTAAATCAATTCAATTTTAAAACCATCCATAACTAGTAATTAATGGCATTGAATAGAGTATATGTATATAATACTACATTTGTTATTATTTCAAATGTTTACAATACTATATTTAAATTGGTTATGATGATATGTTTATAATACTACATTTGTTATTTTTATTTATGTTTATAATACTATATTTAAATTGGTTATGATGATATGTTTATAATACTACATTTGTTATTATTTATCTGTTTATAATACTATTTTTATATTGGTTATGATGATATGTTGAGAAAACTACATTTGTTATTATTATATATGTTCATAATACTATATTTATATTGATTATAATGATATGTATATAATACTTATACGTGACAATTGCAATGCAAAAGCGTTGCGGTACACGTCGACAATACACGTCGAGTTTACATGCAAAGTATTTCTTTATCCTGATTTGTCAATCTCTGTTTCTGCAGTTGATTTTTCATACTACTTGAGAGAGAGCCGCTGAATAAGAGCGTTTAAATTCGCAATAATCCAAAGGTTCTGTGAATCTTTACAATGTTATTTGCACAGAGGTGCTAAAGAAAGACTGGAAAAGAAATGGGGAAGTGGAAAAACCTCCAGTCTTCTTTGAAAAGCATCCTTCTTAAACAATATTATTGCTTATCTTTATTCACTATTTTCCCTTCTTTAAATAAGGCAATATGGCATACCTTGGTTAATTTTTAGTAAACATTTTTGCTGTCAAGTAATATTTATAACACCGAAGCGTCCAAAAGAGTGGCCATGATGTCAACCGTATAAGGGCCAACTTAGAGACTTAGAGCTATAATCACAGCTGTTCTTGGAAATATGAAACCTTTTCAGTGCAGAAATTGACTCACCTTCCGGGAACGTTGGCATACACAGAAGAAGCAAATGCGGCAACATATGCCAAACGCTCGATCGTTGTTTCACATTCTGTTTTGTGCAAAAGGGAAAACGACATCAGGAAAATGAAGGCAAAACTTCGAATTAAGGTTTGTGTTAACAAATTCTTGCGGATACAGTTTGAGACTGGGGATGAAGGGGGAGGGGTCTTACAAAAGCAGTGGTATTCGCCAATGCCCACTTAAAGGTTTATTACAACTACTCCATTTTAAACCACTTGATCGGCTAGGCCCTAGAAGCTGCAATAATGCATGCATTTATTAAACAAGGATTTTAAGTCAACACTCATTTAGGCTATCATTTAAGGTTCTAATTTGGCGTTGTAATACCAAATTCCTTCAGAGTGGTAAGCTCACTTAAACCATCACTTTCCTAAACGCGCATTTAAAGGTACAAGATCCGACTTAAGTAAAGGAAATGGCGCGTCGTCAGGGAATTTAATCGACATGGCAATGCGCTGCAACTATTTTCCATGAGAAAAGAGCACCTTCCTCGAAACATTTGGGGATGATGTACCTCTTCCATGCAAAAAAGCCTAGTTTGTTAAGGGTACATAGAAAAATCAATATTTGCATATTAAAACAAGATAAACAGTGCTTCCTATTAAATGCAAAGCAATCGTCGTTTGAGAATCTGCTTACAAACATGCTTTGCAAAGAGCACAGATTTGCAATTAAAGAATGGATCAGTATGAAGCAATGTATATTTTGATACTGAATCCATTTATCATCTTTTTAAAAAGCATACTGTAAAGCAGAACCCCATAACGTAACAAGTACAATATTAATTTACGTGGTGGGAAGTAACAGTGAGTTGAGTCTTGTTTTGGCTCCAAATTTGGTGTCATGTAATTTAATGAACAGAGAGCAAAGTACAACTGAGAAATGGGTGTGACAAATGATCTTTGCAGATATAAAAATCGAATTTTAAGCAATCGAATCAAGTTTGGGGGCTGTCTTTGCAATTGCACCCGCTCAGCTATTGAATCCAACAAGAAGGGAATATGCTAAAAGCTCAGTGTGCATAAATCTCCAGCTATGCAGGAATCACAAATTGAGAAGCACGAGTAATTCCATCATAAACTAGAGATTCAGGTCATTCTAAAAGACCATTTTATTATTTAATATGTACAACATAGGATTAAGAAAAGCCAGCATACCGCAAAAATATCAAAACAACTTTTGCTTAGATGCAAAAGAAACTTTTACTTTGTACTTACAGGCTCAAACTAAATGCATGAAAACACCTTATATAAGGACAAAGTGGCCACTTTTAGGTGCTTAAACGATTAAAAAGAGAACTTTCCTGGCTTGACATCTTAATCGAATGAATAAGAAGTGACAAGACTTACCAGCTGCTTTATTCAGAACATCAGCGTATTCAAGATCCTCAGTGAGCCTCTGAAACGATTTGTACAAGCGTAAACAAGGGTTGATTCATTCATTTAAAAGAGATCTGTCTTTTTAACTCTTTCACTGCTTTTCATGAAAGATAGAATTGAATCACATTAAAGTGATAAGAGTGAGTGATATGACTTGTGAAGCACTTGCACTATGACTTGTGGATGAAGTGTTGCAAAGCATAAAATCAGACGACTCAAGGTCCAAAAACACCGGAGGCAACCACCAGCCTGTCAATCTTTAAGTCTTGTAACAGCTTAAAGGTGAAATTCTTGTTTGATTTTTCTAATTTGATGACAGTCTTTCAGATAAGTTTGAGCGATATATATCTACCGAAACTTACTACAACACAAAAGAGATATAATAATAAAAAGGAGAAATTTAAGAACTAACCTGCAGAAATGACAAGGGTTCGTTAAAATGAACAGGCATTGTTATCCGAGTTAAGTCCTTGCCGATTGTTGATCGCAAAAAGCTTGAAATAAAATGAACGTTTGTTAATCCAATAGACTTGAAGGTGAATAGCCTTAAAACTTTGTCATATTATGCTTACAACTGGTGGTCCCGGAAAAAGGAAATAAAAGCTATTTTAGCACTGGCAAAAACAAAGAAAGATTTTCAGCTTGATGCATCCTGTTACAAGATAATGTTGATGATGGAAAGTATCTTCAACAATTCCAGCTAATAATGCTATGCATCTTTACAAAAAAAGTTAGGCAAATCATGGTTTAAGGTCCGATTCATTTTGGAGAGAAACTCATGCAAAAGAATAGATTGTATATTAGTTGTGTTATCACCACCAAACAAACCAAGAAAATAGCCAAAAATTGTGTTTAGGTTAAGATTACCTTTCAATTCCAATCACTTTTTAAAAGATTTTGAATGCTTTCACTTTGTGTAATAACTTTGGTTAGGAAAGGGTCAAAATACATTAAATTCAAGATTACCCAAACAGGCTGAAATTATATTTGTCTCTAGAAGCAGGAAGTGTAGTCCTCCATGATGTTTTTAATGCATCTGTAGAAAAAGAATAATAACAAAACCTTAGAATGTGGGCAAAGTCACAAAAATTAAGACTGACAAAGACTGTGCATATCTATGAAAGATGTACAAAAATTAAGTATTAAATATTTAAAAAGGTGTGAATATTTATAGTTTACATGTGCATATTTTACAAAGAGACATTCAATAACAGTTGTAACCCAACTATGCTCCATTTCAAGTCTCTAATTATGGATGGCAAAATGATGAATAATTATTCTTAAGCTAAAAATCCCATACAATCAAAAGCTTTCAGATGGAATCTTCTACATCAACTTCTCTTTATAATTACAAAAACATAATGAAAAGGTTGGTCTTGGTTGCAATTCAAAACATCAAAATGAGAAATATTTTACAACAATAACTGAAAAGAAAAACACAAATAAAAGAAACATTTCTGCACATTTGTTGAACATTTTTCACTGATATCTTTCCATAAAATGAAGGTTGAATGTTAAATTCTGAATTGCAATTTTATTACAAACACATGGCATGGACAGCGTTAAAAAAGTGGAAAACAGGCGTACTACAATCGTACCCAAAGCTGAAGCTATTGTATGCAAAAACACAGCAGTAAGTAAGACCTTGTGTTTGGTAAAACCATCAAAGATGAAAAGTGCATTACAATCAAACAATAGAAGCCTAAAAAAACAATTCTTTGGAGACATGGCACAGGCTCTTTCCTCTTCAAACCACTGTCATTTGCTCTTGGTTCATAACTTTGTGAACCAGGCCAAAATAACAGTAATCAGATTTTGGACATATAAAAACCCAATTTTAAACATATTTAATTGATTTTATCTATGACCATGACAACAAACCAAAACTCAGATTTGGGATAGTTGGAGGGTAGAAAATGGTACCTGATGATGATGAATTGATTTTGCATATTGAGAATTTTTTCTGCTATTCGTTCAGATTATGTGCTCAAAATTAAGGAATTTTTAACATAGAGGCAGGCCTTGCCCGGAAAGGTGCTCAATCAAACCCGAAAACTTAAAACAATAGTGCCAAAAAGAAAAAAATTATTTTCAAAATAAGTTCTAGTTTCCCTGTTGGGTACAACCAGTCACTACATATACTCTTAAAGCTCTAGTTAGCCAACCTCTCCTTTGAGCCCCCCTTTCTATTAAGCCCCCCTTTTCAAGCTGCCCTCTCTATTAAGCCCTTGACGTCAAACAAAGAAAACATATGCATTGAGTGGGTCTCTTGATGGGTGTGATGATGTAGTGACTCTACTTAGGCCTGTTTACGTTTATTTTTCCTTCTCATTTATTCAATCACATTTCCACATTCTCAAATTGCAGCACAGGCATCCTCTACATCACTCTCATATCAGGCATTCGCCAATCCCTATTGTTTACTTAATCTTTACCATGCTATTCAATTTACTCATCAGCTTTACTCGCCCTTCCTATCCTTTGTTTTTCTCACATCATTTATGTTAATTTTAGATATTAATTTCTGTATATAAGTATAATGTTGATTTGTAAGCAAGATCAGTTCAGAGTTCAGTTACAATCAAGCAACACACTGTCTCTCTCTCTGGCTCCGTGTTCTCTGCACATAAAATAAGACTCCCTGGGTTTGGAAATAACACCTTAGTCGATGGATGGATTTATTTAGTGAATGAATCGCACACAACAATGCTCAATTCTTGTTTAACTAAAATGACACTAAGATTGTGTGCATTACATATGGTCCATGTAAATATTTACTTGTGCATCTTAGAAGTCTGAGTAAGATAAGGACATAATTGACTGGTTTTAAGAAACTTTCGAAGCTGCTAACAAAAATTTTTGAGAGCATTTGTATGACATTTTCAAAACAAAAATTGAACAAGAGCATTTTTATAACATTTTTTACATTGAATTGTTGATAAGCCCCCCTATTTAATAAGCTGCCTTCTCTTTTCAGCCCCCCTCTAGGACTGACAAAAATAAATAAGCCCACCAGGGGCTTAATAGAGTATTTACGGTATGCAGTAATGGGTATGTGCAATTATTGTTTATCAAAGCCTTACCAACACCAACTATACTGCACATCACACAATATAACTGATACAACTGGCACATAAAACTAATAAATGATTGTGATGACAGTGCTTTTTGGTTGGACAGCTTGACTCCATAGTCATATGTGCATAGCCCTCTGTTGGATATATACACATTCCCTAGAATTTCATGTTTTGTTATATAAATAATTGGCTTCTTTGTACTGTTATATGTACTTGCTCAGAATAGTGAACAGGTTCCAAATTTAGTGCTTCAAAATGTGTAAAAAATCTAATAAATGTTATCCATTCTATTTTCTTTCCAGAATTATTCTTTTAGATGAGTTACATATCTAAGCCACTTATTCTATGAGCTTAAAATATGAATATGAAGGAAACATGTTTAGCTTTTGCTTGGACAATGGTCTAAAGTTAGAAACATTGTGGTTTCTGCCTATTTAGTTTTGGAATATTTTGTAAATACATAATTGGCAGTAAATTTGCCATTTATTAAGATATTCTATGATAACAGAAATTACCTTTAAAATAAATTGCAAGTTAAGGATGCTGCAACCAATTGATTACATTTTTAACAAACAGTAAAAGGTACTTTCAAAAGTTAAAAAATTCTAGTAAGTGGAAAGCCAATATTTTATGTCATACCTGATTTTAAGTCAACTAAATTGAAATCACTCCTTGGTCCAGTTGCTGTATTAGCTGCAGCCTGAGATTGAATTAAGAAATTTCACATTACCAGATTAGAAAAGAAAACAACATATCAATCAAGGGATTACTTTTTTAAAATTTTGAAAAAATAACAAAATGGCATTAAAACCAAGGTTAAGGGGTGAACTATTTTAAAGATTTGGTGCTCATATGATTCAATTTTTGTCAACTTTAGATTCTCTTGAATCAAGTGACCACTTCAATTCATCTCTGCTTATAAAAGGCTTTATTTAATAAACCACTAAGTAAAAAAAATTTATAAACATGCAATTCCTAAAAATCCATCCTAAAACTGTCATTTAGCTATTGGCCACAATTTCATGAGACAGTTAGAGGAAGATTTTGATGAAGGAAATTTTATCACTTCCAAACTACACCTTAAAATTAATAACCTCAATACTGTTAGAGGGTTTTTACAGATAATTTGGCAATGTCCTTTGGAAACTTTCCCATGCAATCAGATCTTTCCTGGAGACTTGGTAAAACATTTGCGAGAGAGATTTATTCCACCCGGGCAGTTTTTCATAATAATGTTTGCATTCTGTTCCCTCATATCATACCAACATTCCTGCATTCTGTACTGACATTTCCATAACAGCGTTGCAGGCATTTGAAAACAGAGTCATTCAATCCAGTTTCAAAAAGAGTTTCCAAAAGGATATGGGAACAGATAAAAATGTAGTACTGGAAACACCCACATTCTAGTTTAGATCAAAAAGGAGTGGCCTGGGTCATGTGCGCAAGAAAATAAGAAAAGGGGAATGATAAAACGGAGACATATTAAAACAGAGTAATGGAAACTGGGCCTTACAGAGTAATAACACCTCCCCCCCCCCCTTGAAGCCCAATGGCTAGCAGTGCCAAAAATAGCAAGAATGAGAAATGTTACAAGGCACTATCAAATACAAAACATTTTATTTTCAATTAACAACATTTGAACTAGGCATTCCCAAAAAACGAAACATATGACCTGCTGATTTGGGGAAAGCAGAAACTGCATTGACTTTGCATTGCGAATACACTCATTATTTACAATAAATTGGAAACGAGAAAGAATTAAGAAACTTCAATGTACTCGAAACAAACAAGTCAAGAAACAATTGAGATTTGAGAAAGGTAAGAAGTCCAAAATTTCATGTGAATTCACCAACATGATTTGATTTTGGTTTGATTATGATTTAATTTAAATACTATAATACTAGAAAAACTAGTTATGAATTAAATTATAAATTACAAATTATAATTTAGAAACTATAAATTATAAACAAATCAACTAAAGAATGCAACAACAACAATAACATTAATTAAAATACAAATTGAAGCAGAATTCTTCAGGAGAAGCCTTAGGTTAACAAGTAGGTTAATGAGGGAGATGGAAGTCCTCTTTCCTTCCAGCGATTTATATGTTCATCTATAAAAGTGTCTTGTTGATTTAAATTAAAGAGATTTATACAAATTATAGAGATATGATTACCTGGTTTGCAAAAAAATTTTGACACAGAGAATGAAAATATACTCCCCCTACCTAAGAACATCATTAGAATGGAAGCGAATCTCTTGACAGAAGCATTTGAAAACAATAGAAACGTCTTTGTTTGAAGCTGCAGAAACCCTCCCCAAAAAAATTTTACAGCATGAAAGTTAAATATAGTACACTTAATGTTACAATTGATGACATCATGGTTAAGAAAAGTTGAATGTGTATTTCAATTTCCTAAAAGGTTAAGAAACCAAAGTACTTTGTTTCTTAAAAAAAGGGAGCATACTTATGTTATCTTTCCTTGAATTTTTATTACAAATCAATTAAATATATTCTGTTTACCATTAAATGATATTGTATTGCACTTTTAATGAAGATGACTCTCATTGGATCCTGCTCAGTAGATCTGTGTTCTTTTATTATATATATATATATCTTTTTGGTCATTTTGATATATATATTTAATAATTATATATAGCTTTTGTCATTTAAGGAATTGTGATACATAAAAATTGTCTTTTTGAGATAAAAAATGCTTACAAATAGGCAAGATAACATATTTTTGTCATGGACCAAACTGTTGCAGATATAAATAGACAAAACAAAAAATCCTGCAAGAGCAAAATAACACATACAGCCAAACCAGCTGGGGTTAGCTAGGGTGCTTTCAACCTGTACATAAACTTTATACTTTATAAATATTTTACATTCAAAATTTGAGATTGTTATCGAATGGGTTGGGCTGGAACAAGCCATCATGGCTCTAGGAAGATGGTTCCGCACTGCAAGGAATCTAGACTTCCAGAAAAACAAAATTAAATAACAATCAATGTAAGTAAATTGTACCAGGAAAAATTTTTTCTAAAATAAATTTACTAAATTATAGAAAAAAATTTGCCTGGTACAATTTACTTACATTGATCATTTTTTAATTTCATCAAATTGTACCGCACGCATTTTAGTATATTTCCAGAAAAACATTTGTTTATATCAAATAAAAAATGACTTTTGACCATATACCAATTTTATTCACCACAAATTAGAAAACTGGCTTGGGAACAGGTAATTACGAAACAATAACCATGCATCATTCAAATTATTTTGATATTAATTTGGAGAATAAAAGTAGTTAGTTCTTGGCAGATGAAATGTACATTTACAGAAGAGAAAATTCAAATAAAACCTTCCTGCCAGAAGCAAATCTATTTTATTGCGTGCAATTCAATTATGAATCAAATTTATACAGTAAACAAAACTGGTCTCATATTTGCTATTGATGAACCAGCAGGGATAAAATTGGCCTGTTTTCTTGCAACCGTCATATGATGTGAGCAGTTAAGTTTTCCATCAATGGTTTTAGTTCGAATAAAAAGGCCATTTTGATAACAAAAATTGTCCTACTACATGCTTTATACTCGATTTGGGTCTATCCAATTAATAATGAATGGAACATGCTCTTTTGGAATTTTTGTATAAAAAGATGCGTTTCTTCTTCTATTTTGAATGAAGCTGTGAGAATGGATGAAGCATCTGTTGACTTTGGAAAAATTTTGTAGTAAGGGTTTAATGACTAGGAATTTATACGACTGGGCAGAGCTGACTTCAATTCACATTTCGCAACACAATGCAGATTTGCTTTTTAAATGCGTTTGTGTTCAGTTTGTCTCAGTTTAAGGTTTGAATATATTGATTCTGTTTTAACTTTCACAAAGAAAGTTACAGGGATTACAGGCTAGTATAAAAAGTCTATGAAAATTTTTTCAGCATCTTGTTTTTTATTACAAAGGAAAGTTAGACGTTGCTCCTTTACTTGTTCTTGCAAGATGACGTTATAAACAACTCGGTTAAACATAATGAAAAAGCATTTTACCATTTTGTCTTTACCACTAGATCCGATAACCATTTCAGCGTTTCCAAAATACTCGAGTTTTATGAAAAAGTTCGGCAATTAACCCTTCGCGTGCTATAGGCCCGACCAAGTTGCAATTTGAGAGAGTCTTGTGAGAGTCGAGAGACCAAAATCCCTCGTTCTTCGTATGAAAATCTTTCTATGACCTTATACTTTGGCAACTTGCGTTTGGCTGATAAATTAAACGGCAAGAGACTGTTGAGCAGCGAACTTTCGCTTCTAATAATTTGCAAATAACTACCAACCAGTCGCTTCTAACTGCAAGTCATTTCTGTCGGGTGTCATAACGTAGCAATGACGTCATCTATTTACGACAGCAATGTCTTTCCAAACGTCCAAACAACATTCAATTACAAGCTTGATTGCGTTTCTGAAGAAATGAAAGTAATTAAATTTTTTCCCTCTTTTAATGGCAATAATAAAAATATTTCGCAAATAGATGCAACTTTTATATTGGCAAGGAAATAGTATTCAATTTAAAATATCTCTTATTTAGGGAAAGCAAATAGTAAATCCTATCACTGCATTACACTACTGTATGCTTTTATTTTTTTCATACTACAAGTAAATTGTAATTAATTGTTGATTGGGTGTTAGACACTAATTGGATTTCTGTGCCACACCCTTCAGGAAACGCCCATTTCTAAAATTCGTTTTTTACCTTTAAGGGAAAGAAGATAAGAAGCAGTAGCGTAGCCAGGGTTGAAAGATTGGATGGGCAAAGACGAGGAAATTTTTATGGACTAAAGCCTTAAGAAATTGGAAAAATTCAGAGGCGGATCCAGAGTGAGTTCCTTGGTGCACAGAACTTAGTCAGCTTTCCAACATATAGCTAAATATATTGTTGCACGAAACAAGTAATATTTAAAATAAAAAAGTGAAACCTATAAATTCTAATGTAACGGTTGGCTTTAGTGTGTGATACGTTTCGTAATATCTCAGTTGCATGTTATAGTCACATGTGCTGTTGAGTCCTGTTGTGTCAGTTAACGTCTTTCTAGTGGCAATGTGTTTGTCTGTCAACATGTATTGTGACGTTCGTATTGTTCTCTTAATTACTTTCCGTCAATGTTCACTTTAGAGTTAGTCTTGCTGTTGAACGAATAAAGACAACATCAGAATAGAGTCTCTCTCGTGTTCTACTTTTTCGGGGCTTAGGCCCATTGGCCTAGCCCCAACGTATCTTCACCATCCTAAGAAGAACCCGACTAACATAAAACATTACACTAAGTTTTATCACAGTCTTTTCAAAATCTTTAAATTGCCAGTTTCTTCTCTGTTGTGATTTGGAAACAATTTTCCAGACGCTGTGGAGGACAACAGCAGTCAATCCTAGAACTCGGAAAAAACGTTCTGTGCTTCGAAAGAGAATGAATTGGGCATTGGAGCAATGGAATTTTTGTTTGGAACACGGATGGAACTCAGTCAAAACAGCATCTTGAACTCGGGAGTGATACCATATTTGTAAGAGAGCCAGTAGTTGATTGGCTACCTATTGTTTCTGGGCGGCTTAAAACAGAGTCATATTTTCACGACCCTCGCAGCATTTTTTCTTATTAGGTAAAACTACACTATCCTTCATATTCCCTCAAAATATACAGTCTAAGTCTACAACGCCAATGCTAACACTGAAGTCAAAAAGACTCATTTTGAGGTCACTGGCTTTTATACTACCGGAGGGGCGTCATGAAATTTAACGAAATTTTTTCCGATAAAATTTCTTTGAAAATGAAACAATTCAAGCATTTCATGCTAGGGTAAAAGAGTGAGAAAAACACAACCTTTGCCTTGGCTGAAAAGATATTTAGAATGTATGTTTTTCTTGTCTCTGTTTCTTCATATTTATTGTGAAAGTCCCTGACATCTCGCAACCCTATAGATCGGTACGACAAAGGTAAAAAAAATTACTACCTGAGGGAAAACGAATGGGAAAACTTTCTAGAATCTTAATGCTTCAAGTTTGCCGGAAATTGCATTCTTTGAAGCAAATATTGATGATGAAAATTTTGTTCCCCGAATGAATATCTACTAGTGGAAAACGATAGTGTTGATCGACCTCTTCCTTGTTTAACCTTATGCAAAATAACTGCATTAATTTTCAATTCTTTGACAAAATTTAGCAAAAAGGATACCAGTGATTGAATTTGTGGTGTTGTAAATTCTTTTTAGAATAACCCTTGCTGCACCAAAGATAACCTGAGTGGAATTCTGGTTACCTCTCTGATCCCTTTATTAAATTTCTGCTTAAATCTAAGCTGTCTACTCAGCTGTCTGCAACACCCTTTCCAAGAGAAAATCTGCCAAATTGTTGATAAATGCTATGGTAAGTGCTATTTTCACTGATCTAAGCGAGGCTTTTGATGTAATAAGCCATTCAAAGCTATTAGCTAAGCTCCAAAGTTATGGTTTTAAATGAAACTGGGCTTAAAATTTATCTATTCAATTAAAATACACATGTGACGCTTAATGGTTCTATCTCCAATCTAAAAAAGATGATAAGTGGGGTTCTGCAGGAGTCAATCCTAGGCCTCTTCTATTTATTCTTTTAATCAATGTTATTGCTTATTCCAACAGAGTTGCTAACAAAATAAAATAAAACCATGCCAGACTATTACACTGCTAAAACTGAAGGAAAAGATATCAATTAAAAGCTTTGATGATCAATTTTCTAAATATATTCTATCATATTCAGTCAAAACTGATTCTAACCTCCATCTACTTGCATGAAAATTAGTGAAAGAGTATTCAAAGAAATTTCTCCATGCAGACATTAGAAATCTAGATTTTGTATTTGACGAGCAAAACATTTGTCTCCACAGACCAATTAGATGCACATAGAATAAAGCAAAGAGCTCAATTTAAACTTTCTTTTATTCTTTCTGGGGCTGTATTTTACGTTGTTAAATAATTATTTAAATTTGAATTTGAACAAATAAAAGTGCAATTTTTTATCTGAAAATAAATGTTACATTTGTCATATATCTACTTTCAGGTAAGGTGTTCAAAATTTTAAACACTTGGGTGTTACTTACTTTCCAATGCTTTACAAATCAGTTATAGAGGATATGATTCTTTGTTAATTTTTTGGCTATATAGCAAGATAGCAAGCCCCCTCCCCCCTCCTTGAGAATTTCTCTTTTTTACCAAACATAATCTATGATTAAGCCAAGTGGTTTTTAGATGAGTATGTCTTTAAAAAATCTAGCAAATCAATATAATATTTGTGGAAAGTACTGTTTAGCAACCCCTTACTTTAGGTTTTGAATTGGGTATCTCAACATCAGTTCTGACCTGATTACACTCATTTCTTTGCTGACCCATAGAGAAACTCACTTTGACATTGCCAACATTATCTTTTTCTGGGTTAGCCAACCTTCTTTATCTTTAACAACACATTTAAATGTCCCACATTAACGGGTCAAAATTTTGATTAGCTTTAATATAAAGTAAAGTTGGTACATTAATCATTACCCATTAGCAAATCTTTGTGAAGAAATTACAAAATGTCGCAATTCTATGACCACTTATATATTTGAAGCATGTTGCTTTGACATCTAGCAAAATATTTACTCATGAACTAAAAAACGACTCTGCAACTGAAATCATTTTTAAACTATTTATCATTTTTCTCAGTATACAATTTTCGTTTAATGTCTTGCAATCGTTGGATTCGCTCAGTTAATAAAGGATGTGTGGGGTTTTGAAGATCATCCCCTTTCTCAGTGTACCTTTGAATCCCTGCTACCCCAGTCAAATGCCTGATTACTCGATTCACTCTGAGGTGTGACTTCAGGTAGCTTATTCCTCCATTGCAATACCTCACGCCACATTTTGCTGCCTGCTCGTCTGCTCGTAACTCTTGTTTCTGTTTCAAGATTTTGCTTAATCCATTGTAAGAAGCAAAACTAAAACCGGCTAGTAAAACACTCAAAAAAACCTTAAAACCTTTTGTTGGCGCATTTTGAGCTCTAGGCAATATCCATATGACAGCTCTGAATGTACCAAACAGCCATGCTGCAGGCAACAATGCACGGTAAACAAAATCAAAGTTATTAATGTGTGCCAACTCGTGGGCTATTGCAAATGCAACATGGTCATTTTTGACAAGTAAGGACTTTTCTAAAGCTCTTCCACAGTTTGAATCCCAGTCGACTTCAATAGTATCAAATTGCACTTTGCTTTTTCGTAATGTTTCGACGTCTTTAATCAAGAAAGACCTTGGCAGTCCAATAACTACTTTGTTTGGTAGTAAAAAAGAGCCGGCACTTACAGTCAAAAACCCATTGTTTATAAACAAATCTTTATCTGAGTAGCTGCTAATGCCCATTCTCTCGCATGTCTCTTTGTATATATCATTGATTATTTGAGGCACCTCCGATTTTACTTTCAATTCAAATGCATTCCTGTTAATCTGCGGAAAAAGATGCGGGACTGCATGAAATGCCAATATGGCTGTTGCCCCAACAGCCGATATAATTTTTGCTCTCCGAAAAGGTATACCACTTTGAAATTGATTTCTTGGCACAACTTTCAGCGGCCCTTCGGTGCCCATAATGAAAATCAACCGAAATTAGTAAGAATCTTTCTGTGCTCTCTTTTCTGTAGATTTAGGCCATTAATTGCAGCCTCACACCGAGATACCAGCAGAAGTGATAAAGAGGCTCATTGCCTTTTCGGCTAAAAACATTCCTTTGTGACCCTACTCACCCAACCAATGTCTAGGTATTTTCATGTTTTCACATGCACCTTAACTTTCTATTTCTTTTCTTCTTCCATTAGTTAATGGTTGCATGGCTTGCCACTTTTGCATGAACAAGGTCTTGCTAGTAGACAGAAGAAGGTCATTGTTTCTTCTTCTCAAACCCCTCAAAAACGGTTGGGGTTAGACGGCGCATAGCCTGCGTCGCAGACCATCTCCTTCAGAATATGGTCTGCAACGCAGGCGCACCGACACCTCAAAAATAAATGGTCCAAATGATGCGAGAACGCCATCTTCAGTCTTATGATTGACAACGGTAAAATATTCTGAGGACCACCTTCCCCTTATTTGCTAATAGTTTTTGTTCGGTGACCTGGAACAAATATCAATAAATGAATAACTGCTCGACCCTCGAACAGAGGCGGGGCAAGGGGATGGACTGGGGTGGACATGTCTACCCAACTTTTTTATAAGATCGACTTTTTAAGATCGACTTTCTAACTTTCTAAACTTCTAATTAAAAACTGGACTAAAGAGTTTAGGGGGTGGGTGTGTTAGTTTTCTTCTCTTAGATCGGGACATTTTTCATTTTGATGGTCAGTTACGGTTCTTTTCAGATTTTAGCTTCTCCACTAGCCCGCGTTAAAACAAACCCGGGTTAAAAGTTATCCGTTTTTAAAGTGAGTCAATGAAAATGGCATTTTTCTTCGACCCAGGTTTAATCTGTTTTTGATCGTTCCAGCTAAGCCGGGTTGAAATGTATTCAGGGTGAAAAGTTGTAAGAGAAATCACTATTTGTTTCAATAACCCTTCATTTTCCATCGTTGTAGGCCAATGGAAGCAACATTGACATCGATGATTTGTTGCTGTTATTGCAAGTGGGTCAGAAATTATCCAGTTTCGGCGTTTCCATTAAATCACAGGTGGGACAATTCTGCATTTATAGAGAGAAGCAATGACTACACTTTTGTTATTAGAATGCAATAATTTTTGTACAGCCTCTATTTTTTAAAGAAAATTTTTGTTTTCAGCCCAAATATGTTCTTAGATACATCCTTATTTTTTTCGAATCCGATATGGTTTCAGGAAAAAATCGCTTGCTCTCGAATAGAAAACACCTTTTCTTTCTTTCTCCAACGTCTGTCACTAGAGTTTAAGCTTGACTCTTCCCCTCCCCAATTTCTCCCAGAAACAATAATCAGTGTTCTTCTGAGAAACGTCGATTTGTCTATCTTGAACGGTATGGTATTTTGTTAGACTTGGTCTGGGAGATGCTTTTTTAGCTATTTAGAAGGCATGATTTAGAAGATTTTTTCCATGTCGGCCCCAACCATGATGGGTCCTCCTACGTCACTAAACATGATTCTCAGCTCCCCAGGTTAAATTTCTTCAAGCTGTCTCTGAAAAACGTTATCAACTCAATTATAAAAATGTCAACGTGCTAAGAAATATATGTAAATATCTTAATAGAGCTGAAAAGCCTTGCTAAATCTAAAATCCTTTTTGTTTCTTTTTTAAGTCGTTTTCCCCTCAAACTCTTTCCATAACACATACCATAAATTGCTTTGTGGTGCCATGACCAACTGCACACTTTATATTCATTCGCACTGCATTACAGGTTTTGCTTGCTTTCTCCCGGTCTCCCGGTTTCTATGATTTTCTTCTTATTTATCCTTGTCTTTCAGCAAAGGTTTTCTTGTAACAAAAATGATTGAAATGACTTTGTTCGCAACAAAGTTTTTTGTCAGTGTTTTCAAATTAACGAAAACGTTAAAAATCATTAGGAAGACGCTACACATGATAATTGTTGTCATTAACTGTTTATCCAAAATGACTTTTTTTGACAGGTATGTTGTCTATAAATTCAAGAAATTCCAGGGATCTCCTTGTTTTTGGCCAAATATCCCTGTTTTTCTCAACAAAAAGTTTGAAATTTATAGATTTTGAAAATTTTAGGTTGACAGGTCTGATACAAATACAAATACTAATACAAATACAAATTAAAATACAGATACTAAAACAAATACAAATACTAAAACAGAAACAAATACTAATACAGATACAAATACAAAGAAAAATACTAAAACAGATACAAATACTAATACAGATACAAATACAAAAAAAAATACTAAAACAAATACAAATACTCATACTCATACTCATAAAAAGACAAATACAAATGAAAATGAAAATACTAAAACAGATACAAATACTAATACAGATACAAATACAAAGAAAAATACTAAAAAAAATACAAATACTCATACTCATACTCATAAAAATACAAATACAAATTAAAATACAAATACTAAAACAAATACTCATACTTATACTCATACTCATAAAAATACAAATAAAAATGAAAATAAAAATACTAAAACAGATACAAATACTAATACAGATACAAATACAAAGAAAAATACTAAAACAAATACAAATACTCATACTCATACTCATAAAAAGACAAATACAAATGAAAATGAAAATACTAAAACAGATACAAATACTAATACAGATACAAATACAAAGAAAAATACTAAAACAAATACAAATACTCATACTCATACTCATAAAAAGACAAATACAAATGAAAATGAAAATACTAAAACAAATACAAATACTCATACTCATACTCATAAAAAGACAAATACAAATTAAAATAAACATACTAAAAAAAATACAAATACTCATACTCATACTCATAAAAATACAAATAAAAATGAAAATAAAAATACTAAAACAGATACAATTACTAATACAGATACAAATACAAAGAAAAATACTAAAAAAAATACAAATACTCATACTCATACTCATAAAAAGACAAATACAAATGAAAATGAAAATACTAAAACAGATACAAATACTAATACAGATACAAATACAAAGAAAAATACTAAAACAAATACAAATACTCATACTCATACTCATAAAAAGACAAATAGAAATGAAAATGAAAATACTAAAACAGATACAAATACTAATACAGATACAAATACAAAGAAAAATACTAAAACAAATACAAATGAAATAGAATACAAATAAAAAAAAATACAAATAAAAATACTAAAAAAATACAAATGCAAATATTAAAACAAATACAAATACAAAGGCAAATGTAAATACAAATCAAATTCAAATACAAATTGAGGAAAAATAATAATAATACGATCATACGAAATAAAAATTATTTTGTAAACAGTATTAGATCTCTGTTAGGGAAATTTAGTCAATTATGTATGTGCAGAAAATCAGATCAAAAGTATATTTTTATGAACATGCTTGTCGAGATTCGATTGATATAAGAAATTATACATTTTATGATTATTGTATGATCATTTGTTGTACTTATTATCAAAACTATTCCCGTGCATAAAACGTCACTCAAAGCAGAATTCAAGCTAGATTTTTTAAATTAGGCTGTTACACTAGATGCAATTTCACCTTTCTACAAAATATAAGTCAATGCATGATTTTTATTTATCACATTTTGTGGGAATTTGTAGTATTTTATCAAATTTCTTGGTTTCATTTATTTTCCACATACCAACATAAAACCAAGTATTTTCAGACAGAAAAGTTTTCGAAAAACCCAACAGTAGAATTTAGGACAAACAGTTTTAGGAAAATGCCAAAATTAATGTTAAATCAGGCATTTAGTACAATTCAAATAACGATCAATGTAAGTAAATTGTACCAAGAAAAACGTTTTCTAAAATAATTAACGACGTTTCGAGCATAGCCCGTTATCAAGTAAGATTGAAAAGCGATGATAAAACTAAAAAATGTTAAAGGAATATGGAATTCGACAAATGGAATAGGAAGACGGATATAAGAGCATGGAAAAAAATATACGGAAAGAGCTAATAAAAATAAATATATATAAACATATACGCAAATACAGAATTTATGTATATGTATATATAAATAATATCATATTGTACCGCACGCATTTTAGTACATTTAGTACAATGATTGGATAATTAACAGAAAGAAACTTCAGCTAATTGTGTACATAGGTGTAGAGAAAATCAAGAGACAAGATTACTAAAAGAGCATCGAGGAAAAATTAAAAAAGACTGGCAAAAACAGGGCATCGAAAAGTTTAAAGCAGTTTTCCAGTATCTTTGTAAAGCGTGAGACATTCATAGCAAACCAGCATTCGTAAGCGTCGTAGAAACTGTGCTATGGTTTACGTAGAAATGGAAGAAGTTGTGAATAATCCTGGGAAGCTGGGTATGCTATTGATTAATCTTCAAAGTACACAGCCTCGCTTAATTTGGAATACGTATTTAAGCTTGACATTAACCGTTGTAAAGGGAAGCTGTAACGAAATACTAAATACTTGAAGTGTTTTCACTAAAAGATTCAAAAGTTTATCTTAAAACATTATCCTTTAACAAATTAAATACATGTATCTGTTTATCGTAGTAAAAATTCAAACAATCAAAATTGGAAACTGAAACAGCGTGAAACTGAAAAATGTTGATCGACCAAACTCAGCATATTGCCAAGCCCATCTTTGTGAGCGGAAATATTTATCGAATTAATTAATTTTCTACAAGTTTGGTTTAATTAGCAATCCTAAAGACTTCTAGAACCTGTTGTGGTGATGTAACAATTACAATAACATATGCTGCTGCCATCCAAATGGCTATGAATCCAACTTTCTTTATCAGCAAGAACATGTCTTTTGGAAGGAGGTACGCACTGAAAGTTCCTGTCACATCAAAGAGTACGTACGACAAAACCAAGTAAATAATGGTTGCCAGAAGAAAATTGAGTAACGGGTAGTCCTGAATGTAAACAATTAGCTGCTTGGCATTGCCCTGCATGTATACGTGCAACTGGGCGATATACGTCTCCAAAGTGATCTTGCCCAGCCAAGAGAGCATATAAGCATATTTAGATCGAAGTCTGGGGAAAATATTGCGAAAGTATATATAAGTAATAATGGGCAGGATCGATGTGTATGGGTGCAGTTTGTTGTAGTCGTATTTCCCAAGCGTGTAAACGTACGTGTACCATAACGCTATCATGAATATTAGAGCTGCTCCTATTCCAATTCTGATTGAATTCTTTACTAGCCTTTGCTTCGAGCTAAATGAATCTAGCTCTACATATTTGAGCAGCCGTTCGAAGTATGGGTGATTGTACGCGCATATCATGCCGAAAAAAGTAGCGTAGTGATCCAACCCACTGCGAAAGTTCCATTCATGCAAATTTCCGTTGTATCCAAGGATAAATTTGAATGGCGTAAAAACTATATCGGCAGCTCTTAGGTCGTAGATTATAAAAACCACTCCAGCATAAATTGACATTTTCAGAAACATCACTTTACGATTTTCATTCAAGTGCTCGTACGGTCGCATCATGGCGTAAACTGAGAAGAACCAGAAGGTATGCATAGCACAAATGTAGTAAAGCATGTACTGGTTATTTGTTACGACGGTTACGACAACCACCAGAAAATTCAATCTGAACAACATCTTGAGAACTCGATGCAGTGAGTAATCTCGGCGAACCCAGAAGAACGAGAAATTTCCTGGAACGAATAATCAAGGAAAATTTTTATTAAATCTATTAAAAAAAACTTTATATGGATATTCATCAAGCTGCAAACTGAGCCGGACATCATGACACTCAAGCAACAGCAAACACGTGGAACAGCACAAATATTCAGATTTCTAGATCCACAAAAAGCCTTAATATTTAACCAGGCTTCACCCACTTAGGTATTACTGAATGGAACAGCATTATTAGTAACAACCATCAATCTTTCCGTAATTCAATTCTTTCTCAACAGCCGAATCCAAACAAGTACGACACGCCCTATAAGACTACATCATATAGCTACTTAAGTTCCAATTGATATTCCTTATGAAATCTTTTGGTCTACGATAAAATTAATAAAGTGTCAATACTAACAAAAGGACCTCCATTAAAAGGTGTTAGAGAGTGAGTTGTGTTAGAGACAAAGCTTAAGCCATCTACCGATATCAACAGCTGCCCAATAAAAAAGCGCGATACAACTCATGTTGATTGATTAATAGTTGGTTGAAAGATGCTTTACACCACTTTATGATCTGTCTTTAAAGGCAACTGACCCATACAACAGGGGCCTAAGCCATCTTTCAATCAAAAATTGATCAATCAGTGAGTGTGACTCCACTCACACGCTCACTGATTGGTTGATATTGATTGACAGATAGCTTAAGCTACTGTTATGCCTGTCAATTACTTTTAAGGTGCGGAAATCAAGTTGTCTCTTACCAAAACCAGTCATCCAGACATAAGCTGCAATGAACAGACGTATCGCATTGTAAATCTCTGCTGCCTTGAAGTAGTGATACCAAACAAACATGACCTGCATCCAGCCTTTCCATTCTTCCGTTTGGTCCCTGTTTAGCAGCTTGCCATTGCACTCTCTGCCTGTTAGGCCACCAGAAACAACAAACAGCAATATAACAAATAGAATAAACAAATCCCTAGAATAAGTCCTGCTGGCCTTGGGTAAAAGATGCACGTAATCACAAATGTAGAAGTAGTACATGATTAGGCCTAGAATGATAACGGCATGCAAGAACGAATCAAACCCGACGACATTCTCTCTTCGTCTTTGCGCAACATTCGGAGCTGAAGTTGTGTTTGGCATTGTGCCTCCATCTTCAACGGTTTCCAGCAAGGTACGGGTTGATGTTGATGTTGGTGAAGATGGTACTCCTACGAAAAAACATCTTTTATTTGGACACTTCCAAGACTTTTCGGGAAGTTGCGACCCAATATTGCAATACGTAAATTATCAGAGATCATTTTTTCGTGTAATCTGTGGTTTTTTTCATTTCCTTTACGTTCTGTGACTTTGTTTGTATTCTAAGTTTCTATAACCAATATCTGTGTGTTAGTCCTTTCTTTATGGATTGTAGAAGCGGGCTTCTCGGCTTCTATCGCTCTAAAGCTCACAAATTGAATTGATAGTAGAATTGTGCGGAGTACATGTTCTTCTGAGTTTGCCTCTTAATGACTGCGAAAGCGAGGACCGTATCTTGAAGATAGATGATCTTTTTTATGAATTATGCGCCCAAATTCGTAGAGGTTAGGAATTGCTGGGACTATTTCTAGGGATTGTCCTTTGATGACTTTGTAGATACACCATATTGTGTCATAAAAAACAAACTGTAGAAATATACAAATGCTATAATTGAGAAAATTAGATTTACCTAACTGTTTTCATGTCTCTGGAAGGGGGAAGGGAAAAAGAAAGACTTTTCCGGTACAAGGTTTTCGGATATGGCTTTATTTTACATGGCTGGAAATATGGTTAAAGTTTTGCATTTTGAAGAAGGTAATACTTTAGGATGGTTATACTATGATTTTTATAACTCATCTTTTAATCGAAATTGGGGTTGGCGGCAGATGTTTTGATAAAAAAGATGACGAGGAAAACAGACATTGGTTCATCGTGTTCTATTTGCCAAGGAAGAAGCACAATGAATCCTGAATGAATAATCAAATGGACTTACCCGGATCAAGAAGGTGAAATCTACTGGGGACCAGATGCTTGGTGAGGGTTCTCATCAGCCAAACAAAAACAGCTGAACACCAGCAAAGGAAGAGTGCTTTCTGGTGGCTTGTTGGTTGTCCATTCGGGGGCAGAACACCTTGTGAAGATTTGAAAGCATCAAGAAAGGATGACAGGATTACAGTAGATGTGTTCAGTTTGTCCGCTTGTGTCATAGTGCAGGTGGCTTGTACACCTGAGATCTGAAAAGAACGTTACAGTATGAGAAAGACATTTCTAAGGATGCATCAGACATAACTTTTGTGCTTAACGAAACAATGTTGTTGTGTTGCTTTTTTAATGTTCTGATGCTAAACTAAATACAAGGATGCTACAAAAATATGGATTTGAATGCCTCTACTTTCAATAGAAGCAAATCATAGGAGTAGCATTTTCTCTATGCCAATTGATGGAAGCTGACAGGAATAGCAGTTTCATATAATAAAGAAATATGATCATATCAAATCGATGGTATTTCACATTTAAATTTCACTTAGTCTCAGTGTAAGTAATAAACCCAGCTTGATAGCTCATCTAAGGAACATATATTTTTTCCTCACATCCTTCTATACCGCCCAGTGTCACTGATCATACTAAGAAATATGAACGCGGCAAGAACATACTTTTGAACCAGAATCGCTATGAAGATTTATAGAATAATTGCTTTCATTTTTGCTTAATGTGGGATATTGATTTGACCTTTTAGTCTTGACTGTCAGAATAAGTCAAAATTAAATTCCGATAAAAGACCATGTATTGGTATATTTTGTTTCTCGTTATGCTTCCAGAAACGTGGCATACTTAGTTGATGAGGATAAGTTAACGATGGTTGGAGAAATCAAGATAAAACAGACAAAATAGAGCCATAGGACTGTAAAAGGATTCAGATTCAGAAACAAATGTAATTTGTATCCCTCATGCTTTGATCTTTCAAAAAAGCCATGAGATATTTACTTGTTGAGAACCTCGAGGACAATGACAAACCATTAAGCGGGATAATGATAAAGAATTTACTCTTGTTAGATAGATTCAAGCTGAATAAAAGAAGCAAGTGTCGAGAAGACGACGAGTTGCAGGTTGCATTAACCAAGATCATAAGGTCAATCAATAAAGGTTTGCATATTAAAAGCAACTTTCAAGAAAATTAAGTCGGCTATCTGTAGAAATATTTTCGTTTCCTTTACAGAATTAGGTGATAAATCAAGAGATGAAAGTCTAAATGCCTGGATCTAAATGCAAAAGAAAATATTCTTACCACCTTTGATTGCACGATCTTTTTTAAACTAGTTCGTGACTTAAACCAAACTGCTGTGGAAGTCGAAATCAAATAAACTTTAAATGAAGAATCTCAAAATGAAAAAATATCAAAATGATACAAGAAATATAAATAATGAGACTCACTCGCCGGTAAATAATGTCTTTCACTCAAAGATTTTGTGAACAGGTTATTGCCGCCATGTTTGGTGGAAGGAAACACGAATGCAGCCACATGCTTAGCCCAATCTGGGAGCCAAGCTTTACATTCCGATGGGATAGGTAACCCGTTACTATGGAAACCGTGCTTCAAAGAGGGCTGGTAAAATGCAAACGTTATTCGGGCAAGCTTTGTGTAAAGATAATTGACACAATACTGTCAGTATAGAGAAAGAAATGTAGATAATGCAGAGGATGCATCAATATTTATAATTTGAGGAGTTTAAAAGCATCAGCCATAGCGATAAAGTCACGTAAAGATATTAAGATAAACATGAAGATGAAATAAGCTAAGCACTGCTTAATTTACGCTTTAGCTGATATTTTCTGCTTTATGTGGCAGCAAATCGCGTCGCGAGAAATCTGCACAGAATGTAAGCATCGAGATTGACATAATGCCAAGAGTCCGGATACTTCGGGCTCTAGAAACATTATTAAAATACTCAGCCTTAGGGTATATAAGACCCCGCTTACACTTACATAGACGCAAACGGGTACAGATCCGAAATGTAGCTCTGTACCAAAACAAGCTGGATTATTAGCAGCGAAATAAGTTCGTGCTTAAAGCATAACTGCGGCGAAATCATTTGACGTGGCAGTTTAGCGCAAGGCTAGGTAGAACTTACAGCGCCCACCCGAATCCACCATGATATTCTGAATGGATTAAATTTGTTTTCTCCTTGATAAGTAACTGTAGAGAAACAGCTCCTTATATAAAAGGTTCCCTTTCCCTATATGCCGATTCTCCCACTATATCCACTGTTCATTTGAATTGTATTTCTACAATATTACTAAGTGTTTTGATTTGCTTGATTTTAACTTTGGTATTTTGCCAGTAGAATCTTAAATCGATGGAACTGGACCCAACTGAATGTTGAAATTTATGTTGAAATTTTGTGTGAATTCTTTCTAAATTTATCTGCGAGACAACAACAAAGACACAATATGTCCATGTTAGTTTGGGCTAGAGAAACACGATGTTTTGCAAAAAGAGCTGTCTCGCGATGTTTTACGGAATGTTGCCTATGCAGGGTTTAACGTTACAGACTGTGAATTTCATTTCGACAACTGCTGGTCTACGCTTGAAATGTCCGCCGTTGAAATGTCCCGGGTATTTCTTAAGATCTGCACAGTGATAGAAACCAATTAAATTTCATTCAATCTGATGACAACATCCATAAAACATTAAACTAAAGTACTTTCTGTCAAAAATAATTCTTAATAAAAAGCAATTAAAGTGAATGAACAGGTAGCATACTTGTTGAATTGAAGGTGAAAGGATATTAAGTGATTCGAACTGCTAATCAAAGTTCAGTACTTTTTATTCGTTGCATGGGTGTATAAAATATGGAAGTAGTATTTGTATATATTTTAATCAAGACGGGCTCGTCATTATAAAAGGCCGGGAAAATCGCCTTACAATATACTGCAAAAATTCTTCCGAAGAACCTAGAGACAGGTTTTCTTCTAACAAGACACCAATAACCACAGAAGATGAAAATGCAATGTGTCGACTACATATTTCAGATGGGACAGCAATACATTAGAACCCTAAGTTTTTTATAAATAAAATTGTTACTTTTTGTTGAAGGATTTAATCAAGTACCACTACTTTGCGAACAAAGTGACACCATACTTTGCGAACTCGAGAATTTGGCAAAACGCTTTCAAGGGAAAGGGCAATTTTCAATATCATTTAAAGGCTGCAATTCTATTCTGAAGACAACTCAAATCACATTCAAAAAGCTGAATCTTACCAGAGCCAACAATGTGTATATTACGATAGTAAATTTCAGATACAAGCTCTTCGTAAGTACACGAAACGCAGTACACTAAATTACAGTTCTCTCCTCACGCAACACCAAATATCATATTTCTCTAATACACGTAGCATCTGCGACGAGTTAAGGTATTATTCAGTGAACAGTGAATATTCCAGTGATCCATTCTCTCTACTGCACCAGCAAAGAGTGGGAATTCGATGTGCAGATAAAATACTTGAATGCATTGAATACACTAAGGAAATTATTCGTCAGTTTTTCTCTCTTTTCAAAGCTTCGATAAATTGTTCTAAACTCAGTTGTATGTGCCGAACACGCTCTGGAAAGCAAGTGAAATATTGATGAAGACGATGACGAAATTAACACATAATCTTATAGGAAATGCATTTCAATATAGGATCAAAAATGACTCATTCAATGTCTTAAAGACCTCCTAATAATGTCAATTGCTAACAACTGGCACTTTGTAGGTATATGAGTCTAAACCCAAGCAAAAACGCAATGCAAGGAGAAGCCATTCCCGGAATTTTAGATAATAAAAACTAAAAGATGTAGAGGCTATACTGTACAACTTGTCGAATAATGATAAAATATGTTTTCAAAATTTTCAATATTCAAGCAATAACGTCAAAAGAAACTATTGCTAACAGTTAATGAACACTTTAAGTTTGAGATTCACAGATCCACTGCAAACTACAGATCAAGTAAAAATTTGGCGGTGTGACGAAATGTAGCCAGTGAAAATAAAACGAAAACAAGCTTACTAAGCTCTTCCGCTAAATCAACTTGTCTTCCGTTAAGAAGCTTTTTCTTTTCGTCCTGGTTTTGACCCATTTCAAAAAGAATCTGCTTCACTTCATTTTCCAGTCTTCTACCTGAGAAAACATGGACAGCAGTTTATATGTAATACAGGCATTGAATCACTCAGATAATTCAAAAACTTTCAGCTGAAATTTTTATACAAAACACTATCTTAGGCCTTCATAAAAGCTGACTCAAGAGCATAATCAAGCCTGCAAATAACCAAGGACATTTAGCAAAATACTTGGACCCCGCAGAGAAGCAATTTCCAGCTCTTTGTATCACTTCAAATGTTACTGATGGCGCAAAAAAGGTTTTGAATTGGCATTTCTGTAATATAATAACTGTTCTAAGAATTATTAGAAAAGAACAACTCATTTCTAGCATTTGTATTTTGATAATTATAAACTTGAAGATTTCATATAAGTAGTCTCTCATTTTTTTGGAAGATAAATACCGCATTTCTTCTTAAAAGTGCCCGTCCTTGAAAAAGCACTCTTTCCAAAAAGTGCCCCCTCAAAGGAACGAAGAGTTTTCAAGGAAATATGTTAAACAGTGTACAACGCTAAAACATCGGAAAATTAGTGGTTTCATTGGGATGCGCAGTATTCAGCAACATCAAACGCGGTTATCAAACGCAACTATTTGAAAGTTGTAATTTACAAACCTTCAATATTCATTACTTGTTGCCGCAATGCATTACTAGTACTTTGCAGCATTTTTTGAACACGCCAAAACAACACAACGTCGTTACATTGAAGCTACAATTGAAACCAGAAGTTAATTGTCCTTGCTAGTTACAGAGGAAGATTGAGGCGAATCTAAATTCTACATAAAAGAGACACGAAATGATATCATCTCGTAAATATCGTTAAATCAACAAATCAGCTAGGGATAGCAAAAAATAAGGTGCATCAATCCTCATCAAAGAAAATATTTAAACAAATAATCCGAACTTTTTCTTGCTGGTTTATTTTGTTCGAGGATAAAATCAATTGGTTGTGTCGCATATAATTAGAGTATGATTGGGACAATGCTAGAGTCACCTCTACCACAAGGCAGTGAAAACACTGTTATATTGTTATGGTAAAATTTAGAATAACCGGTCGCAGTAACAATAATCAATGCTTCATTTATCAGAAAAGGCATGAGAAAGCCAGCATTTCCATATGAAGCATTATAAAATGATAAATTCAAGTCGTCAACGTCATTATGATGAATAATTTAAAAATGAAAAGAAGAAATATTAGCTAATTTACGAAATCAATCCTTTTATTGTTAGCACATTCATCCACACGCTTATCTCTAAAATCTGCCTCTCGCCCAACTAATTTTCCGATAACAAGGTAACTGTGAGTAAATGATGCGAAGTTGACGCAATGGCGCAAATACTACATGATGATGACATTACTTACGTCACTCTTGGCAAGTTCCCTGTGGTAGTATGCTTTGCGACACTCCATTACTCCTTCAAGTGACTGTTTCAGGAAGTGCAGACGATAAAGCGTCTTCCAGGTGTCAGTTATCTAAAGCGCGGACCAACAAAGATTGACTGACGATCAATTGACGGTACATGCTGGACGATCTATCTCTAACCAAAAGTTTTTACTCCAAATCATATCTCTCTGTGTCAATCGGTCCAGAGAACTCGGTTACAACGATGTTTTCAAAACTTATCAAAAACATCAGTATAAAAATTCGAAATCAGCTAGTATATGGAAGCAAAGTCTTTGATGGAAGTTGTTGATATTAAAACAATGCATTCTATGGACCCAATCACGTTTTTCATCTAATTTCAACAAAGGGGTCATCATCATCAGGTACCATCTTCTATCAGAAGGTTGGCTACCATGACCCTCCAAACTATCCCAAAATCTGAGTTTTGGTTTGTTGTCATGGTCATAGATAAAACTAAGGGGCGCAATAGTAGTAGAGAATAACAAAGGGGTGCAAAACCAAAATTCGATACGTCACTTACAGCCAAAAATCATTTTTTGAATTAGTTTCTATCGAAGGGAAATGATGGAAGATATTGGCTCTGGTGATAGTCAAATAAAACACGACAAACAATACACAAATACCGAAGATGGTGCAGCTTCAATGTTGTTCGTCTGCAAATTCTTTCTCACAGTTGTGATCTCATCCTCAGCCAGCTCAGGTCGATGCTTCGAATCAGCTTGCAACAGCCTGTCAAGCTCCTTCTTGATTTCATTTTTAACATGCTGTAAAGAAATCAGAGTGTGATAACGTTGAGGGCGTGAAACGTCGAGGATGTGAAAACGTTGAAGATAAATTTGTAGAGGGCCACAAAAAAGTTGTAGGGCTTTTCAGACATTAAGATAAAGCAGACATACTAGTTTTCTTTCCGCATACAAAGAAATAAAATGGCTGAGAAAGGGAAAATCTGGCTGAAAAAATCAACCTCTTACACTTAAAAACAACATTTCATATGACACAGAATGGATTAACGTGTACAGAATGATTTATAGTGATTCAATCTTTTGCTATTTCCCTTGGCCTGTGGAAATCAACTAGGAAAATGGCAACGTAATTAGAAAGAGTATCTCTTATCATGACACCCTTGGCAAGATACTATTAGGAATGCCATTTTTTACTTCGTCCGGTTTTTTTAATTCGGAATAAATTCGTCCAGTTTTTTAAAGTACGACTTTAGAAAGCCCCACTTTTATAAACCCAATGGTTTCGAACTAATGTTATTCGGTTTACTGACGATTGTACCTGGTATTCACTCAATGTGTTGTAAGATAAAATTCTAAAGTGCGTTGACTGAAATAGGCCCGGGTACATCATCTGAGCAATCTGATGATTTGAAGTTTAACTTGCATTTCAAAAATAAGACTGAAGAAAGCTAAAGAAATTATCGCTCTGTTAGTGTGCCAAATGCTTTCTCAAAAATCTACAAAAATGTCCCAAAACAGCAGCTTATCTCAAATTTAGATGAAACACCCTCCCTCATTATCTTGGCTTACAGAAAGGCATACAAACACAATATGTGTTGATAAAACTAGTAGAAACTGGAAAGCAAGCTTGATAATAACTTTGCTGCAGAAGCCGTCTTCGTGGATCTTTCTAAAGCCATTGACTGCAATTTTATTCAACTTCTTCTATAAACAATCCTTTTTTCTTTATACAGCCGGCAGCCCTTCGTAATTATGCCGATGATAATACACTTTGATATTTTTTTAAAACTATGGCTGAGCCCGTCAGGGTTTTTGAGGACAAGACAAATGTCGCTTTAACGTAGCTCGAACAAAATGAAATGATTGGAAACTGTGATAAATTTCATGCTTTGTCGGTAAGAAGAATCTAGAGTGGATAAAATATAAGATTTCAAGGTCATAGCAAACCAGAACAAACTGTAAAACTTTTATGCGTAGATCTAGATACCAAATTGAGCTTTGATACGCACATAGCAAGTTTTTGTAAAAACGCTGCAACACAACTAAATTTTCTGAAAAGATTCAGATCACATTTTGGATTTTAGCAGAAGGTACTAGGAGAAAGCTTTGCTTACTCTTACTTCAATTATTGTCCGACAGTTTGTTACTTTTTTTCTATGACGCTTCAAAAAATTGAAAACTAAAAAGTACCAGAACTAAGATTTCTTAAGATCATAAGAGCCCGTATAACTGTGTACTCAAAAAGTAAAAAGGATACACTATGCAAGGCTCGCATCATAATAAAACTCTTTGCATAAAAATCTACAAACAATGAATAAACCAAGTCCACCAAGATTACTTTAAACACAGATCTTCGCACTATTCTTCAAGAAATCCTTATGACTTAAAGCATATAAGTCCAAATCAAGTAACAAATCAAAATCTTGCAAATAAAATAAACCCAGCGGAAAACTTTGATGAAGCAGAGGGATGATAAAGAATTTGACGCTTGTAGTAGTTTTGATTCTGTTCAATTAAAGTTTTCGAGTGTATATTAATTTCATTAGATTTAGATCAGTTAACTTTTTGTATATTGTTAGTTGTGAAAATATCGAGTCAAAAGAAATAGACAGCAAGAACGTAGGGACACTTTTGTGAAAAGGGGCAATGAAATGTTTTTCGTAAAATATAAAACGACGAAATTTCAAAATCTGTCGAAGAAGTGAAGAGAACTAAAGAAAACACGGGAACGAACTTGCTCGCTGTTTCTGTAAGTCCAGTACATCCATCTTTCTTGCCAGCCTGGGCCTATTAGTGAGTTCAAATCACTCTGGGTCTTATCCTCTTCTTTGAGCAGAGTATTTTCCATGAATTTAATTGCATTGTCCCATTGTTGTTTATCTGGAACGTTCGTGTCTTCAAGAGCACTTCTCTGAATCACACGCTTGAAAAGTAAGGTGAAATGGTGAAGTGACTTATCGATTGAAGAAAGCAACAGCTTACTTGATACAGTGCATACAGGGCCCAAAGCGTTGACATTCCAAACATACATCAATCCAAGCAACGTTGCACATATTTAGCACATACCCCTATTCGTGGTTTGTTGTGGTATATGTAAATAAACTCCGCTAACCAACAAGTGGTAGAATGGGTGCCCCCCGATTACAAAAAAACTTTTTACCAAACAACAAAGAGCAAGCACAGCAGAACAGAATACCACTTAGCATCTGTATTCTTCTAACAGGGGGAAAGAGCTATAATCACCTTTATTAGGCAGTAGCGAGCACTTAACATTAAATCGTTACTTTTTTAGAAAGAGAGCTTTATGCCTGTTCAATCTCTTTATAAATGATTTTACTGTAACTAAAATAAAATCACTTTAAAGAGAAATTATTCGATGTATCTCTCAATGTATCATTCTTTCTCAATGTATATCTACAATCGAAAATTGTCTAATAAGAAGTCCAGAGTGAATTAAATAATGGTCGTGATAAGCAAAATTCCAACTGATTAGTGATCACATGAAATTTACTTATGCTGTGTTGAATAAACCAAAATATCAAAAATCAAATACCAAATTTTCGTGAGCACTGGCTTGCCAAGCATGGTTCACTTCACACTGGTGCTTCACAGCGGCTTTAAGGTGCTTGAACAATACGCTGTGGCCATCTTTTCTGCCACCGACTGCAACCCCTTCCTGCAACAAACAAATCATCACTCTAACGAAGTCCCGTATGTTGGAGCGATGAATTATTTCAGTAAATTTAAATATCATCCTTTTACGGCCCATTCAAAACTTATATTAAGTCACTCTCATCAATTTGTGCTGTTCTTGGTTACTTCAATCATTAGCTGTTGTTAGGAATCATAAGAGCTTAAGGCTTTCCTGGCGAGAGATGATGCAGGTTATATGAATGCTTTTTGGAAAACCAGTGGTACATTCACTGATTAAATAGACTAAATTACCGAATTACGCTGATAGCATACGATGGGCCTACTGGCTTCATTTCAATGATGGGCCTAGTGACATTGTTTAGGTTACAGAAGCCTTCTTTCTTCTAGGTAAAAGCTGATCATACATGAACAGAAAGAGCAGAATGGAAAGACAGACACTATTCACCCTAAGTAATAAAAAATCGATTAACAAGTCCTGCTAAATAGCGAAAGAAGCCCAGAAAGTAGTAACGAGGGCTTATCAAATGAGACTACAAACCTCCATAGCTCTTGCGAATTCATCGAGCAGAGTTTGCCATCCAACCTATTGAAAAGGCAAACAAATAAAAAAGCAACGAAGATAGTGAAAACGGGATACATGGCGTTTAAGACTGGGTACTTGCATCTACCTTGCGATTAATTTGTGACTAACCTGCGACTAACATGAGATTAAAAATGAATGCTGCCTGAAAAACAAATTAATGAAAATAGTTCCTAGCATAGGTATTAAACGTCGAATTAGTAGTCCTCTTTCAATAATGTCCGAAAATGTAACTTTTCATAAAAGCAATGCTGTTTTGTTTGTTGTTTATAAGAGCAATGCCTTGGTTCAGATTTTTTTATTCACTCGAAGGAATTTTGGAAGCATTTCTTGAACACGTTCTGTAGGAATTACAAAAGATCACTGGCCATTTTTATGTAAAAATACAAAAACAGACTGACCTGAACGCCAGAATCTGGAAGTGATCTCTCAACCCATTGCTTCAAAAGAATATCAACCTCGGTCCTAAATGCGACTGGATCGTTTGTTTGAGCAGAGGGTAAAAAAATATTTTCGAAAGCGTAAGGCGAAAGAGCGTCCCAAAGGTTTGCATAGATACTTTGCTCCCACTCGTGAGGCTTAATTTGGCCCAAACTAAGGACCTCATCCAAGATTTGTCCTCGGGCCTTGTCATATAACTCATCCTGCAAAATGCAAAATACCAATAATAAGCCGCTGTGGATATTCAATAAATATCATTCATTGAGAGCCATTGCCAAAATGGCCAAGCCAAAGAGAAAAATGACAGAATTAACAGAGAGTAGAAGCGAGAAAGAAATTATATTATTTGCATATGCCTGATACAAAAAATGAAACATGAGCAAGTGGCAAATTTATAATATAATCCAATTGAAAATATCGTTCAATATCATTTAAAAAAAATTTGTTTCCAGTTTTCCGATGATTTAAAAGGCAAGAAAACCCTGCTTCAATAATACTTTTGAGAATATTATGAAATCCCACTCTCGAGTCCACATGTTGTCCCCTTTGATAATCCATTGGTAAGTACTATTCCTGCATGACAGTACCACGTTCATCTAGACTGCTTGCAAATTACATACGTCATTACAATAACCATATCGCACTTAACGTTTTACACCAATGTTTCTATTTATACTTGGAAAATGAAAATAATTACAGGGAATTGATTAGTAACAGCGCCGAGCCTAGTCCGGAGTTTAACTTTGCTTGTTCGACACCATGCTGTATCGTAGTACAGAACAAAGAGAATATGGAAGACAAATACATACGCGGTCTAATTCCCGGACTGATGAATAGTTGTTTCTCCATTCAGTTTCTAAATTGAATTTTCTAGCTTTAAAAGTGTCTGCCTGTTGCTCTATAGACTCCCGAACCATGTTCCAAAAGCAGTTTGCAACGGCAAAACTAAGATTCTGTGTCGTCATTTGACTGGCTTTCAAAGTTCCACTCCTAAAAAGCGGAATATTTCTGTTACTTTCTCAAACGACAACAATCTTTTCTGAGATGAATGGAAACAAATTACTGCCCTGAGAGCCAAAGCTCAATAGAATACAAAAACAGGCGGATGGCAATGTTGATATCAAAGGATTCATGGGTGTTCAGGTCAATATTAAAGCGATTAAAGAAATATGGCAACAAGGAAAAGGGCCAGTGCTAGGTTCAGTGAAGCATGAATGATGGCAACATTGATATCCACAGTTATCTTTACTGCTGAGGAAATATCAATATTAAAAGCATAGAGTTAATTGCAGTATATTACAGTCGGTTTAAATAATATCAACAGAACTCTGTGCTTCCAGAAAAATTAAAATATTGAAGAGTAAATAGTTCGATTTTGGATATTACAATTTGCAAATTGAAATCCACAGTATTCTGTATTTCAGATAAATGCAAATATTGAAGAGTAAAGAGTTCATAGCAATATAATACAGTGGGCTAGATTGATAATTCCAATTACTCGGTAGTTTTTGGGAAATGGGAATATTGAAGAATACAGAGTTCGATACAATTTGGTACAGTTCATATATTGCAGAGCAATAAGACCAATGCAGTATAATACAGTTGGCAACACTGATATCCACATGATAGTCTGATCTACTTCATGACAAATGCAAATATAGAAGATAAGAGAGTTAAGCGCAGTATACAATAGGAAACAATTTTCAAGAGCAAAATACGGATACTTACTTGAAAAGTTTTGAATTCCTAAAGAAGTCTTCTTCATACTGTCTGATGGCACTAATGCTGTCACTTGTGTTACCTAAAATAACCATAGCGACATCATCACAAAATGTTCATTTAGCAAGCGTATCAGTGACAAAAAAAGCTCAAGACATTGAGACTATGGAGCGCAATTTTGATTCAGATGTTTGTCAGGAAGAGACATTGAAAGGACAGTGCAATGTTTTGCACAGCTAGCATGGATGCTCCAATAAGATCCGTAAAGCACATGAATGTTCAAATGATAATTATTTTTTGATATCCTACAAACTAAGTCTGTTTGGAACAACACTGAATTCATAACGAAAATGAAGTCAGGATTAAACACAAGTGATCAAATCTCGATTGTGTTCAAATCCTAAACATGGAAAGTGAAATTCCTGGTTATATCTGCAGAACGGATACCTGGGAAAGTCAGCTTCCCTGCTGCTTTCCAATAATCGTAACAATAAAAAACAAGTATAGGTAAATTGAACTCTAAGGTGCTGTGTCAGCTAGTTCAAGATATTAATTCCATACCTGTTCCGCTAACAACTGCAAAATAGCCCATGGCCTTCATCGGAAACAACTTCCCAGATAGGATCTGCTTTATCTGAAAGAGACATATCAAAAGAGATATAAAGATGGCAGCAGTATTCAGTCAGCAAAACTTGTTAGGTTGCTGCTGTTTGTCAACTTGCTCTGGCATTAAAAAACTAAATGTAGTTACTTCATTCTCAAACAGAAAGGCGAAGATTTCAAGCGCTGTTCAACAAATGTTATTACCGTAAATCTTCGAATTGCCCCCCCCCTCCACACATAAGCTTCCCCCTTCGAAAAAGCCCGCGCTGGAAGTATAAATTGTTAATATACCTTCACTTCAAACAACATGCCAATTTTTGCACCTTGATGACCCCAAATGGGGACTTAATTGAGAATAGAACAATTTACTATTTCCTAAATTAAAAACCACTTCTTCGAAGATTTACGTTAAATGAACAATTATTTTCCAACTAACAGAGAAAAGCGCATTTGAGATAACGCCGAAGCACATTAATCACAAAGTGCATTTAAGAACCACGTTTAAGAAAAAAACAGTCACAAATAAAACTTTTATTTTAATTTGTTGCATGCAGAACAGGTATTCCTGGGATTCAAATAAACCTATTGTACCGACTTGAATATTTTTCAATGTCGAAAAATACTAACAGTGATATTCGTTGAAAAACAAAAGTATCTGTCAACCTACAGCAGATGTCAAACCTATATGTTCAATTTTCAAATAATATGAAAAATGCTTAGTAAAAATTTTGAACTGAATAAATAGACAATGACTAGGCACACAGTAGAGAGTTTAAAGAAACATTATTTGTATGCTGAAATATGACATTTTTGCAAATTTGTACTTTCTTTTTTACAGAAAAGTTGAAATGAAATATTTCGAGGTTTTTTCTCGCATATTCAACACTGTTGAAATTGGACTAAAATGAAGAATGTTTATTGTTGTCGCTCTGGAAACAATACTTAGAAGAGGGATCCGTGAAACTCATTATTCAATGACGCTCCTTTGAGGAATTCTCCGGAGGAGGTCGAAGATAAGCATCCAGCATGAACTTACCCTGCTCGGGTTTGCTTCATTTGACTCTGCAACATCAGTCTTTGTAAGCACAAAAATAGTCCTCTTTCCTGTAATAAAATGAATTATATCCAGAGACAGGCCAGGAATACACGTTTAAAAGGAAAGTGCGGAGAATCAAATACACGTTTAAAAGGAAAGTGCGGAGGATAAAATACACGTTTAAAAGGAAAGTGCAGAGAATCAAATACACGTTTAAAAGGAAAGTGCAGAGAATCAAATACACGTTTAAAAGGAAAGTGCAGAGAATCAAATACACGTTTAGAAGGAAAGTGCGGAGAATCAAATACACGTTTAAAAGGAAAGTGAGGAGAATCAAATACACGTTTAAAAGGAAAGTGAGGAGAATCAAAAACACGTTTAAAAGGAAAGTGAGGAGAATCAAATACACGTTTAAAAGGAAAGTGCGGAGGATCAAATCAAATAATTTATCAAAAACTGTCAACGATAATTAAACACGGTTTAATGATGATTGGCTAGACAACACAGACTATTTTACTGGGAACATGTTCATGAAGCTAAAATATATTAAATCCAGGTACGATGTTTAAATACAAGGCACTCTTCTTTACGTTTATTCCTAGAACATAAACACTAAAATGACAGTTCCACTGGGAGCAGAAACAGCTAGACTACTCCATGACCATTACAAGTGAAGATAAAAAGATGAAACAACAATCAGTATTACAAATAAAAAAACAAATGTTAAATAAAACAATACAAAGATACAGCATAATTTAACTACACAAGATCGGGAATGTCTAATTAAAAAAGAACAGTCAAAATTAGTTATTCTATAATGATGTTTAATGGGAATTTGTTGTGTCTTCGGATGTAACCAAAGTTAATCACAGTTGGATCAAATTGATCAGTTTTGTAGATATAATTAAGAGTCAATTCAAGTAATTTCAGTTGATACCAGTGGGTAGGTATATATTACCATTTAGTAGATATCGCATTAGGGCCCTATTTGGCATCAGTGAGGACTGTCTGACCATGAAATCAAGAAATCATCGAACCTGATTAAATATTGATGGTTTAACAGTTTGGACATTTCAGATAAAAAACAGAGGAGCAAGTATATCCAACGAACTTTAAATAACAAACAAATGAATTCAACGATGACGTACCACTAGGGTCACATGAGCTGACTGTTTCAGTGACAATACTCCTCTCTGCGTCAACCGAACCATCTACAAAGAGACAATTTTAACTTCATTATCAAGCCGAAAATCTATTCCAAGTGACAGTCAGTCCTTAAAAAGTTACTCCACTTCTGGGTTGTAAAGAAGCAAAAGAAACATGGCCTATAAAGCTCGATTGCAAGTAAAACCTTTAAACAAGTCTTTAAGCCTAATCCCACTGCACGTTATTCTCTATCAACACTTTCAGACTTGAGATCTTGCTAAATCCTTTATAAAATCAAAACTGTAATGTGAAAACATTTCTCCACTCGATACTTACCCTGAACACACAATATAATTGCATTTGGATTCGACATGTAGTACCTGAAAAAGGGTTAATGATAATAAAGTAGGGAAACGTCATTTGACATTTTGCGTACACTGAAAGGCACGTTTAAAACCCTGGACTATGACCAACAAGGTCGAGACAAAATTTGAATGTCACGAATACAACAGAAATGATGGATGATGTGCATCAACAAAGAGAGAATGCAAGCACAAAAGTTTAAAGTAGGAATTAAAACGTTTCTTATTGTTGTGATAAGGTTACTGAGAGGCAAAATTAATGACGGCAATCAAGTAAAACTAAATTACAATAACAAGAGGTTTCATAAGTTGAAAAAAGAAATAAAACGCAGTTTAACCTAAATTTGGCTTTAATCAACGCTTCTTCATTTACGACTAAACTACGACTATGCTTCAATGCGCTTACTTACGTTTTTGACTGGATTGCTGAATTACAATACGTTTTTGTTGACGTCAACTCAATCTGTTCAAGTATTATCAAAGATGGCAAAATACTTTTTCTATCCTCAAAGTGATAACAAACAAAGAAACAAACAAATGATGAAGCGATGAATAATCCAAACTTGCCTTGTAACTTCCATTATTGATTTTTTCGTGTTTGTGCCCATACCCGTGGTCTCAGTCTAGAAAAATTAAAAAAATACGAGAAAACAATGAATTCATCGTGATGAGAATGAGAAAAGTGACGAAAAACTCCTTAAATCCCAAGACATTTAAAGCCTGTTATACTTTCTCGGCTAAAACCTCGTTAATTGATAGCTTCACGTAATACGGAGCCAAAACTGTGAGGTCACAGAGAGAAGTTTACAGGTACTATTCCGCCGGAGTCAAATTTGCAGACAAATCTTCCATCACGATATTGCAAGCTCGTGATTAGATATGTGGATACATACGCTGATTGTTCCAGGAAGATCGACGAGTACCATCCGAGGAATACCAGGGCCTTTGACATACATTGATATCACCTGTTTCAAAAAAATCATAGCATTAGAAAAAATCGAAAAATATTGAAGGAAAAGAGATAAGCGCTTTTACCTTCAAGCCATACGAATTATACCCCTCCCGAATTATTAAAATATTTCAGAAAACTTTTGAAAAAAAAATTTAAATTTTCCTCTAACTTGAAAAACTGGCGGAAAATAAGATTATAACAGGGAAATGCTTAAAAAAATTAGTTGCACGGAGTCGTCATTTTAAAGGTAAAACGAGGGTCTTGCGGTATTTGATGCCAATGTGGTATCAGTTTTGGATTCATTTTGACTAGTTCAAAAAGGTAACAGCTGAAAACAACTTATATCACTGGATGTCCTTTAGAAAGGCAAGAATGAAGCGTTTCAGCTGCGATTACTTCATACTTTTATAGGTTCTCCGTAAATTGATTCATGTTCATCACACAACTAGATGGCAAAAAAAAGAAATTAGGACTCACGTCTGTGCTGACTGTTTGGCCTTCTTTCAAATTACTCTTCATTTTTATTTCGATTTCGGCTCTCAGTCGACGAAGCTGGCGATAAAGTTTATATGATTTGAATCTGGCACACATAGAATGGATTTGAATCTGGCACACAAATCTATTTTTAGTTACAGTTACATAGATAATAAAACTTTATACGTTAGAAAATACTGAAAGAGTAGTGATAGGCAAATTAAAGTTTGGAAATTTAATGTGGGTCTGAAAGCGACTAGATCTCTACCATACCAGCCGATTTATAATAAAGCTCTTTTGTATGTTATCACGCCTTGCTCGTGTAGGTAAGGGCATATTTATCGATAAATCCACAAGCAGGATAAGATTTGCTGATAAAAAATGGCAACTTGACATTATCTATAGCAGGATGCTGAAAGGAATAGACTAAAATAAATTTTACTTTTAATTAGATAGGGGGAGTTACTGCAAAATCAAGAATGGTCTTTCTTATGTTCGCAAGACGTTGTAAGAAGTAAAACCAATGGAACGCGTTAATATGAGAAGTATACAATACTAGTGCTAGTACAGCTCAGGGGTAAGAAATCTACGTAGTATGGGCCCTACAAAAGCAGTTTGTAATGAAGACTATAAAATCTCACCTCATTTTCGTCGGTGAGATCAAACTCCTTGGTAGCGCCTTTGAAGCAGGCAACGTGATTAGGCCCTTCTGATAAGGTCACCATTATGGGGCATCGTGTCATCATTTCACCGGCACCCCTGCGGATTGAAAAAGAGGTCAATTTGCCCAGGAACCCAATGAAATGAATTCAGGCATACAACTGTTGATTCAAAAACACCTAGCTAGTTTTAGAAAAACATTTGTCCACTCTTTGTCAACCTAAATGAAATACAGTAAAACCACAAAAAAGAGCCTACAATCAGAAACTATGTTTTCTAACTGATGAATAAGAAGGATTCCAGCACGATATCATAGCAAGGTTATGAATAAAAGCTTTCATATTCGTGAAAACAACAGCAACCTGTTTAGAAAACCTTGTTTAATGGACTCAACAATTGAATTCAAAACTAGTATATGTTGATGTCAGCATAAACTAGTTAAGCACAGCAGAGAGGCAAGGAAATTATTCACCAAATGGATTATGACGGCCACAGGGACAGGAAAAGATCAAATACTGCCTTTGAGACAAAATAAATATGACTTTTATAGAAATAAGCTTTATGTTGCGGGCAACTTAGTTTTCAAACTTCAGAGCCTAAACAAGCTGAGTTCATAAGAAGGGTACTGTATGCAGGCTTGTAGTGTTCTGCAACACACCCTCAACATATTGCTGGGTTTGTAAAAAGGAGTGTGAAAATCTAAGTCAAAAGGTAGCTTACATGGTAATTTTACTTCTATGGTCATTACCCGGAAATCATGGTCAAGTAGCTCCAGTACAAAAGCATAGCAATTCCAGTTTCATTATGCAATATTCAAGCAGCTAGGACTACGAAAAAACTTTGTCTGGCAGTAAATTAAACTACGTAACCATAATAAAGACGAGTTACGGAAAAGGGTTTCTGAACAGAATTTATGTGTTGGCTGTTCAACGTGCCAAGAAACAATATTAGAACCTTTTACAGACACCTTTTCGGCCAAAACATATTATATCAGCGTATTAGTCAATCACATTACTGCAATACCTGGAAGGTACCATGACAGCACATGCCAACATGTGAGCAACTTGTTTTGACTCGTGGAGAAGTCTTGCTTGAAGAAACAGACAACTATTCTTTCCAAAAACAGCAACGTGGCAAATAAAGATACCATCCGAATCTTGCAGAGGCTTGCAGAATAGTTGTCATTACCTTGAAACTTGTTTCTGCTTGTCTTTCCTCTCATAGTATAACACAATCGAGTCATTTTTATGCCTGGAATTAGAGAGCTGGCGACTCTTCTCTCTTTTAGTGAATCAAGCCTCAATCCAATGATCGTCACAATATTATTGTGTTCCCTACCATGGAACAGCAGTTTCAGAATTGACAATTATAAGGGGAAAACTCCTTACCCTAGAACAGCTCTTGCAAAGTCAACAACATATAACTCCTTACCTTGGAAATATTCTCGCCCTTGCAATCATTTCTAGGACGCTTGTCTTCCCAGCACTTTGGTCACCAACAACAACAACCTGTCAGTATATATACAACAACAACCTGTCAGTATATAAACCAATCATACAGCTATATACAACACAAAAGCACCTTGATTCGTCTGAAATATTTTGCAATAATTAAGAGGTCATCGCAAAAAAAATTGACATATGTCAATTATTTTTGGAATTTATCAAAAGCATCTTTTGAGAAAGAGAACTTGCGTTTTCTGATGTTAACTCATTGAAGCAATATTCGAGATATGACGCAGGTGTGATCAATAAGTTTGAGATTTAGATGTAATTTAAAAATCCTTGCATACGGCAATCATTTAACAACATCAACTCCAGATATACTCATTTTCTGCCCATCTATTCTAGTCTGAAACTCTAATGTGAAATGCATATTTAGGTGCTGATATAACTCATGAACACGAGACAGGTGGTTTTCTAGCACAATTCATACATCACTATGCCAATACCCCCATTAAAAACTAGATGAATGAGAACTCACCCTTGGCAAGTGATCTTGAACATTGTAACTAGCATCGTACTCTGATAGCAAATCTAGTACATCCGAGTACATATCTATTAAGGATCTCTGTAAGGAAGACAATTTTTCTATGTTAAATAAAGCAGGAATTACATCAGCAGATTGCTCATACAGTTTGGGTAGTCGTTGCAACACACATTCACTGAAAAATCACCCAAAACCTTGATTGACATTTTCTTGCAACTTTCATGTCAATCAATGCTTAATTTTCAATAACTGTGCCCAAAACTAGGACTGGAGGATTTCATAAAAAATCCTGGACTATTGAAATTAGAATCGACATTCTCAGATTCAACAGAAAGAATTTTAGATTTTTGACTGGTTTCATACCAGTGACTGCAAGTTGACATAAACATTTCCAGATAAGAACGACATAGTAAGCAGTGGCGGACACTTGGGGGGGCAAGGGGGGCGACGGCCCCCCAATACTTTAGAGGACAATGGTCTTTTGTTCGAAAACAATGGGAAATGTGACGTCATCTTATTAAAACAATAGGCTTGCCCCCCCCCCAATATTTGACCAAGTGTCCGCCCCTGATAGTAAGTATATATTGTGTGGAAATAAATGCGGCTAACAACAGCTGAAATAATCCCTTTTTGCACTGTGTGACCGAAGCAAAACCCCATACCTTTATTTTGCGGTTATTTGATGATACTTTCTCTCCTCTAGACATCAGCTGTTTCCGTAATTCTCGGTTTTCTTGCTCAAGACGGTCGATCTCCCTTTGAAATTTTTGCTGGAACATAATAACATTTGCTAAGTAGATAAAAGGTAAGGAGTATTTTTTGGCGTCAAGCTACGAAATCAAAATGAAAAAATTCTGAAACATTCTACTGCATCAATTTTATGTCTACAAGCACCAAAATCGAAATAATAATATTAGTATAGCACTCAAAGCGCAGGGTATAAATCTTTTTAGCTGAGCTCCCACTTGGATTCACAAGCATTGTCATTTTTATATATAAATACAGTTATATAATATTAAGTTATTTAGTATATAGTTAGTTCATAAAGAAAAGCAAATGCCAAAGTTACTTGGAAACTGAAGGACATTAGAGTATTATACTCTTTTTCTGAGTTTACTGTCTCGGAAAAAAACGCTTTCGAACACCATACATAACTTTGAACTAAACAAAAGTTTTTAAAAGAGATATTAATGATTGCAGTAGATCTTTTGAATTGACTTTATTTTTCGAAGGATTTTGGTCAAAGTTTCTAACTTCTAACCTACAATACAAAAATTATCTATTAAAGGCACTATCACCCGACGCATTTCGTTGACCATGGAAATTTCCAAATAGCTGAACTGCACAACTGACCTATTGTTACGTATCCAATCGGCAATGAAAGGCTAATTTTCAAAGTTTTTGCAGTCAGAAATACGCTGCAGAGCCTATTTTTAACTCTGAAAGGTTCACTGACGGGACATAGTATTTTGCAAAAGAAATTGAATGCATATGAAGGAGCTAGTTCAGGCTTGCATGTGCTTGTATACACAGTCACAAAGAAAGTGATTCTTTCTTCTCCCAAATGTAGTGAAAAAGGCATCGTCTTTAAATATAAGTTCCATATGTGGAAAAAGGCTTTAGATTGTTGAAAGGCTCTATTCTCATCAGCCAAGCGACTAACGGTTACCCCTTCCCAACTTAATCATAAAAACCCCAAGTCATTTTTCTACTAATAAAACCTCTATAAAACTTCATTTTTTCCGTTGTAAGAATTAAAACGTACAAACAAATGAAGAATGAGAAGAAGCTGAAATGACTTGAACCAAAAAAGCTTCCATTTAAAGAGTGTATCGCCAATCTATAGAGAATCCTTCGCATAAATTTTATCTACATGACGTGAAAATACTATTCAGTGTTCTTAACAGAGAAACACTTGCTCGAAGCGACAGCTACAGACCAAAGTATTGAGATTGAAAATTTTGTTACCTGCATTTCAATTAATTCTGATTGTGCTCTCGCAAGATGGTCACGTAGCTAAAACAATAAGAAATGAAATGCATTGCAGACGGCTTTAAAAATAGAAAGACTCATGACAAAATGCACTTTCAGCGTTATAATCTTCTTTAAGAATTTTTTACGACTCGCAATCTTCTTTTAGGAATTCTGCTCCATAGAATGAAAACTTGGTGACAAACTTGACAAAAAATAACAAATTATATATGGAAAGTTAAAAGAGATAATTCAAAATGATGAATATAAGAGACCGGGTTAGATTAGAGTATGTTTTGTTTCAGGTTAAAAAACTGGTTGATGAAAAGAAGGTTCAGGCAAGACTGAGGAAGACAAGAGAAAAACTTCAAGTACTTGCTGGTCCTCTGTCGATAAATCTTTCCTTCTCTCTTGGTCATTCTCAGGTTCACCAAATATGGCTGCAGAGACCACCGATGGCCTCGCTTCTAGGACAAATGGCAACAACATCAACAACACTGTGGCAGATAAATTTGCGAGTTTGCAATGATGGTGATTTAGCTTTTCGTTAATAAGACGAGATTTTCATAACGTTTTAGGTTGTTAAACTGAACAACCTAAAACTTGACCTTGTTGAAAAGATGGTCTAATGAGACAGCTAGTTAATTCTGACAGTGATAGTATAGTCTGAATTTGAGTCATGTGTTGAGATTTGAAATGAGTATAAAAGACAAAAACTTACTTTGACACAGATATAAAAACATGCAACTGAGTGTGCATATGTAATAGAATATGGTAATGTTGGACAAAGCACAAAAATATCTAGTTTCTTACAGAAAAGGCTGGTGAATGAAGTTTCCTGGACTTGCATAAATCAATTATTGATATCTAAAAAGTGGTCCAGCCCACCTGCCAGGATCAAATCATCAATGACGTCACTGGCCACATCAATAATACGACCGGTCACCTCTTGTAAATCAACTGCTTCTGTGAAAAGAAAGGGAAAAAATTGTTGTCATTTGTGATGCATTTGTGAAACAAGCAACGGAACAGGAACTGCTTGATAATAGAATAATAGAGGATAATACTCATAAACTAAAAGAGTAAAATAAATTGTACGAGGGTGCATGAATGATAAAAAATAGAGGATACATGAAAAATAGAATAATAAGTTAGAATAATAATGCAATGAAATACCTTGAAGTGAAATTTCATTTTCATTGGCCTTCTTCTGAAAAATGCTTTTTGAAACTTGAGAGAAGAATAAAATAAAACATAAACTTCAGCTCCATCTTCAGGAAGTGAAGTATATATTATTAGAAAACAAACAGACTTGGCCTGACTTCACTAAGAACCAAGCAAAAAGTGTTGAGACTGATGGTAAATCACCAAAGACATCTCTTGTTTTAATAACAATATAATTATGCCCATACTATAATACTATGATTTGAACTAGTAATATAATCAAAATAATGCATTATTACCTGATAAAAACTTCAAATGATGATTAAACTATAAACTTTTGAATTATGCCTACTGAAAAATTTAACAGACCTAGAGTAAAAATATAAAAAGTTTAACAATTACATTGAAAATGGTCTGGTCATAGAAACCATGAAATTTGAACATAGGGACTACCTACCATCTATAACAGAGTTTTTATTTAAATACGAATCCAGGCCTGTCCAAAAATCTTTCATCTTTTCTCTAACTAAAAGGGAAACCACCAATATCCATGATTAGACATTGATAGTTATTTAAAAAAAAACTTTAAAGCTTCAGATAAAAATAAAAAGAAGTCATTAGCAAATGCAAGCACCTCAGGACATCTGCATTCTGACTCAAAGAGACGAAAGAGTGGTTTAATCTCAAAAAAATCTTACCAAACTCTATTTATCATAAATCAAAATAAAGCTTGACTTCTTGTGGCAGCAGGGCTCTTAGCTACCTTTGCAAAAAATTATCTTCCTCCTGATTCCATTTGTCTCAGTAATTCAAAGATCTAAAATGCATCAGACAGGGAAAAAGCGTCTTTCATGAAAATTGAAAGAAAACTCACTGTTTGGTAATTTATCACTAACAGATGGAACTTTATCTAAAACTTCTAAGTAATCCTTCAACCAGGTAATGCTTGGCATCCCATCAATAAATTCGTTCCATTGATCTTTCCTTTTGTTATACTCCTGTTGTCAAAAAACAAGAGAATAGTGCTAACTGTTTTTGATCTGGAAAAAGTATACAGATACTGAAGTTTGCAAAGTAAATTGGCACAGTGTGATTATAAAGATAAAAAATATTGAGAGAAATGCCTTTGATGCATGAAATATGTATACTACCCCTTTACAAATATGACATCTTAACAAACTCAAACATAGTAGGTCTGTTTTAAAAAAATTTCTTCCAACATCAATGGTTTTAAATACCTATGGTATGGCAAGTTGTTTCAGTACTGTTTGACTACTTGTTTGTTTCTAAAGGCCCAATTGTCTCTCAGGCAACCAATCAATCATACAATCAAGACAACAAGTGCTTGAAATGTGAAAGCTTGCAATGTTAAGAAAGATAGAATTCCTGCCAAGTGAGATACTTGAAAAGATCCACTTCAGCACGATTGTTCTGAAAATAACATATGGGCTGCTGGTGTGGGGGTCATGTTCAAAGAATCTACTACAGAGGATCGAATGTCAGCACAAAAAAGCAGCTAAGCTGTAAGGAAAACGAATGAAAAGGTGAAAGATGTAGAGGTACTCCGAAGAGCAAGCTGCAATAACATCAAAACTTCATTAAAATTTTTAGGACATACTGCCATAAAATGGAGTCTTAATAGTTATGGTATGAGCTAGAAATTGTGCCATGCAGATTGAACTACTTGATTGTTCTTCTTTAACTTAACAGGCTAAACTACATCAATTTTTATTCTCAAAGTTTTTTTAAAAGCCATGTGATAGCATAGGGCTCTCTTGGTCAGAAATTGCAACCCATGACAAAAACTTATGTGATCAGTGTGGGGTGGGTGTTTCAAATATATTTGATAACACAAAATAATGAAATTTTTTAACAGGAATTATTCCAAAGAGGATAATTGCCATAAACGATTAAATTGTTGTTTAGAGTAATGTGTGAGATAGAGTGGTGTTTGTCAGAAAGTTTGTTGCTAATGGTGATAAATGTCCTTTTGACATAACAAGGTTTGCCATTTTGCACCGATTTGGAAATTCATTACAGCGTAACATAAGAACGGACTTCCATAAATGTTTTGCATAAGGGAACCTAGGAAAAATAGCTTCACACGAAGTTCTTAAAACTCTTCCATTCTTGCAAAACCATTTAATTGCAAATGATGCAAAAGCTAGAGGCTCTTAAAAGTGTATGCCTTTCATCTGACCAGAACTGGGGACCATCCATCTCATTTTGGAGAACATCTCAGTGTTGTAATCTTCAAGCCTCTGCTTAAGTGTCTTGAAAGCAGGGTAAAGCTGGGGTTCACTTGACGCTTCACCTCCCAGACGCTCTCCAAACACCTCTTTGGAGAAAAGGGTTGAATAGTAACTTCCACGGTCAGGTACTGGCAATTTTCCTTGTGCTTTCCTTTGTCCTCTATTTTGAAAGACATCCCTACAAATTCTCCACCATAGCTCACTTGGAATTGGTGCATGTAGCTTTTAAGAACCTCTGCATCTTTCCCTATCTCATTCAGCTTTTCTTCAAGCTTTTAAGGGCCTGTTACTGTGAAATAGATAAGCCCACTTGAGTTGTTTGGTAACTGACTCCAGGTAATTGTGCAAGCAGAAAATAAATCAAATTGATATTTGCCATTGTTGTGCAAACTGGTGTCCATCATTGTGGCACCAAAAACTAAAAAAAGCTTTTGATTGCCTTCTCGTGTAAACACTTGGAAAAAATATCACCTGTGGAGACCAGCACGCTTTAATGGGCTAGCCCACTTCATGTAAACAGACCCTTAGTTGATCTTGAAGTTGAAAGAGTTTCTTCAATGGGCAACAACATAAAGGAGTTTCCGTTTAGAAAAAAGGGTTTCTCAAATGAATGGACCAATTTCAGGAATGAAAAAATTTAACACTGGGCATGAAATTTATCGCTCCAAAACAAAACATCGGGCATGTGCCTGCATGCTTGGGTGCTATTGCGCATCCTCTCTGAAAGCCCTGCAAATAATTTGTCATTTGATAGTTGGACTACTTGCTTGTTTTCAAAAGGGGGTCTTCATAAGCCAAAAATGTAAAACAATTTTCCTGAAAACAAAGCTGTTGTGTAGCTTACAAGAACAATCAAACTGGCTATAGTACAAACAATAAAAATGTCTCATTCTCCTGAAAAAGTCTAAGTTCAAAAACTTGTTTCCTTTTTTCTCTGCTTATAAGTTTAAGTGCTCCATATTTATAGTAATGTGTATTCATAAAAAATATAAGGTATGAGGCAGGCTCCTAATTTTCTGCTAATACAATGCTGACCTGTCAAATTTTTGTGACCTGTCATTGAACTGAGCTTTTCAAAAGTCTAACATTTGGAAACGAACTTAAATATTTAAAAAATGACTATATTATATATATGTATATAATACAATCATATGATTATATTATAATTATATTTTTGATCTGTTTTCTAATTCATTTCAATCCATTTTCTCTTTACTTCTTATTATTTATAATGGTTCTTAGTGTGGCAATGTGGGTGTAGGTCCAAACAGATACATTTCTATCTCTTTACATACAAAGTTGTGCAGTGGGTCATTCCATGTCAAATCATCAGACCCATGTAACCCATGGTCTTAGAATTTCTTGATTTTTTCACCACAAAGAGCCACTTTGGAGAAAACACCACATACAAAATTTCATCCTTATATCTCTTACGGTTGCGATTTTGTAGCCGTTTCAAAAGTGACCCATTTTAGACAAATATGCCACACCCAGTTTACCAAGCGATGGGCGCGGCTTTCTATCAATAGCTGTAACTTTTCTATAGTTGTCAATATTTACTTGAAAATAATGTCAATTATTGATTTGATACTGTAGATTTCAAATATTGCATCAGAATTTGTCAATTCTCTAAGGTGAAGCAGATAGTCATATGTTAAAGGTTATCACTTGTTTTGAAAATATTCCCAACCGGTGTATATAAATATTGAAAAAAAGTCCTGTAGCTGGAATCATAGCATTAGAAGCTTGCTATATTCTGAAAGTCTATTCTTTGGGCTATCAGAAAATGTTTAAGATTACAATTGCAATTGAAGTATTTTGAGTTAATTGCACCTTACAAAATGGGTATAATTTTGCAAGAACCGTGAGCAAAAAAAATTTGTATTTAAGGTAATATTGCATGAAATAAAAATAGCTGCTAAAAACATTGAATCAATCATGATTTCACATTCAGAGACAACAAAGAATAATCAAAAATGATTCCTAGCCATGAAAAAGCTGAGATACTGCTTTATAGTCACTGTAGCTGAAGCTCTAAGTTTGACCTGTAATTGTTTCGGATGAATCAGTTTTGCAAAGCATGTAAATGTGATACCCAGCATATGTATGATCTGCTTGATCATGTAAAGTTCTGAGTGGGTTCAGGTGGGTGCATTAAGTTCATTTGAAAGTCCCCTTCATCTTCATTAATGTCATAGAAACCCACCCATCATTGTCATATAGGCAAGCAACATACTTTATCGAAAAGCAAAGTTTCCTGCAAAGTCTCTGTCATCAGAAAATTACTTGAAAGCAATCTTTTCATCTTAAAGTAGATAAAACTGGGGTGTAGCCTGCAATTTTGCTTGTTCCAATGGGCTGACTGAATTTCATCTTAAGTGAAAAATTCATAGTTTTTGGCAAAGTCAGCAACCTGGGTATAAACAGGGCTATATTGGCACTAATTAGCTTTGCAAACAACATTGAGACCAGGTTAGGAAGAGAGCAAGTCAGTTACCCACACAAAGGCTTGATAACGATGGAGAAAGACTGAAAAAATTTCAAAAAGCACTTGAATTCCTACTTAATTTAATTTTTTGCTGAACTAATATACTGCCTGATTACATCAATCTAACTTTGAGAAATAACGCAGATACAAATGGACTTAATTGTCTGCAAAAAATACAGATTTATTTAGCAATTTAGGAAAAACATGCAAAAACGAAGGAAGATAATATATACCATTTTGGCTGCCATAACACTAGTTCCAACTCCACCAAGAATGAGATACCTCAGCTTTGCGAAATGCCTAACTGCTCTAAGAAAAAACATTCCGATTTGCCTCCTGCTTTCAACAACACCTAGGATTGGATACGTTTGGGATCTTTGAAGTGATGCTCTTGACAAAATATTTATTGTCTGTCTGTTTCTATCACTCTTTGAGACAATTGTTCTACTGATAACATTTTGACCTGTTGTAGGCTTTGCTTTCTGACATACACAGAAAGAGGTCTTGCATGCAACAGCACACCTGAAAAGTGAAATCAGAAAAAAAATTGACAAATCGGTTGCATTCATGTACCATAGACATCTTACAAAGAGTTTTATTGATTGTCACATTATAGGCAGAGTTGGAATTTGAGCAATAAGAAATCAATGGAAAAGTATATATCAATTATATATCCCAGATATTACATATATAGGATAATTTTTCATGGATTATGCAGATTGAGATATTTTCAAAATGATGAGTTTTTGCAATGCTCTAGTAAAATTGATCAATTAATGGTTTTGCCTCTATGGAGTAAAGGTTGACCTCCAATCATAACAAGACACCTTCTACAGGAAAAACCTACTGCAAGGCCAATGGGGCAGGTGGGTTTCATAGTGGTGCAGGTGTGGTGTTCCAGAGACCAATTTGTCTATACAGCTGATAGAAATGTAAGGCAGAGGCAATTTTCAAAAGCTGGATGGGCTATTAAGAGGAGAAATTTGATAATCAAAATTGAAAAGAACAAGCAATTTATGATTATAGCCCAAGTTGGGGAAACTTGTTCACTTGAGTATATCCCTAGGGAGCAATTTCAGTGGAGTTGGGGTTTATTCTGTCCTTTTTCTGATTAGATGACCACCTCTAAATTTTGTTTAGTTCAAAAATTTTTCTTAATGTTTATAGAAAGATACACCAATCAGTAATAAGTGTAATAAGTGAATATAGTAAAAACCTGCATGAAAGAACCTGTGAGTTCTTTCCAGGGTAATATGGCACCCAAAATGGTTCTTTACTGCAGGGTGTTTTATAATTAGCAAAAATCAGCAGGGAGAACCTCAGTCTCTGCATATTTCTTTAAGTACATTTTAACTGTAGGTACTTTACTTGTAAGAGTGAGAAATTTGGGTAATTTCAATTTGGGCAAAAACAACATCAGGTTTGTAGAACCAGGATAATACGTACAGCACTGATGTAATAATGGACAATTCGACACAAAAACAACTCTATACCTTCTGAAAACTCCACTTGTCACCTTCACGTTTAGCATCCTTCCAACTTATGCGATCAGTTACTGGCATATGATTTGCAATCTGTTTACTGTTTCAATCTAGGCCATCTAGTTTGATAACAAATCTGCTGCACATGTTTTATGGCCTAATTCTTCAAAAAAGTTATTAACTTTTTTATCCAGAGCTCTGAATATAATTAACAAACGATGCTACGATTTAAATGAATGGTACTTTCGAAGACAAAAACTGAATGGCAACTGGATGTCTTTGCATACCACACCTCTTGTGACGGCTGTGTGGATTCGCCATTTCTAAAAGATTTTGACCTTTGCTTGGCGCATGCACATTCGAACCTAACGGACGAGACCCGGGAAATTCGAACGATCGAAAAACTTGCTGCGATCAACATACAGTAATGTAAGGATACAAACAATTTTTGATTTTTATTTTTTCTCGACTTTCTTGGAACACGCAGACACGGGCGAAACTACTGGGGGGTATGGGGGGTGCTGCACCCCCCCCAATCTTCAAAAAAGCAGATTTTGTCGGGCAAATTTATGGAAATACCATCTAGAAATACGTTGTTGAGAAAAATCAATCAATAATTTTGTTTCTAAATGTATGAAACTTTCATCATACATTCATAAGGAGTTATGCCCCAAAATTATCTTAAGGTTTTACACTTACGGTTCGAAAGTATTGCACCCTTCGCTAGAAAATGGTCATACAGACGCCAAAGTTTTTTAACTAAAAAAATTCGAATAACCGTAACAAGTAACAGAAAGTTTTAATCAGTTCAAGCGGGAAATAATATAAAATTTATCAAGAAATTGTAGTTAAGATATGAATTGCAAAAAACTTTCGAGTTTATTCTATTTCTGAAAAATATCCATGATTAAAAAAACACGAAAATTGAGCTTTGATGATAGGTGTACCTGTAAAATACCTACAATAAAAACTTTCCCTTGCTTGAGGGATTTTGTTATGGTGAATTTAGAGATACGTACTTTGTGCTTGGGTGTCTAAAAATGTTAAAATTGCTTCCGGAGCAACCGAAAATTGAAAATGGAACTCAGAAAATGCAAATGAAGCTCTTTTTTGCTGAAACATTGTAGTCTGCGTAGCTGTTTCTAAATTCCGAAATTTCCAAGCTGTGTTTTGGTTCCACTTTGATAAAATTGAGACCCTACTTCAATCTCTTTTTGAATTGCTCTCTTAATAGCTAGGTGATTTAGAAAGTGAAGACTTTTTTTTAGACCTTTTATAGAAAAGACAGGCCTTACAAATAATTGTTTTTTTGGAAACAAATGTTTATAGCCAACACCAGAAAAACTAGAGGCATATTTCTTGACTTTAAACAAACAGCCTGGGCCGATGATTTCAGCCCTTGAGGCGATGTGCTTCAAAAATGAAGTTCATGTATGACACGCCCTTTCATCAAGCATGCCACGCCCTTTCGTCGGGCATCTAAGCTTCATACCCCCCTAATGAAAATAGTGAAGTTTCGCCCCTGCACGCAGAGAAAGTAAACAAACTTCAAAGACTGGATATTCTCATCCCCGAGCCAGCCCCATAAGTCAGGCACCGCGGAGCGTTGAGAAAAGTGGGGGTCTAAAAAAGTGGGGGGGCTAAAACCCCCCAGCCCCCCTGCTCCACGGTGCCTGCAAGTTGCATGAGGGCATTCCCCACCACTTTGGGCTGGATAAAACATTACAATTGGCATTAATTTTCCTTAAAACAAACCTGTACTGTAGATTACAAAAATCCAAATTGAACCAAAATCCACAAGTAGGACAAAATCGCCAAAATTTTTTTGCTCAAGCTGTTAATACCAGGCATTCTTGACCTTTGTTGTTCCCAACCCCACATTGGGTCCCCTTCAATGACGCTATCAATATTTTCCAGCCAGAACTTAAATAAACTTTATCACTTACATGGTGTATGTACATCATGATTAAGCCAATAATTTTACTTGACCGTTCGGGAGGGGAGTGTAGTTAGTAGACAGATACAAGTTTTCAACTCTGCAGAAGAAATAAATTTGCATGGTCAATAGATTGATGGAATTTTTCGATATAAAAGGCACCCAATGATGTCATTCTTACAGCCAAAAAAACCTTTTATAATTTAAGTTTTAAATTTTTCAAGTCAGTGATCTCCCAAACCTTGAACTTTGCAATTTTCAGTTGAAGGCCCTTTTTAAGCCGAAACAACTCCAGACAATTCTTACATAGCTCCAATAATCCCTATAGAAAATTGATTTTAATTTCTATTTAATTTACCTTGGCAAATGTGTTTGTGAATCTAGGCCTGCTTAATTTGTCTGGCTTGTTAGTGATCTCCTGCAACTTCCACCTCTCCACTTGGATTCAAGTTTATTATCATCTATCAAACATGCAAAGAGGAATACTAAACATTCCTTGCCTCGGATTAAAGTGCAATCAAGAGGTAGTTTCAGCTTTTTCCTTTTTTCTTATTTTGTCTTTATAATTCCCTTTGGCTTCTAATGTCCTTGACCCTTGGTTTGATCCTTGACTGTAAAAAGTAATATTCCCTCCTCCCCATCCCCTAAATTATCCACCTGTTGAATTCTATAACTATTTAAGAGAAATAAAATATTTATTTTGAGAATACAAAACATTGAGTTGGTTTCGAATAATTATTGTTAAATAACCATAAAGCAAATTTTTCAAACATATAACCCTTGCCTAAAATAGTTGGAAACCGGCAAAGCAAACAGACAAAGCAAGTGTAAAACTACCTTATCAACAGTTGCCTCCAAAATTTTGACCCCTGCCCTGTACAATGCATTTCTCAATACCTTCTTACAGCTTTCAGCGAAAAAATTTGTACCTTCAGTATCAAAACGGCAACATTGCACAACATTGTTAAGAGGGGTTAGGGGATTTGTCCAAAAAGAATAGCATCGTGCAAACAATTTTTTTAAGAATTGTAAGTGATTTGAATTCCTTTTTGTTACTCATTAGGTTGCATCTGTTCTCAAAACCCTTATCAGTTTCATAATTTTAGCCCAACTCTTCCCCTTGTTTTCACATCTCATTTTAATACTATACAATATGTTAAATTTCATGTTTTAAATCATATGAACTTTAGTCAGGGTTAAAACTAAGCTGAAGAGGATAATGGAAAAGATTAACCTATAAAACCTTTTAATAATTATTGTTTTCCTATTTTCGAATCAATTTCATTATCAACTTCCAATTCATTCACACAGCGTAGAGTAATACTACAAAGATTACATAGTCAGGTCTGGCGCAATAAGAGACGAGAACAGAATAATAAACGCGTTGCCCGTTTGGTGAATATTTAATTCCAGATTATAATTCTCCATTTTAAAATATATTTCCAATCTTTCGAAAGTTGGCTTCATTGCTAAATTACTCAAAACAAAATTCAAAGACATTCTGGTTTCAACAATTTTTTAGGTTTATGACAAAAAACAATGGATCGTCTTCATTGGAAGAATCTGAGGTCTGGTAATCGAAAAAACTATATGCAAACATCAAAAAGCATAATTGAAAAGGAAACTAAAAGTCGAAAACTAATTAAACAATTAAATAACCAAGTAATATTTGTACATGGTTCTCTCCTTTATTAATTTTTGCTAGATGAAAAATTGAAAATGGTTTCTTTTAAGTCATTATGAAGCATATAGGTATGAGCCAGCAATAATGAAACGATCGAATAAACAACTCGTGTACTTTAATGAACTTTAGCGTAAGTTTTTTGGTGAAATATCAAAAGTTGCTGGTCCTTCGTCCCGTAGGCGATAGTCCTAGCATATTCCAATATTCACCGTAAAACTTAACAACCAAGAACCTTTCATGCAGAGAACAGAAAAAGTTGAGAGAGTAGATAAAGGTTTCCAATAAAACTGAAAACTTTGCTGGTCCTTCGTCCCGTAGGCGATAGTCCTAGCAAACTTCCATTTTTCATTGGGAAACCAAAATCCAAGAAAGTGTTAAGGGAGAAAACAGAAAAAATCAAGGCAGTAGATGAAGGTTTCCAATAAAACTGAAAACTTTGCTGGTCCTTCGTCCCGTAGGCGATAGTCCTAGCAAACATCCATTTTTCATTGGGAAACCAAGATCCAAGAAAGTGTTAAGGGAGAAAACAGAAAAAATCAAGGCAGTAGATGAAGGTTTCCAATAAAACTGAAAACTTTGCTGGTCCTTCGTCCCGTAGGCGATAGTCCTAGCAAACATCCATTTTTCATTGGGAAACCAAGATCCAAGAAAGTGTTAAGGGAGAAAACAGAAAAAATCAAGGCAGTAGATGAAGGTTTCCAATAAAACTGGAAACTTTGCTGGTCCTTCGTCCCGTAGGCGATAGTCCTAGCAAACTTCCATTTTTCATTGAAACAAAAATTGAAACAAATGAAAATAACACAGAACGAAATTCGAAACTTGGCTGGTCCTTCAACCCGTAGGCGATAGTCCTAGCGAATTTCAAATTTCATAAGCAATTCAAGGACAAGAGATGGAGTATTGGAAGATCTGATACAATCAAGGCAACATAGCCTCTGTGCAACATGGCCATAGATCTGTTGCTTCAAGAAATTTTACACGACGTTCATCGATGTTCTTATTTGTTCATGCTTCTAAAAAATAACAACGTGTTGGAAGTTGTTGTATGGCTTAAAATTTGCAGCCTTGTGGTTCCTTAGACAAGGTCCTAATTTGACCTAGCAAAATTAATAAAAGAGAGATATAAATTATAATGTGGATCTGATGTTGATGGCTATCAAAAATTAAAAAAACAAGTCAATAAATAAACATAAAATATAAGGCAAATAATTCTAAAAAGAAACTAAAACACTTACCATAATCCAGATTTCCTTTGAATTTGATTCATCATTTCGTCCCCAAAATCCACTGACTCCCTTCAAAATCATTTCTTAAAATTTTGCATCAAATAAACTTAGCTATGAAGCCAACTATGAATCTTAAAGGTAAAATTTAAACTATATTTTCAAAAAACCTTAGAACGCCTTGATTTAATTTCAAACAATTTGTTTCCCTCCCTAATAATAACCCCTCCCTATTTGTATTATTAAATTATAAAATTATTAAAATCTTAACTAGCTTAATTGCTAGAAAGATTTTTCAAGCCGGGAAGTCCCGACTTCTGTCTTTGCTTTTTGTCTCTCTTTGTCTTTTGACAAGCAGTGCCAACAAGTTCATCTTCAAATCGCATCAGGTCTGTTGGACTTGTAACAACAGCGCCTCTTTTTCTTTCAGTCTCGTGGTCCTTTCCGCTCCTTATTCTTTTGTTTCGTCTGCTTTGTGAATTAGCAGATTTGCTCTTTTGACAATTACCCTCCTGGATTTTCCCTCCTGTAACCAACTCGCAGTTTTGGCTTAGAGTAGGGAGAAAAACTTGCCTCATTCCGTTCTTTTCCATTCGTTTCAAATCAGGTAACTGTTTCTCGGAATTTTTCCCAAAATTTCCAGCCGGTTTGAAAAAAACATTTGAGTTCGCAGATGATTGCTTTACACTGGTCAACTCTGGGAGAACTGGTAAATTTTCAAAGCTATCATTCTCGGAAATTCTACTGCTTGGTGCTCGACGAATTTCAGGAAGCTTTCTGGACCTTCCTTCGGCAGAATTAGGACATTTAATATCGATGGATTCCCAGTTCATCCCACTGTATCGATTTGATGCTGCAGATTTTTTTCTTTGATCTATCAATGGACTTGCTTGAATAGCTGGCAATGTTATTCGCTCTGGCCCATCAATATTTTCAGTCTGTTTCCCTCTCGGTCCACACATAGCAACAGGATCGAAATTCATCTTGAAATTTCCTTGAGGAGACCCTGAATTTGGCCTACGGAATTTACTTGACTTTGTGTCAATATCTGGTAATCTTCCTTTATCAGAATCTGGTGACGATCTTTCTGCGGCCTCTCTATCCTGTCTGACTTTTTTAAGGTACTCGTTCCTTGCAGCTGTCAGCGGGCTCTGCACCAAATTCTTTCGCCCAACTTCAGCAGGTAAAAATGAGCAAGGCGAAGAGACTTTCATTGTCTTGCTATTGTTTTTCTTACCATGCAACCCAACTCCAACCATCGAGATTTGCGCTGGGCAAGCTGGCAGAGCAGACAGTTTTTCCACCTGTTCCTCTGGAGACTTATCGCTCACTCGAAGTCTGAATTTCGCTTTTTTGTCTATCATTTCTGATCAGTTTCAAATTGTTTTAAAGCTACTTGATTTACGCTTGCACGCAGCCGTGAAGAAAATCTTTGTTCTCGAAATGATGAGAGCAGCATCGATTTGGCGCGAACCATTAATATGACGTCATATTACAGGTTTCCAGTCCCTTTTTGCTTTCACTGATTGTCAATGATTGTTGATTATCATCGCAATTAAATACCGACTCAATATACAATCCTCAAATACCTTAATTATTTTCTGATTACTAAATTCTTCAGCCATTGCACTTTGGCAGAAAATCCAACCATTTAAAAAAACGAAGATGACGTGCTACGTTCGAAACATTGTTTTTTTGAATTTGCATTTTCCTCGTACAATTTCAATCTATTTTAAAGTTGAAAAAGCGCATACTATTTTTTTAATGAAAAATGCAATGAATCCAAAAACCAAAGGGGCAAAAGAGAGAATACAAGTAAGCTACAGGTTGTTTATGGATATAGAAAAGAGCATAGAATAATGGTTGAAAAAAGATAAATCACGATTACAGTGGCGAAAAATTGAAAGGAAAATATGCTGAAAAATAAGCGTAATTAAATATTTCCTGTGAAGGTTTTTCTGGTTTTGAAGAAGAGAGTATTTTACCTGTTTACAAAAGAGCAATTTCCCTTAGACAGAAGTTTATAGGCTTTTTAGAAAGATTTTGTAGAAATTTCTGATAATCGGGGAATTTTAAACTATAAGATTATCTGCTAGTTTGTGAAGAAAATATAGGAACAGTATGGCAATGTGAGTAGGTTAGTTAAATACACATGCTACAAAGCAGTTTCCAATCAGAAATTGTAGGGACGAGTTTTTAATAAAGCTTTTGAAAACAAATTACACCAGCATTTCTCGTGCATATCACACAATTGAGTGGACAGTTAAGCAAACAAGGTCGTGAGACCAATAATCTTCTTTTTTAGGTCCATTTCTGTTTTTAAATGGTTTCTGGGACACTTAGACTTAAATGGTTTCAAATAAATTACAATGCAGATTTTTGGACTTGAGATTTAAAACGTCTTGATAAGCTTGTCTTCAAAAATCAGAAGAAATTAATAACCTTAAAATGACATTTACAACAACCTCAGTTCTCGTAGCATATGTATTATTCTAACTTCTTTGTGCGTTTTCCATATTAAATTGATCCAGTATCTTGGCTATGATATTTCTGAACTTAGCATTTGAGATGTGGAAAACTTATTCCAAATGTTGATTGTAAAATGGCGATGATGCTTGCATTCTTTGTCGAAGGAATTGTTTCGATATTTTCATTATTTAAAAAAGTAAATTAAGATTTCCATTAAAATACTAAACCATAGATGATAGCCAGTAACTAATTTTTTTTTTGCCCTAGACAGAGTCACAAGCCCTTTTTCATAGTTCTACAATTTTTCTACGCCGATATCGGCCTTGCTCTGACCCATGAGTGGGAGTATAGGGCGTCGGGAACACTGATCTGTGAAAAGGTCTTTTTCATAGATCAGTGGTCAGGAATAGAGATTTGAAAGATTGAATAAATTAAGTAGGGTATCAACAACATTAATCAACAGCCTAGAATTTTATAAACTATTCATTAATCTGAAGCTGGATGCCTCCTTTAAGACAAAACGGACGCAATACAGTAAAAACCAGATATTTTCTGTAATCGGCTGTAATTGCTCCTAAACATTCAAATAATCGTTGTTATATTGAAAGTGCTTAAAATCGCTAAAATCAGCCTGAAGGCTTTTAATATGCAGTTTCTTCCATGACGGTTTAAACTATAGTAAGCACGTAAGATTGCGATACCTCTTGATACCAAACTTGTCATTTCCTGTCTATATGGACCTTTATTATGTCTATATGACCAAATTGCCGAAGAAACAGAACTTTCATGAATGGAGACCTTTGAAAATTAAGAAGATTGCTTTTAATAATTTGACTCGCCCAGCTCCCTTACGCTAAGAAGAGAACAAATATCAGAAAGCTGTTTCCTCAAATAGCGAATTTTCAAATAAGCAACGATACATACAACCATCTTTAAATAAATAGATGCTAATAATAGATATTATTTACTTCAATTCAATCTTGTGTTTAGTCTCGCCAGATTTTGACTGTGAATTCGTCATGCCATCGGCCTCAACTGAGGGTTGATTGCTCTCGTCTCGAGAAATCTGTTCCTGAGGGATATCATCTGGCGCACTTTTCCCAGAACGTCCTTTTGGATTAAAGTTTTGCTCCACGTCTTTTGCTGCCATTTTCATTTTATTAGAACTATTTTCCGGAAAACTTTCATTCTCATCTCCTTGTGTATCGCTGGAAGACTTGTTTCCTTCCTGTCCCATTTCCATTTCCTCGTTTTCTAGATCTTTTAATATGTCATCTAGGATGGTGGCCATTGAATTTATTTCTGCGATATCCAGCTCAGACAGACTCATATCCAATGCTCTCAAGTTCTGTGCCAAATGGTTACGATTTGTTGTTCTTGGGATTACTGTCACGTTCTGGTGGATGGCCCATCTGAGAACGAGGCTGGACACGAAGTAATCATAATGCGTTGATAAATCAGTCAGCAAAGACGACGTCAAAATCGGGTTTTCCTCTAGTCCCATGGCAGTCCACATTCCGCCTGCAGCATAAGCATTGGAGTTATGAAAACAAAAAACAGACTTTGTGAAGCTTACTCGATCTCAAGCAATTTATTGTTTTGGGAATTATTTGCAATGTGGTAAGATATTTAGCGACAGTTCAAAGCATAAAAACAGTCGAATAGAATCATAGAGAACTAAACAAAGTCCGAGGCACAGGGATTATCACGTGTAAAATATCTACCAAGTAAGGTTTGCGCCAGAGCTGAGGAATCTTAAGACGCAAATGAAATACCAATCTGATAAAAAGAGATAAAGAGCTTCTAAATTAACCATTTTAAGAATAAACCAGGGTATAATATAAACATCAAGATCAAATATGATACACACTTATCTAAAGAGTTTACCGTAGGTTGTCACTTGAGGTGCAAGCAGTTAACGTGTTTAGAATGTCATTGAAAAGAACTGATGCAGAAATTATAACAAGCTTACCAAGTGTTGAATATCCCATATAACGTATATTTTGTTGCTTGCAAAATTTCCTCACCACTGTGTCCTGATGAATTGGATCAAACCAGTTTTGGACAACAGAAACGGGAAGCTTAGCAATTTTTCGCAAAGCCTTTAAATCTGGTACATTGAAATTGCTGACTCCGAGGCTGCGTATTTTGCCCTGCCTCTGCGCATCCTCCATAGCCACCCATGACTCTTGCCAAGTCCCGATAGGCTCTCCTAAAAAAGTGCAATGTTTTTGAGAAAGTGGGTACGATAACGTCCCCAACTTAATGTGAGGTAAAGGGCAATTGCCATATCTATTGCATATCGCATCTATAAGAAATAGGTAATAAGAACTGAAATAACAGTGAAAAGAAGTATCAGTCTTAGAAAGAAAAGCAGCAACAAAAATTGCGATGGGGCAAACTCTTTTCAGATCGTTTCTTTTTAATGGTGTCGTGAAACGTCTTTACATTGAAATTTCAATTTCTGCAATTATCATCTTCCTTGAATCTTGTGGTGCTTTTAAAAAGCTCTAGCAGCCTTACCCCCTTACAACCCCACAACCATGCACAGTAGCAGCTAAAGTGGATCGTATGCCACCATATGCTACAGCTGTCTCGCGTTACAGCCATCTTGTTCGGGCAAGATGAGCTGCACCATACAGATGATCTGAGATCAATGAACTCACCATCTGAGCATTTCAGCAAAAAATCATCACATTCTTTGCTATGTATAAGGAACAAATCGACGTAGTCTATGTTCAGCCTTCGCAGCGACATGTCAATAGCTTTCAGTGTACTTTCGTAGCCAAGGTAACGAGGGTGTAGTTTAGTGACGATGAATAACTCAGAGCGAGGCACAGAGCTTTCTGAAATGGCTTGAGCTATGCCAGCTTCTGAACCTGGATATCCTTGGGCAGTATCAAACAATCTGAGAAGAACCAAATGCAGAATAAAATGGGGGAACCAGTAGCGAAAAGCGAACAACACTGCAACACCATTCCGCTTAAAATAGGTAAATACCAATAGCCAGAGCCAGGGGCGTCGAGAGGGTGGGTTAGGAGGGGCAAAAGGTCCGGGTTTGGTGCTCCGATAGGGCCCGTAATAAAGTAACAAGATCTATTTACAATGTAAAAAAGCTATTATTTCAGCTACTTATATGGAATCAACGCTTGTAAATTTATCGCAGAGAAATGTCCACATGTCCTTGATTCATGTAAAATGTTTTTGCACATTCTTGTAAAAAACCCTAAAGGGCGTGGCCACAGGAAATTTTCTTAAGGGGGTTCAGTTTTGTGAATCACCCATGGGCCCGAGCTGCCTCTCGATGGTCCTGGCCAGAGTTCAGAAAACGCCACAACTTTCCTTCCTATAAAATTTTGTCCTATTGCCCTTCCTTGAAATTTTCCTTGTATCTTTTGAATAAATGCTTTTTTAGTACTAGGATTTTAGTAAAATCATCTATGTCTTGGTCTTTTCGCTTTGTCAGGAAAATGAAAGTTAAAGCGTCTCACTTTATATACTCTTGTCAAGGTGTGCATTGGCCTTCCTCAAAACTACTACATCGGTGAATAATATTCCACCGGCTCACATGTTTCCTGAATTCTGCTCACATCAGTAATTTAACCGATATCATAAACAGCTTACGCAGCTTGGAGAACACACGAGAAATTCAAGCAATAAATGACATAAATTTCTAGCAATACTAAAATGAGTTAATTGGGAGGCGTGTGTTGAGAACCAGAAGGTTCCTTTTTGCAAATGTAGAGACAGGTCATCTCTACATTTGCATGCTTACCTGTAGCCCAAGTCTAATGATTGCTTCACTATTTCCGTTGTTTTTTCATTCAAAAGGGCGGTACCAAGCCCCAACACTGGCACTGTAATAGGAATAAACAGCCTAGTTATCTTTCTGATGAAGAAGAAACACTGATAAAACTTACTTTTGGCACTTAAATTTCAGAGCAGAGAGTGTGTTTTCGACAAAGTACGTAAACGTAAGTGGAGGATTATTGTTAATTATTGATGCTTGGACTAAGAGCTGCTGTTTTCGACTCAAAGAGAGAAGCTGCCATGCTTATAGCTAAAGTTATCAGTCCTCTTACGTCACGGGAAATGAAATGCAACAGTTGATCATGTAAAATGCATATTTTCAACCAAAAATAAAAAACTTTGGAAAATACACTCAGAGTAAACTGTGTCAAAGCTTCCGTTAAGCCTCTCAAAACAGGCATCGTCTTTACTCCTCCAGTTACCTGTTAATCTTAAGTCTGCACAAAAAAAATCAGAGATGCCCTTGTACTTCATAAGGATGAGCAACGGCCAGCAAGATAGGGTCTAAGTTCGTTCACTTCCAATAGTTATTTTTGACCCAATGGAATTGAATCTAAATTTAAAATCAATCAGCAAGACAATGCGATTGATTGAGCTATCGTCACGAGTTATGTGAAATAATGGCCAGATATGTTTTTCATATAGCTGGGCAAAACTATGGAGTAGTCTCTTAGCCTAGACAATGCATGCATCCACTACACAAAATATTAAGAACTTATTAGAAACAGAGATTCCTTTCTTTTGATTGTGACGTTCGACGTATCATAAGAAAAACTTAATAAGGATTTTACACTTCGAATTGATCAATATGTTTTTAATTAAGGGCTTTTAGATTCTCTTGAGACCTGCTTATGGGCAAACCCCTTTGAAAGTATTATAAATGAATTCTAGAAAAATCAATGCATAAAAGCAAAATTTGAAAATGGCTTTGAAAAAAGTATAAAACGTCAGAACATAGATCGAAAACTGTAGGAAAAATAATACCCAGTTGTGGATCGAAATAAGCCAATCAGAAAACGCGAGCACGTGACTGTTGAGATTGCCCAATCAGTGCCGCTTGCTATCGAAAATGTTACCAATGGAGTCTCGAGATGAAAACGAACCACTTCTTTCTACTCAAAAGCGGTTTTCTCGTGTTTATGTAGATAGATTTCAAAATTGCTAGATGGAACGATAATCGGGCTTTGCCAATAATCCGAAACATGTCACCATTATAGTTTTAGTTTTTTGTATAATTATAGTTTTTCAAAGCCATTTTTAAGTTTTCTACCACCAAAAGATTGTTTGCAAAATATAAAACCTTACTTTTGTAACCACTGGCGAGTGTGACGTCATCAGGTCTCTGGGGCCTCCTGGGAATGCGCAGCTGCAATGTCTTCGGGTCTGATTCGTTGATTTTTAACACTTGTCTTAAAGCTTGGTTAAGAGACGAGCAAATTGTGTCTCCTGGTTGTTCCTTTAGTTCCATCTTATGCAGCTGAATTGCCTATTGAATGTTCAGTAATATTCAATCAATCTCTGGACTAAGGATACTCTTTACCCATATTATTTAGCAAACAAGCATTAACAGAACTCTGCACTCATACACCAACTTCTACAAAGATTGGCAATAACGACAATGTACTCAACAATATGGTTCTCAACAATATGATAGACTGTAATACTACTTAATTAATATAATCATGTGGTATTTCAAAAATGCGATAGGCTTTGCAATTCAAGTTGATACAGCGCATCAAAAAAATGGTCAATTCTAATCATTTAAAAGTAGCGCGTAAGAGCGTTATTCTTCGTCTTCCATTACAGTCCATCCGCATCTGGATTCAAATTTTCTGCCTACCTTTGAACAATATCCGACGTTTATACTCTAACGAGTATCGGGTGAAAACTACTGTATGATAGAATATGTTACCGCTCTTCCGTTCTATTTTTCAAAATTTGCGGTACCAGAGCCTTGTTTAAATGTTATCATATTCTAGAACTATCTGTTACCATCAAATTCATCGAATAACTACCAAAAATGTCATTTGCTAACCGATTTGATATGACAAATGCTTTGAAAAGTTAAACTTCAAACTTGTGTGTCCTAGAAAAGTTCACAAAAGCATCACCTCACCTCGATAACGTTTTTACTAATTTCATGCTTTTCGTTCTTTCTCTTATTGAAAGCCATGTTGAAAAAGATTTTCACTCCGAAGCTGTGGTTTGTGGTTGCCTGAACTTGACTCCACCAATATTTTGGCACGTACAATATGTTGCCTGAAAAGTTAGTCAGAATAAGCTAGTCAATGAACTTGTAAATAAGAAGGAAAGGTGATGAAGTCGAAAAGAAGAGAAGGAAGAAGGACAGGAAAAAGAGAAGAAGGCGAAGAAGAAGAAAAGAGAAGGAGTACGAGAGTGAATTTCATAAAGGAAAAAGTTAGATGAGAAGAAATTGAGGCAGGGGAAAAAAGATTAGCAAGCAGAGGAAATAATTTGAGAAGAAGAAGAGGAAGCAAGAGAAGGAGAAAGGGAAGTGGTAGAAAAAAGGGGAACAGGAAAAACAATAAGGCGAGAAAAAGGAGGAGCAAGTTCACAAGAAGACAAATTTTACGATGAAAAACAATAGGAAACAGATATATAAAATAACTAGAGGAAGAAGAAGGAGAAGAGCATAGGGAGAAAAAGAAAAAGAAGATGCAAAGGAGGGCAAGAGGAATAGGATGAAGAGGTGGAACAACAAAAAAGAAGAAAGACCAAGAGGAGATGGAAGAAGTAAAAAGGCAAAGAAAGAGACGAAGATGAAGGAGAGGAAGAAGGAGGAGAAAAGCATTGGGAGAAAAAGAAGATGCAAAGGAGGGCAAGAGGAATAGGATGAAGAGGTGGAACAACAAAAAAGAAGAAAGACCAAAAAGGAGATGGAAAAAAGGAGAAGAAAGAGAAGAAGAAGAAGGAGAGGAAGGAGAGGAAGAAGGTGGAGAAGAGCATTTGGAGAAAAAGAAAAAGAAGATGCAAAGGAGGGCAAGAGGAATAGGATGAAAGGAGGAACAACAAAAAAGAAGAAAGATCAAAGAGGAGATGGAAGAAAGGAAAAGAAAGAGAAGAAGAGGAAGGAGAGGAAGGAGAGGAAGAAGGTGGAAAAGAGCATTGGGAGAAAAAGAAAAAGAAGATGCAAAGGAGGGCAAAAAGAATAGGATGAAGAGGAGGAACAACAAAAAAGTAGAAAGACCAAAGAGGAGATGGAAGAAAGGAAAAAGGCAAAGAAAGAGATGAAGATGAAGGATAGGAAGAAGGAGGAGAAGAGCATTGGGAGAAAGAAGATGCAAAGGAGGGCAAGAGGAATAGGATGAAGAGGTGGAACAACAAAAAAGAAGAAAGACCAAAGAGGAGATGGAAGAAAGGAAAAGAAAGAGAAGAAGAAGAAGAGGAAGGAGGAGAGAAAAGATTGGGAGAAAAACGATGCAAGGAGGGCAAGAGTATAGGATGAAGAGTAGGAAAACAAAAGAAGAAAGACGAGAGGTAGATGGAGAAGGAAAAGGCAAAGAAAAGAGACGAAGATGAGGAGAGAAGAAGGAGGAGAAAAGCATTGGTGAGAAAAAGAAGAATGCAAAGGAGGCAAAGACGGAATAGGATGAAGAGTAGGAAAAACAAAGAAGAAAGACAAAGAGAGATGGAAGAAGGAAAAAGGCAAGGAAAGAGACAAGATGAAGGAGAGGAAGAAGGAGGAAAAAGCATTGGGAGAAAAGAATGAATGCAAAGGAGGGCAAAGAGGAATAGGATGAAGGAGGTGGAACAACAAACAAGAAGAAAGACAAGGAGATGGAAAAAGGAGAGAAGAGAAGATAGAGAGGAGAGGAAGGAGAGGAAAGAAGGTGGAGAAGAGGATTGGGAAAAAGAAAAAAGAAGATGCAAAGAGGGCAAGAGAGATTAGATGAAAGAGGAACAACAAAAAGAAAGATCAAAGGGAGTGAAAGAAAGGAAAAGAAGTGAAGAATGAAGGGAGGAGATGGAAGGAGAGGAAGAAGGGTGGAAAAGGCATTGGGAGAAAAGAAGAGTGCAAAGGATGGGCAAAAAGAATAAGGATGAAGAGGAGGAACAACAAAAAAGTAGAAAGCCAAAGAGGAGATGGAAGAAAGGAAGGCAAAGAAAGAGATGAGAGAAGGATAAGAAGAAGGAGAGAAGAGCTTGGAGAAAGAAGATGCAAGGAGTGGCAAAGAGGAAATAGATGAAGGGTGAACAACAGAAAGAAGCAATAAGACCAAAGAGGAGAAGGAAGAAAGGAAAAAGGAAAAGAAAGAGAAGAAGAAGAAGGAGAGGAAGGAGAGGAAGAAGGTGGAGAAGAGCATTGGGAGAAAAAGAAAAAGAAGATGCAAAGGAGGGCAAGAGGAATAGGATGAAAGGAGGAACAACAAAAAAGAAGAAAGATCAAAGAGGAGATGGAAGAAAGGAAAAGAAAGAGAAGAAGAAGAAGGAGAGGAAGGAGAGGAAGAAGGTGGAGAAGAGCATTGGGAGAAAAAGAAAAAGAAGATGCAAAGGAGGGCAAGAGGAATAGGATGAAGGGGTGGAACAACAAAAAAGTAGAAAGACCAAAGAGGAGATGGAAGAAAGGAAAAAGGCAAAGAAAGAGATGAAGATGAAGGATAGGAAGAAGGAGGAGAAGAGCATTGGGAGAAAGAAGATGCAAAGGAGGGCAAGAGGAATAGGATGAAGGGGTGGAACAACAAAAAAGAAGCAAGACCAAAGCGGAGATGGAAGAAAGGAAAAAGGCAAAGAAAGAGACGAAGATGACGGAGAGGAAGGAGGAGGAGAAAAGCATTGGGAGAAAAAGAAGATGCAAAGGAGGGCAAGAGGAATAGGATGAAGAGGTGGAACAACAAAAAAGAAGAAAGACCAAAAAGGAGATGGAAAAAAGGAAAAGAAAGAGAAGAAGAAGAAGGAGAGGAAGGAGAGGAAGAAGGTGGAGAAGAGCATTGGGAGAAAAAGAAAAAGAAGATGCAAAGGAGGGCAAGAGGAATAGGATGAAAGGAGGAACAACAAAAAAGAAGAAAGATCAAAGAGGAGATGGAAGAAAGGAAAAGAAAGAGAAGAAGAAGAAGGAGAGGAAGGAGAGGAAGAAGGTGGAGAAGAGCATTGGGAGAAAAAGAAAAAGAAGATGCAAAGGAGGGCAAGAGGAATAGGATGAAGGGGTGGAACAACAAAAAAGAAGCAAGACCAAAGCGGAGATGGAAGAAAGGAAAAAGGCAAAGAAAGAGACGAAGATGACGGAGAGGAAGGAGGAGGAGAAAAGCATTGGGAGAAAAAGAAGATGCAAAGGAGGGCAAGAGGAATAGGATGAAGAGTAGGAAAAACAAAAAAGAAGAAAGACCAAGAGGAGATGGAAGAAGGAAAAAGGCAAAGAAAGAGACGAAGATGAAGGAGAGGAAGAAGGAGGAGAAAAGCATTGGGAGAAAAAGAAGATGCAAAGGAGGGCAAGAGGAATAGGATGAAGAGGTGGAACAACAAAGAAGAAGAAAGATCAAAGAGGAGATGGAATAAAGGAAAAGAAAGAGAAGAAGAAGAAGGAGAGGAAGGAGAGGAAGAAGGTGGAAAAGAGCATTGGGAGAAAAAGAAAAAGAAGATGCAAAGGAGGGCAAAAAGAATAGGATGAAGAGGAGGAACAACAAAAAAGTAGAAAGACCAAAGAGGAGATGGAAGAAAGGAAAAAGGCAAAGAAAGAGATGAAGATGAAGGATAGGAAGAAGGAGGAGAAGAGCATTGGGAGAAAGAAGATGCAAAGGAGGGCAAGAGGAATAGGATGAAGAGGTGGAACAACAAAAAAGAAGAAAGACCAAAGAGGAGATGGAAGAAAGGAAAAGAAAGAGAAGAAGAAGAAGAGGAAGGAGGGAAGATAAAAAGATAGGATGAAGCTGGGGTATACCATTTTTTCCTATTCCACATCTTGTTGACTTAGGTTTACTATAGTATACCACAACGCTACAGGGGTTCCGAACAAGGTGAACACAGCCTAAAACTTTGCAACACTAAATTATGGCACCTTAAAAAAGTTGCTTATTGCTCTAAATGCGGAAAAATTCGGTAAAAACCCATACCGAAATGCGGTTAAAAAATTCCATTTCGAATAGTATATACCTACAACAAAGTTCTGTGTGAAATTGAGGGCTATGAATCAGATCTTCAGGAACGATCACAGCCTTTCAAACAAATCGCCTAAACAAAATACATTCTATCTTTTTACGCTATTGCTCTATTCCCAGATACGCTTGAGGGTAAATAACTTAACTTATAATTTGAGAGAAAATACAAATTTAAACTCCAATAGAAGAAGTGAAACTCCAATTGAAAATGTGCGGATGATAAATGGATAACATCTATTAAACAAAGAAATTTGCAGTCTTGCTTTGAAAGTGAATTAAAACGACGACAGCCTTTAAATCAAAGTGTAAGTAGGACTTAGGTTGGTAAACACAAAGTGGATCCCTGCTAATCAACCGGGTTTTTAATAAGGTTACGTGTGTAAGGTTCATACTAGACTGAAATAAATGGTGATCAAATTGAATGCTATCAGAGTCAATTTCACGAGGGGTGTCGTAGTATTTAATTTCATTGAAGGCTCCTACTTTAGCTGATTTGTATTATTAATGTTTAGGTTTTGAGGTTCATGCTTTCATTCTTGCATAAAGCCTTTATGCTGCGTTTGATGCCATTGGGTATAGTTGAGTTTGTGCTTTTAGGTTGTCTTTTGGCATGAGCGTTTTTTGTCAATATTGACTTGCAGAGTGTTTCCCTTCCAGGGACCGTGGAAATGGGGGGAGAGGGAAGGGGCTCAAAGTGAGCTTGAAAAAAGCCAAAATGTTTTTAAAAAGAGCTATTTATATGATGACGTTCAGAACATTTCTATTATCCCCTGCCCTCATTTAAACCCTCCACTTGTTCAGGAGACGAAACTATAAGTCCTTTGTTCAGTGTTGCGGGGTCATAGCACATGCGCATTAAAAGCAGTATTCGCACAGCATCTGCGACCCCACAATTCTTAAACTTCCTGCCAGGGCTTCAAATGATAAGGCGCATGTGCAATGACCCTCTTGAATAAACCCTCATCCAAAAATGTCTCGAATTAGCAAACACCCAGGGGCATAATTCGATGACTTACAGTATAGTAATTAAGTAAAGAAAAAGTAAAAAGTAGAAATATTTCCTTAACCAACACAGATAATATCTTGGCAAGAGAAACTATCAGTCAGTTCGGTCACAGCATTTTATTCTGAATGGTAATGATGTATGTATCTTGTATCGTCATTAAAATTATTTTGAAGGCAAACTGGCAAAATTAGTTGCAAAAATACTCTTGATCCGTTTTCCAACAAGTTTGCACGCATATGTAAAGCGATTTTTCTATTTTTGGGATTTCCAGTTTAAACGCGGAGGTGCAACAAGCCTACGCCAAATTGATCATTACTACGCCAACAGGTAGGCCAACCCCTACGTCAACAAGTAGGCCAACCCTACGCCAAAAGGTACGCCAATGGCGTAGATCACGTTTTGTCACAACCGATTTAAGTGCTTCGGGTCTGAAAAAAGTCACCCTGATATCTTCCCCAGCCCCTCCTTCTCCCTGTTTGTAAACTGCAAGGAGGATGTCTCAATCCTTAATTGTTAACGGCAATTTAGGGGTTTAATTTTGCAGCATGTTGCGGGGTAAGGTTTACTAATTATCTCTTACTGCCTTATAACATAAGTACCTGAGGTAGGCCTTGAGCTTGGGTCTTTGGGGGGGGGGGAAGGAAGCTTTTCCTGTCCATTCCCTGCCCTGAATTCTACGTTTCTTAGTCATTTGTGTCCTTTGAGTTGTATTAAGGTTTTTTGTGATTTTATAAGGGTTAGATGTTGCGATTTGTGTAGTGGCATCATGGGTTAGATCGGCATGAACGGCCAATTTATTCTTCCGGTGATGTAGTTCAAGACCTGATTTGGAAAGAGATATTGCAATACTCTCTGGGACTGCCTTTATTTCCGCTCCAAGGACCTCTTCTGTTGATCTCTCTTCCAGACAAACAAATTCTGTAGTATCTACTTGTACAGAATTCTTTCTACAGCTGCAAATGCTGCTTCGTGCAGATTATTGCATGACATTTCCCTGTGAAATTTTGTCCTCGTTTACATGAGAAATTAAAACCGTGTTGAGTTCAACACATCCTGAAATTCAACTCTGGTGACCATGCAAGCCCTTGTGATTTTGAAAATTTCAAATCACAACAAGAGATGAACTCAACATGTCTCCTCAAGTGGAACGTAATTATCAAGGTTTCTAGTATAGACTGCAAAGCATTTCACCTCAAAAGGTGTTGAAAAACATTGTTGGCTTGTGTAATATCTTATATAGCATTGTGGTGTAAAGGGATACAGCTCTTGTTTAGATTTGTCATGAAAATACAGAAAAGCAATTTTCTAAATTACCAGCAAATTCTTGAAAATCAAATAATTTAACATTTTGCAGAATAGCAAAACATGAGCTTAAAATTTTGGTTAATTCATCAGAAGGTAAAAATGATCCATATGTTCCAACCCTCCCGATATGACAGGGAGACTCCCGATTTCAGAGGTCATCTCCCGACCTCCCGACAATTAAAAAATCCTCCCGATTTTTGAAAAAAACTTATAATAAAAATAAAAAGCTTGTATAAAATAAAGAAGAATCAAGATCACTGTCAACAGAGCAACCTTTTCATAACGGACGAAACGATTCGATGTATTCACAACATTACAATAGTTACGACATCGGATAAAGCCAGACGCAAACTGCCAGAAGCCAAACTTTTTAACATTTGTTGTTGTTTATTCATCATAAAAGATATGCTTTCTTATAATTTCAAACTAATCTAAGTGACATAAAATTGCCAAAAAATTTTTAGGAGTTAAATCGGGGTTCGCATGGATTCGCACTGATTGCAAGAAAACATATCCTATAAAAATCTAATTATAATTGTGCACAGTGGCGTTTCTAAGCCCAGAACTTTTTCGGTATCTTCATTGCTCCCCCCCCCTCACTTTCTAAGAAAGTTCTTCGATATTACTGACCTATTGATTACGAAGAACTGTTTTTCTATTAACATATTACAGACAGAGAAATTAAAGAATCCTGAGCCATTTTGAGGCCTCAGAAATGACAAAATGTCAGGAGCTTCCGGGGGCTGTGCCCCCTGGAACCCTACCAGGGCAAACACATTCTAAAAAAATTTTAACCTTTCTGATTTATGTTTCTGTCCTATATGTCTATTTATTAAATTTCAGTTGATAATGTCATGAAGTATAGACAATGGTGAAACATGATAAGAGAGTGTAAAGCATGATTCCTGCCTTCAAAATACATATTTATCTTGATCAATTCACGCAAAGGAAGCATGGCTACTGGTATGAAAAGCATTTTACAGACAAGATCATGCTGTTAAATAACGTCTTTTCTGGATTTATGAGGAAACATAGCAAATATAACTCAGCAAGCTACTCCGTTATAAACCTAGATCTGAATAATGAAGAACAGCATTTTGCAACACAATTTGAAAACAACGGTGTCTTAGGATGTGGCAAATCCTCAGATTGTGGTCAAGTTTTGAAAGCTGGTCAGCAGTTGATCAATAATGGGTCTGAATACCACTTTGAATATAAAATACATCTTTTGCTGCACCAGCAAGCAATGAGTGGCAGCATGATTTATGCGAACAAAGTTGGGGATAAATGAAATTTGATTAGGGCATTAATAACACTTTCAGTTAAATTCCCTTGAAAAAATTGGTCTTTAGTAAATCTGATTGTTAACTGATTTTAAGCTGCAAAACATCGAAAATAGAAGAAATAAAAATACAACTTAGTCAAACAAACCTCTCTCCAGTATGACATCTTGATATTCTAACTTGGGAAATCCTTCTTCTTTTAGCTGAGATGTGTGTCTGCTATCAAACAATCTAGCCTTGGTTCTAGGTCCAAGTGAAATATATAACATTTCATCTGAATATTGCTTTGGCTGGCTATCAAAATCTTCACTTGTTATCGATAACCTAAGTTTGTTGTATTCAATTCTATATTCTTTGCAATGTAGCATTACAGGCAAATAAATATCTTCTAGCAACTTTGACTTGCTAATGTCAAGATCAGCTGTCATTTGTTTTGAACTTGATTCCTCAACCCAGTCTTTTAGTGTAAGAGATGTGTTTCTTCCGCTTGGTCCAGAGTTCATATAAACAAAACCAGAGAATTTTTCTCCACTTAGCTGTTTCTGCAACTCTAATAGATCCAAAAAAGCTTCACTTGATTTGAAGTTTCCTCCAGTGAACAGGACCGGCAGCTCCTTCCTTATATAATTATGGTAAAAGTCTCTTCCCCCAATGTTGAATGGCAGAACCTTCAAAGAGCTACCAGGATTAGCTGCATCATTCCTTTCTGCTGTTTGAGCTGTTTGGAAAATTAAATAAAGTCAAAGATTTGTTCAATTAAGACTTAATAATGACATGTGCAGAATTAAAATTTTTAAAAAATTATTCAAATCCACAGAAGCTTGCTATATTTTCCGTTTGACTTTTATCTTACGTTTCAATTTCATTTGGGGCAATTCATAGTTGCAGATAGGGGTTTGAATACTTGAGGAGGTGAAGACAGGCAAAATCCATTGATTCAGGGTCATAATTACAAGAAGAGGTAGTGATATGTTCTGAGACATGCCTAGACTGGGGATTGTTACTAAAAAGGGGAAGGGTTGTGAAAGATATTTACTTATTTTTAAGGTAGATTTGCTCATTTAAAACATTTATTGTGTTCTTTAGTTATACATAGAATTGGAAATTTATCTCATATATTTACCATCCTTATATAAGACCAAAAAAATCCCAATAGATGCAAACATTATTGACATCTGTAATTTTGACAATATAACAAGCCTTACACTGCTTGGAATATATTTTATCCACAAAATATCATTTATGCATGCTAAGCTTAAAACTGTGAACACATTGTTTAGAACATCCTTAAATCTGTGTTAATTTATGCTCAACTGAGACTTTTTTATTTTTTAATGATCATGATTAATGATTTTTGGGGTGGGGCGTTGAATTGTCTTTGCAGGATGGTTTGCACATGCAATTGGAATGTACAAACCTGCAAACAGCAAAAGCTTTCTTAATGAGGACATTTCGAAAAATCTTGATTCTAGAAGTGTTAAAAAACATACAGAATAAAGCTAGGAGAAAAAAATTGTTAAGAAAATGATGAATCTGGAAGTAACCACTGTCCCAGGAAATTTTCCTGGGGAAAACAATGCAAATATTTCAAAAATACAAATGTGGAAACTGATACTTTGGTTAAAATTTTTAGGGATAATCCAAGGAGAATAACAGTAGAAGTTGGTCTTTTATTGGATCAACATTGTCGTGATGTAAACAGCCAAAAAAAATTGATAGTACCGACAATACAGGGATCAAATTATCTATTTTTGTAGAGTTCTTTTGCTAATGCCAGCACTTGTCTCAACGGCTTTCAGTCTATGCTCAATTATCTCACATATTTAGAAAGATACCATCTCTACGACGACATGATCAGTTTTTTCCGGTTAAGAATGGGATAAGATTACAAATGTACCTAAACGTAACCAAAAACATACCTGCGACAAATATTGATCCAACTGATAGCAAGCTGGCAGTCAGAATCATTGTTGTATTGTCCATTTGCCTAACTTTCATCTTTAGAAAAGGCCTAGTCCTCAGTTCGATTATGGCACCTCCTTGGATAATTCAAACTTTTTCTCACATCGTTCTTTGCTCATTTCACAGAAATTGCAAACAGAATTCAACGAAACATGATGATGAATGGGTGCATAAATTAGTATCGTAAACAGGAAGGCCCAAATTGCAGTTATCCTTCGACGAGCATGATTTGTTGACAAAATAAAAGGAATTCATTGGCTAGATTTTAATTGTTTGTAGAAAAGACAGCTGCTAAAACCCCACAGTTTCAGCATCTATCTCATCGTCGAGAGAGGCAGATGTTTGTTTCCAAACCACTTCTTTTCCCGCGAATTTTTTTCCGTTAGAAGTATAAAAGTCAGACCAGGATGGCAGACTGTTTCAGGGATCAGAGGGTCCAGGGGTTCCAGGGGTCAAGAGGGCCAAGGGGGTCCAGAGCCTTCTCTTTTTCTGGAAATGCTGAAAGTGCCCCCTTTTTCTGGAAATGCTGAAAGTGACCGGTTCCATTTGGAACCGTGCTAAAATGAGCACGGTCAGGCTAGGTTAGGCCTTCCGTTTACACGGGACCATGGGCTTCGACACAGGTTGAGAAGTGGGGATGGGGTGGGGGGCAAAGGAAAATTTAACACCCGTAACAAAGGGTTTTTGAAAAAAGCTGCATTGTTTTGCAAAAAGGTGGGAGCATGGTCCCCTGCCCCGCCCATGCCCCCTTCATGTAGATATCCTAAGGAAATCTTAGCTAAATTTTACAAATATCGTGGGTTATTGTTTCCTGAGAGAAAATATTCACATTTTGTGTCAATTTACGGGAATACTACAGTACTTTGAAAGTAGAAAGCATTAATTCTTGCAAAAGTTGCACCGCATCATTGCAACCAACACTGCTTGCTTGCTTGCAAAATGCTTGCCAAGGTTGCAAAGCATTAATTCTTGCACCGCATCAGACCTATATCTGTTCTCCCTGTTCTTTCGAGAATTTTAGAAAAAATGATCTTCAACCAACTCTTTAAGTACTTGGATACAAACAAACACTTGTTTTCTAAACAATCCGGTTTTAGACGCCTGTACTCTTTTGTAACAAGTCTCCTGTCCTACACTAACGATTGGTATAAGAACATGGATACTGGGAAATACACTGCATTGGTGTTCATAGATCTAAAGAAAGCGTTTGATACTGTTGATCATGATATCCTGCTAAAAAAGATGCAGTAATATGGGATTTCTGGTATCGAGCATGCATGGTTTACATCATATCTCCAAGACAGACGGCAGTTATGCAAGGTCAATGGTGTTTCGTCACGAATAGAAGAAATACACTGTCGTGTTCCACAAGGATCTTGTCTTGGGCCTCTTCTTTTTATACTCTTTATCAATGACCTTCCGTTTTGTCTGGACAACTGCCAGGTGACTATGTATGCTGATGATACCAGTATCTCCTTTTCTGCAAGGAACGTCAGCGATCTGAACGTGAAGCTTAACAAAGAACTTGATTCTTTAAGGGAATGGCTCCAAGGCAGTAAGTTCTCGTTGAATGTCCTGAAGACACAGGCGATGGTCTTTGGATCTCGGCCTAACCTTAAGAAGATTTCTACAAAATCAGTTGAACCACCATTATTTTCTATTGGTGGCTTTGAAGTTGAAATGGCTGATAAGGTCAAGTTTTTAGGGATGCAAATTGATAAACATTTAGCTTGGGATGAACATATCCATTTTATACGATCTAAGGTTTCTCGTGCTATTGGATTTCTTAATCATGCCAAGAAGTTACTTCCAAAATACACTCTCTCTAAAATGTATCGTGGTATCGTTGAACCGCATCTCCGCTACTGCTGCTCAGTCTGGGGGGCATGTGGGGGGACAGGGTTGCAGGTGCTGCAAGAACTTCAAAACTGCGCAGCTAGAATTTTGACCAACAGCAGTTATGATTCATCTGCTAGTGCTTTGATTAAAAGTTTGAATTGACCTACTGTAGCAGATTTGTTAAAAACCGAGACAGCTTGCATGGTTTACAAATCGATAGATGACCTTGCTCCTGATTACCTGTCAGAAATGTTCATTAAAAATTCGACATGCAGTAGGAAAAATTTGAGAAACACCGCAACTGATCTTCAAATACCACTAATAAGAACAAGTAATGGTCAGCGAGCTTTCTCATATCGTGGTGTTGGAGTTTGGAACCTCTTGGGTTGTGAAGTCAAGCAGGCATCCTCATTGAAAGCATTTAAAGAAGCTTTAAAAAAATAGTATATCTAATTATTTATTCATTTGTTCATTATTGTAATTAAATTAGGGTTTTACTTCGTATTAATTTTTAACTTAATTTGTAACGTTTTATGCACGGCCCCCTGAAAAGCAATCTATCGATTGATGGGGTTACCGTGCTTGAAGAAATTGAAATTAAAAATGAAATGAAATGGTTTGTAGATAAGGAAGTAAAAGGTGACTGAGCATTGACGGAACAAAATGAGTAAAAGTGAAAGTGAAGTAAGTGAAAAACAGCCATTCCTATCATGCTGAAAGAGCAGCTTTAAGTGAGGCAGATGGAGACAGCTTGTCTCAGTACCACGATGTAAAGGCGTAAAAATCCCCTAAACCTAATACAAATATGTCTCTATTTGCCCTGAGTGCTGTGCCCTATAGGGTGTGTGTGATTAGATATCAGCAACGATGGGACTGTTTTAGTGAGCAACTGTCTAGCCAAATTGCTCCGTTTATTTGAGTTTGAATCGACAGTGGCAGCGCAAGAAAATTCACCCTATCGTCCTTCCATCTTATCTAGAAATATACAATGCAAACTATATCACACATCCTCCCAGTAACGACCCCGTTGAAACGTTTCCTCGCCAAGATAAATTTTGAACCGGTAAGAGAATTTGGTTCCCCGCCAGCTTTGACTTAAAAAAATTCCTCTCTGGTTAATATTTTTTGACATATTTTTTGTTACTCCCGAGATTTTTCGTCAATTATTGGGAATAAGTAAAAAAATTTCCCACAGAACATTTACAAATGCCATCAATGTTAAAATTTCCAATTTTTGAACTTTTGTGATCCCAGTCGAAAATTTATTCGGAACATGCGGAATTTTCTACCCTGGACACTGACCCTGGGTACCAGAGCCTCAAAGACAGGGTCGGTGAAAGGGAGGCTCGATCCACTTTTTCACTGGGTCATCGCACCCAGAGTAGAAACTCCCCTACCGTATTTTCAATGCCTAGCAGAGTCGTTGCTGGGGTTTTCATATCTTTTCGAAAAAAATTCATGTTGCCCCTTTGAAAAGACTTGATGATACAAATGAAAAGAATAATCTTTGTCAAGCAAAATATAATGTGACCTATGACCATTGAGACGAAAATGTCGCCCACCTCACAGTTGCTGTGCGTACTTGATTTTACCATTTATTTCCATAAGTCTATTTATTGCCAGATTGGTATGAAAAAAATCTTACTGGGCCCCTAGATTTGACTGTTAATTTAGGAAAAAATGGGAAATAAAAAACAAGAGTAAATTTTCTAAAAGATGTCATTGCAACAAGCAAAATTTTATTTTAATCAAAATAACAGTAAACCCTTTTAAATCTTTTTCCGGTCATCAAGTTTGGAAAGAAGCAACACTGAAACAATAGAGTTAGTAAATCACAGCAAAGAGTCAGTTTTTAAACCTTACTGTCATAATAAGAAAGTAAAAGTCCAGCAATTCAAGTCCAAATTTTTATATCAAAAGATGTTGTAAGTAGACATATTACAATTTCTAATTAAAATGGCTGACCATTCCTCTGCCAGTGTTGCAGTAGCTGCGTGGCTGAGATGAAATCTAGACTGTCCAAGCTCTTCAACTTTGTTCTAGTAACGATTTTGCGCTGCTTTGTAGAACCTTGCCAAGAGAGTTGCTGCGCTCAAAGTTACCCATAATATTTTTAAATCAGCTGAGATAAGATGAAAGAATCATAGCTAACATTCTTATGTGCCGTATTCGTGTGTGGGCAGCTCGTAGCAAACTCTGGGTCAAATCACAAGGAACCAAAATAACAGCTTTCTTGCTTTCACCGTCAATTTATTCGAGACTATTGCAAAGGTTATTGGATTTTATCATGGAATGAAAAGGAGGTAGATATTGCGATGCTATCATTTCAAGTGAAACATTCGGTAAATTTTCGCTCCTGGTTTGTTTAGTAACCATATCATGAGACTAAAACTGATGCATGTTATGGGACACAACAAGAAAGGGTTGCGACACTGTGGTTGCGAGATATCTGAATTTTTCGCGGCCAAACTCGTAGCAAAATTCCGCTAGCCAAACAAATATTCTAAAGCAGCTAAATTTTGGCTAGTTATGTGGAGTAAAAATGTAATCATAAATTGTTTTGTATGTTAGAGTTACTTAACTTGATTTACTTGATTTTATTTCCAGTTAGCTCTAATATTCTTTTTTGCTTCGGGGTCTTTCGATGTTGTCCACTTGCACCCACACATCGGCAAAAGTATTCTTTTCGGTCAAATCAATTTTAGACGGCCAACAGAATTGAAAAATTGCTTGAAAGGAAGAGTGTGGCCACAGAGCAGCCCTGAAGTCTTTTCTCGAAAAGACATACATCTTTATCAGTATGCATTTCTTAAATTTAATCTTTGAATAAAGGTTCATTTTCTTGGTTTTTAGATTTAATTTAAGATGTACCATTCCCAGTTTGATGGAGATTACCTCTAATCTGTATTTCAGTTGCGTGAACGAATGTTTGAAAACGGTTGCTAAAGCCAAAACTGACTGTGAAGTAGAAGGGGCTAGGTCCTGAGTCTTTTGGTACACGTTAAAAAATCATACTTCTTTATAAGTAAAGGCAACGTAAATATGCTTTCTCCTAATCAAGATATGATTCAAAACACAGATTACTTTTGCTGGCATCATGAAGTTCGGCTTTCTGGCATGGACGATGAAAAGCATTTCCAGGTGATCAAAGGCTAGAAAGATGTTGTGAAAGTATCAAAAATCTAAACTGCAGCAAACACAAGTGAGAAAAAGGGATGATATTGAGTACTTTACCTTCAAGCGTGCAGTAAGCATAAATTCGCAGTGGCACCGAGATGCATGAACAAGTGGACAAATAAAAGTTTAAGATAAAACACCAAAGCTGTTGACGTTGTAGTAAACTCAAGAAAATATAAGTGTCAAATAGGCAAGCCATGTTGTAAGCATGGAAACAGGAAAGTGGACTGAATGGATGCTGATTTCTATGGAAAGAGGATGCGGAAGTCCTAAAAAGGGACGAATAGATGATCTGCAGAACATCGCATATATCACTAGGATGAGAGTAGCACAATACAGAGGCCCTATTAGGGGTATTTGAAATATGAAATACTTGCGATTTTGGAGAAAAAACATAGATATTTAGGTTTTTAGCTTTGAAATATGAAATAATATTGATTCCCTGAATGAAATATCAAAATAGCGAAATAACAGAGTGTTTTATTAAATTATATGTGAGGGTTATTAATTTGATCGCAGAAGCCACACAAAACAACGAGTATTGAGTTGTTTAGATATTTTTCGAACTCAAAACTCTGAGAAATGACGAGAAAAACAATATTCCTTTCCCTAAACATGGAGTAGTAATGGCCTTCATGACCAGCGAAACGTATTTGAAATTGGAGGGACCAAAATATTAAGATTGTTAAAGTTTTAAGGCCATCCCCATGATTGGCGACAAAATAAATCATGAAAATAAATACTCTAGAGAAGCCAGAAACATAATCTAAGAAAGATTCAGTGGCGTAACGTGCAGTGTGCACCTTTAAGCACAAAATTAATGGCCCACAAACATTTGCCCCCTCCCTCCTCGAATTGTTACTTCACCACAGGTCAGCTATTGACGATCAAACCAGAAAAGAAAAAGAGAAAAACTGACAGATTTAAAAGCATTGCAAACTTTATATGCATGAAAATATACACAAACTATAGAAAGAAAATTTCTGTTTTGTTAATACAATAGAAAGTCTGTCAATTCAAAATCCAACCAATGAGTCATTGATTTCAAAAAAAGTTCTTTCTTATCGATGCTATAAATATTTCATATGCATTTTCTGGCCATTCTTAGAATGTCATATATCAAATTGAATTAACTTAAAACTCGAAAATAATAAGTTGAAAAAACTTGAAATGCACAATGTTAAATTTGAACTGTTGTTATAAGACAATAATTGCTACTATTTCATATACAGAACTGTATCACTGATCAATTATTGATGGGCTTTTGGCAACATTGGTACACTAATAGTTATTCAGAATGAAGAACAGACCAGATTTAATGTTATTTTATGATAAGCAAAATAAGTATATACTCTGTAGAATTAAGAACCCAACTAAGAACTATTAAGCCTAAACTGTCAGTAAGTACCCCATGATACAAGAACCTGTTTTGGCCAAACTCTGAAAAAATTGGTTCTTACATGCGGGTTTTTACCGTATATATAAGTGTTTTAAGCCAAAGTAGAAAGAGTGTCTTTCGAGTGTTTCCAGAACCCAACCAAGCTATTCATAGATAAAGCGAGTAGCAAGCATATACTTAAGTTTAGTTGGTATCAAAGAATTAATAAATCCAATTCCTTAATTGGGAGCAGGATGGGCCTTTTGATAATTTTGAAAAATTTAATTTGTTAATTTTGAAATATGAAATAATGGCAAGATTTCGTTATGAAATGATGTCAACCCCCTTGTAGGGCCTCAATACAGAGTGGTGAGATTGTGCAGACCTAACTAATACTATTAAAAGATAAATAGCAGGAAATGATGATTAAAATCAGTTCATGACAGGTGTTTTTATTCATTTATTTTCGACGCAAATTTGTTTAACACATATTTGTATTAAATAAGGGTAAATCATCTTATAAATGCAAATTTAACGGCAGTTTTCCTTACAAATACAATTACAAAGATAAAGAAATCAATTTTTCTTTCCGAGTGACTTGAATCTTGCCTAATTAAAGCCATACACATATCGTCAACTGTTTGTCAAAAGATGCTCCAAAATTTACCTATGACAATTCACTACAAACCTCACAAGTTCTCAATACTTAAAATATCAGCCTAAACCTCCAATATGGTAAAATAGCACTATTAAGCACAGTAAAGAAGAACAAAGTTGCTATTGGTTTGAACGATTTTCTCCTGATGATAAATTAAAGAAAATAAAACTGAAGAGAAAGATTAATTTCTTATTATCATCGAAAGCCGACGTTGAATTTTTCTCTAATGTGTTGTTTTGGATAATCAAGTGTTACGATGGTGTCAAAAAATAAGACAATATATATATATCATAGTTGGATGGTGTGTTCAAGATTTGACCTCTCTAAATGTAAAAAGCCAGCAGAAATAGCCAGACGTGAACTTTGCATTCACGGTAATTCTTATACTTGAACCCCGCAAACTATCGTCGAATTTCTTTATTCCGCAACTCTAAAAAATTATTGAAAAAATCATTCATGGTCAAATACAAAAGTTCATCGTAGACAAGAACATACTATATAAATACCAATCTGGCATTTCGTGCTCATCACTCAACTGATACCTGCCTATTTTACCCGAATGACAAGATCCTCCAAGGGTTCGAAACGGGGATGTTTACAGGCATGATCTTGATTGACCTTCAAAAAGCATTTGACACAACTGACCATAGTATTTTCCTGGATAAACTGGTATACCTTGGCTGCCATCTTGTGGTTTTAATCTTACCTTCAGGATCGATCATTTACAGTCAACGCTGAAAAGGAGTACTTAAAGCATGTCGATCTGCCATGCGAGGTCCCTGAAGGGCCTATTCTTGGTCCTCTCATCTTCCTTCTTTATGTAAATGACATGGCACGAGCAGTCGTTTGTGACCTGCTTCTATATGCAGATTATTCTTGTTTAACTTCTAGAGACAAAAACATTGAGCAAATTGAGAGCAACTTGAATAAGAATCAATTCTTTCTGTGATTGGTTTATAGAAATCAAACTCATCATTCATTTTGGAGAAGACAAAACGAAATCCATTCTTATGAGTCGCAAGATTCTTAACAAGTTGGACGTCATTAGGGGAAATATAAAAATCAAGCAACACTCAACGGTCACATATTTCATATGTGTTCTGAATGAAACTCTTTCTGGGGCATCAATGGCAACTAGGGTGGTGGCAAATAAGTAGCAAGCTAGAGTTTCTGTACAGGAAGCAGGGTAAGCCCCTTGGGAGGTTGCTTTTAATTGCTTTTGCTCAACCTCATTTTGATTATGCCAGCTCGTCCTGGTATCCCGGGCTGAATAAAAGGCTGTCCAATAGAATCCAGGCAGCACGAAACAAATGCATTCGTTTTTATCTCAATCTTAAAAAACACAGCATATATTGTGGTTACGGAATTCAAGGCTATAAATTCGCTCCCAACAAAGAACAGGATAGACCAATGCGTTTGTTTCAACGTCATGATTTTTTCAAAGGAACGCCCCCAGCGTCCAGTGTCGAGGTATTTCATCCGCTCAGGACCGGACTACACGAAAATCAAGATTTGAACTAAACCTACCATGTCGGAAAAGCAAAACTGGACAAGCGTCCCAAATATATGGTATTAAAAGAAACCGTTAAGTATTCATTTAGAAACTCATCGAAAATTAAACTAAACCGACCGAGAAATGAAATTGGAAGAAGGACATTCAAACATAGAGCTGCATTAACTTGGGACATTATTTCGGATTATATTTAGTCACACAGAAACGCATCAGTATTTAAGAAAAAACTAAAATCAATGGCCGGGCTTTTAGAAACTATTTCCTAAGAAAAAGAAAACAGTGCCATAAATTGTAAGGACGTTTACTACATATACTATTATATTCTTTATTGTAGGCAATTCAAAAAATTTACATTTTAGGTGGTTTTAATCTAAAAGATTTGATTAGTTAAAGATTGTATTAGGTTTACTTTAATTTCATAGATATTTTCCGTTTTAGATGGCAGGTCCACATCGGCATTGTTTGCCTCCCAAATTTTAAACCTGCTTAAACAAATAAACAATGTATGTATGCATATAAGATGTATGTATGTATGTATGTTTGTACTACCTAGGGCCCAAAATATGGAAAAAATTTCCATCAGCATTAAAATCAACATCTAATATCAACACCTTCAAACATAAGATCAAAGATAATTTTTTCAAAACATAGTAAAAAAGAAGATGGCATATATGTCAACTACCAAGGACCGGTTTCTAACTAACGCCAGTAAAAAATTCCTGTCTCATCTCTTTTCCCGTCTTTTCTTTTCCCTTATAAATCAGCACCTTTAAGGAGACCATTATGGAAATAAGGTCAGCTAGACCTTTTAATGGCATCCTGTCACTTAAATTAGGGGTGTTTATCTTTTTGTTTTTAATGTAAATTATTGTATTATACTCTTTTAACTTTTATAACTTGTAAATACTTTTAGTGTGGCGAATTATACATACATACATATTTGTAACAACCTAGCTGCATCGTTCATCACATTCTTTATTTTCCTGTCATTGGAAATCTGTTTGATTTTATGCAAACAATAAGCCTAAATGCTTTATGAAAAATTATTTATGTTCCTTTCAATATGCTCATGTAGCCCCCGTCTCACGTAGCAAGGTAGTCGTTTCATATGCAAGTGATTAATGTAGAGCAGAAGTCTTTTGAAAAGTAAAATCGAGATGCCTCTTATCAATTTGATGTTTTTACTGCAGGCATTGGCAAACTTCTGCTTTGCAATCGAAATGTTTGCATCGAAGTATGACGTGATCATCGGACAAGAAAGTCACAATTTGCTTGAAGCTGGATGTTCTAGAATTTTCCATAGATGCAGCATGGATGGAACATGTACTCATGTGGTAAGATACGCAAGCACGAGGGAATATGAAATGATAAAGGGTAAAACGGAATTGAAGAACATAAAAGAAAAAGAAATTGTCGTTTGGGAGAAGGTTGCAGTTCAGCAAGTAAGTTAAAATTCTTTTGAGATCATATCATTATTGTCGAAATAAGGCTAAAATCGTAGTCAATTTGCTTGTAAGACAATGGCCTGATGAAGACATGAAATATTGACAACAAAATATTGATTCAACTGAATTTAATGTTTCTAGTCGTTCTCTTTATGAAAGGATCTCTTCTCCAAATAGTTCCATTTCAGGTTAGTAGGTTTATGCAGTGCTTGATGTTCTAGATTTTAGCTTAAGATCTCTTCATGAGCAAAACTTGCATGTTCTCAAGGAAAAAATATTTTTGGAACTTGATCCACCAATCAAAGTTTGTTGCGACCACAATTAGAACGAGAAATAGATCAAAGACAATATTGATTTATCAAGGATTAGCCTTTAACTCCTTCATTTAGCGTTGTGATCTAGCTTGAATGCAAGTAAATAAATATTTTTGCGTTTTGATCAAGGGGAGTTCTACCCAGCTTCTTAACTAGATGACCAAAGACAAATAGATTACGCCTCAAGAAAATGTTATGAGAGCATTAGGGCACAACCAAAAAGTAGACCTTTCTGCATTAGCGATTGGTGACGACTCTTCAGCTAAAATTATCTAGGTTGCTCTAGCACGACTAGAAATGAAAGATAGTCTTGAAAGATAGTTTCCCTAATCCGTAGACAAACGAATTGAAATAAAAAGCAAGAAATATATAAACAGGGTTATCCGTTCAATGATTCGAAATTTTAAAAATTAAGCATTGCTCTTCTATAAAGTTATAACAAATGTTTTTGACTGCTCAGTTTGTTCGGCTTACAAATATGTACTGTACTCTTAGCATGATGTCAAGATTTATTTCCCTAGGAAACTCAAAAATTTGATGCCCTAGTTAGTAAAAAGAATTGACGTCGATAAAAGCTCGTAAAATTACTTTACAAACAATTTTCTCGTGGTACAGAATTCTAAAAAATGGCTTTGAAACATGTTACTAAAGTGTCTTGTCTGACACTTTTCAGAATATAAAACGTCAGAAAATAGATCAAAAATTCTACAGTAGGAAATATATATACCCAGTTGTGGATCGAAATAGGCCAATCAGAAACGCGAGCACGTGACTTTTGAGGTTCCCAAATCATAATGGCAACATTAAAACTATAATGGCGACATGTTTCGGATTATTGGTAAAGCCCGACCGTCGTTCAATCTAGCAGTTTTAGAATCTATCTACATAAGCACGAAAAAACCGCTACTGTGTAGACAAAAGGAGTTCGTTTTCACCTTAGGACTCCACTGGTAACATTCTAATAGGCAAGCGGCACTGATTGGTCAACCTATACAGTCCTGTGCTCGTGTTTCTGATTAGCCTATTTCGATCCACAACGGGGTATATATATTTCTTAGCGTAGAGTTTTCGATCTATGTTCTGACGTTTTAAACACTGAAAGTGTCAGAGGAAAAGCTTTAGTTTACTAAATGTTTGCTTTTTTCAAAGCCGTTCCCAAATCAGTGCGGCTCTATTGAGAACGTTCCAATGGAGTTTCTAGGTGAAAACGAACCCCTTTCTACACAATAGTGGCTATTTCATGTTTATGTAGATAGACGAGGATAGGTGTAGATAGAATTTGGAACAGTAATGCAGCATCTACGTCGCCTCTATCTTATTTTCGAAATGAATTATAGTCTTACCCCTTCAATACAACATATATTCTTTGTTGTTGCAGGCCAGGAACACAATTAAAACTGAGATGTCATCCTGCAAATCGCTGAAACAAATTGGCCGAACAAGTGGACTCTACGACATCCAGTTGCCAAGCGGAATCCATCAGGTGTACTGCGACATGGATACAAATGGTGGTGGATACACATTTCTTTCAAATGACAGTGTGTCAAGAATCAGCCAATCAGATGTTGACTTTCTGTTGACTAACAACCACGATGTGCTTCTGCGCATTTTAAAGCCGGATGGCTCACAACCTTATACAGTGATACAGCAATACAAAGATACAGGGGGACTCTCCGTCCAGTATAGCAATTATGTTAACTACACCAAACCAACTAACGATGCAATGAGTGCCTACATTTTTGTTGGTACCTTACCAGCATCTTTTGCCAGAAATAACGATAATCAAGGATTCATCTCAAATGGCATTCCGTTGTACTTTCAGAATTGTGACAAAAATCCCAACAATTACTTTGCATTCTTTTCCAAACGTAGGCAAGTATCACTGAGAAGCAGGGTAGGAAGTTTAGGGGTTCGTTGGAGAGAGACAGCACGTCAACACTCACTAGCAAAAATTCCACCAAACTTTTTTCTGTTCACTGAAATGCACTACGGAGGTTGTGGATTGTACAGCGAAAGTGTCATGTGGGCAGACACAAGCGCTCCTGCCATAGGTACTGCTCTAGGCCTACGTTAAAAAGGCACACAAAAGTTTTCAAGAACTTTGCCTTGTGTTACTGGGTTTCAGGAGAATTCTTTGTCATTTTTCAGAAATTGAGGTGTTGCTGTGCAATGTGATTGTGTAATATATTCTCTGTAATTATTTAACATCTTTTCTCTTTCGAGATCAAATCAGAAATAGAATTGTTTGAGCATCTAGCTATCTATGAACTACTGAAATACTATTCAAGATATACAGATGTGTTTGTAGCTTGCGTTAAAAAGTTGCACTGAAAGAAATTCAGAACTCAAAATGATCCAGGCTAAATAAGAGATTAGTTAAGCAGGCCTATTGTTTTATTGTAAAATTATATATTCATGAAATCTATTCAGTGTTCTTATTTTTACGACATAAGTTTTGAAAAGGTTAATGATAGAAAAGAAAGGAAGGCCAATGATGAATTGGAAGGACATGGTGCTGGGTGGACGCTGAAGGGTTTGGCTCAATCTGCAACATACATCTTGTCGCACAGGCAAGAGACCGGGAGCAACTTTCTGGCAAGGGGAGGCATGGTTTTATCAATTCTAATATATACGTTGAAAAGGAAGGGTCTTGCAAAGTCTTAGAAAAAACTTTTTAGGGCGGTGCCTAATCAACCGTTTTACTTCTGAATGAAATAAAAATAAAATGGAAAAGAGCAATAAATGAAACAAAGTTTTGCAGTAAAGAGTGAACTTTAACAGAAGAACCACACCAACAACAGATGAAAGATCTATCGATTTTATAAAGTTATGAGGGATTATTATCTAAAATGTGATTATAATATTGTAATACTGGAAATGAATGCTGCTTTTTACATTTTCAACTACATTATTTTGAAATTACAACAATATCTCATTTTATCAAGGATATGAAAATATAGAATTACATTTTATCTCTCATATACAGTCACAATTTTTGGAGTGAAGCGCGGGAGACGTAGGAGGACACAATGAACGCTAAGAGTACAGCGGTTAACACCATTTGAACAAACTTATGCATGGAGCTAGATTCTAGTTAGGGGGCTATTTCTCGACCTTTGAGGCGCTTAGCAGCTCTAGCCCCTCTCTGGCCTTGGGCCTGGAGTCGGACTCGGTGAGGTTATGGTGTGACCGTCAATGACCACTCAAAAAAGGAAAAAATAGCGTCATAAATCATGATGGTGTTTTATAAATCATGTCTCAATTTCTTTTTAAGTTGCTTAACTCTGTCAAAGCAATAAAATATTTCACAATAAAAGATTTAATATATCAAATAAAGCTGTTAATATTTTGACACTGTGGTCAACGCATATTATCATTTACTGAAGAGAAAAAGAAGATATCAGAGCTAAAAACAAAACTAAAATATAAATATAGTTAAAAATTATATCATAATTAGAAAGAATTACAAATTTTATCAGATAAGACAGTAAAGTATACCTACACAAACACCCGTCCCTGTGTTTTGGCACATTACTCTAACAACAAGCAGAATTCTTGATCTTCTAATCAGCCAATTGTGACAGCGCCCAGTGAAACCAGGCTGAGGTTTGTATAACATCATATTTTCTTAGTTTTCTGGCAAACTGTGCTTGTCTTTTATGCATGCCATTGTTTCATTCTCGGTGTTACCATTTTTTGTTCTTTTATACTTTAAATATGTTTTTGGTACCGCAAAATTTGAAGATTGCACGAAATAGAGGAGCCATAGCATACTGGAGCACCTTTCTCGTGTTTTTCTTCCTCTCGTGTTAGTTTTTTATCAACACCTGCATAATAATTTTCTGCTTACTTTCGGTCATTATCTGGCGTTTATGCCCCGAAAAGGGTCGGATAAAAACTGCTTCAATATGCTTTGTTTTCATCATTTCGTGCCATCTTCAAACTTAGAAGTTTATCCTTTATGTATTGATAAATATTAACGGGAAAGGAAGGGATTGAAAGAAGAAAAGCGTTAATGATGTAAAATTACGCAAATTCAGCAAGATAAATATGCGATTTTTCAACTAAAAGCGTGGAATGAGCATCAAATTTTCTCTTTGCACGATCTACAGATCGAAACAACGAATGAAAGAAATTATGATGTCATCAACAAAATTCTGACGTCGACTAAATTGCAAATTTTTTTTAAGCATGCCATGAAATCCTATCAAAATCAGTGAGGTCTGATGAAACCTAAAGAACAACTTCTCTGCAGATGTAGAAAGAAGTCAGTCGCCATTTAAAACTAAGCAAAGACACTGGGACAAGGAAGATGGATTATTGGAACGGAAATATCAAGTCAGATTGAATGAAATAGAAACAAAAAAGAAGGAAGCATGGCTGTACATGAATGGCAGGAAAAGGAAGATTTCAGATTGAGATAGGCTGAGATATGACTGCAGAAAGGCGTCACCTGAAAGTCTTTTTGGGTCTTTTCACCACATATTTTGTCACTGAGTGAGATTTCTCAGTTCCATAAGAAAACTGGCTGTTTTTGGGAAGCTGAAAAAGCAGCTTTGAGTGAGGCAGATGGAGATAGCTTGTCTCAGTACCACGATGTAAGGGCGTCAAAGTCTCCTAAATCCGATACAAATATGGCTCTATTTGCCTTGAATGCTGTGCCCAAATAGGGTGTTTGTGCTAAGATATGAGCATTGATTGGGCTACTTTAGTGAGCTAATGTCTAGTCAAGTTGCTCCGTTTACTGGAGTTTGAGTCACGCTATTACCCTTCCATCGTCTAAAAATATACATGCAATCTATATCACACATCCTCCCAGTAGCGACCCCGATGTAAAGCTTTCTCGCCAAGGTAAAATAAAAACTTGGCAAGAAAATTTGTTTCCCCGGCAAATCTTTTTTCCCCACTCAGAACATTACAAATTCCATCAAGGTTAAAATTTGCACTTTTCTATTTTTGTGACTCCTGTCAAAAATTCATAATATTGGTATTTCTCCACAGTTTTTCCTTTGCCGCGCAGGGTTGTTACAGGAGATGGGGGGGGGGGCTGCTGCTAAATTTCCTCGAAAGAAAATTTCTTCAATACCTTTAGGCAAGACCAGATTTTTAAAATGAACATTTAAAGACTTTTGAACATTTAATCGATAAAGTTTCTCACAGTGAAGGTAAAGACTAGACTTTGTTGAAGTCTATTTTTGCTAGATCCACATAAGAAAAATTTTGCTGCGTTTTTTTAAACTTTGACTATTTATAATATGAAACATACAAGAAACTATATTGAAAAGTAATTATACTGAAAGTCACAGTTGAAGTATCCTGTTAGTTGAAGAAGCTTCCAACTTTTAGCCAAAATGGCTGATCTTTAAATTACCATATATTATTATTGCGGTGACTGAGACCCCGTTTACACTGTCCCGTGCAAGTTTGGAACAGTGACAAAACTGTCGCGGTTCGCCCTTGCGTTTACACTAGCACTGTGGAACCGTGACGATTTTGCTCTGCTATCCGGAACAGTTTTGACCCTGCTTTGAAAGCGAACGAATTTTGTACCGTCACGGTTCCGTTTTTGAACGGGACAGTGTAAACACCTATCCGAGACGATTTTGTCACGGATTCACAAAGAGGTCTTTTGTATGGCTGTTTCAGGTAATCGAGGCTTTGATTGTGGCGTAACTACGTTCTCAAATTCTGAAGAAAAGGAAATTCTGAAGAAAAGACGACCACAGAAAAGGCTTGTAGTGTTTCCCAGTCCAAGCCTTGATTGGACTTGGCAGTTTTGTAGTCTAAAATAACATTGAAAATTAAAGCCACCTTGTCTTTCGTCCAAGTAAAGTTTTAATCGGCCTTCCGCTCCATTTTAACTCACAATAAAAATTCGATTGTTGACTTCAGCGGCAGAATAAAAGCCTTGGTTGACTAAATACAGCTTCTTCTAAACAATGTTCTACCATTAAATTAAGGTCGTACCGGTACAGTGTAAACGGAACGGCTAAACGGAACAATTTGGAACCGCGACAGTGTAAACACTTGCGAACCGTAACGGTACAAAATTGTCCCGGGACAGTGTAAACGGGGTCTGAGATGACGTTTTTGAAACGTTGTACGTTCTGTGCATAACGTTTTTGTAAAAACAGAATGCCTTGATATACTGTGATTCGGCTATGAGTCAACATTTACTTAAAAATCAAAAGTGCGCTAAAAGATTTAGTGACTACAATTGAAGATCATCGGACAAGCAAGGTCACCTAATTTAAAACAAAGGATTCCAACTTGGGTAGACAGAAAGAGTTCCCGTCTTCTCTCTCGGACTCTTCAACTAGGTGAAAGATTGGCGTTTGCTGATTGGTTAAAACAAAGGAACCAATCAAACATGCTATTCCTACTCTCACGTTATTTTTGAGCCGAATTTGGATAGAATGAATACAAAAGAAATTGGAAGGGAGAACGGAGTTGCCAATTCAGTTTTCACGATTTCTTCCAGGTGCTATATCAAAGAAAAAAATACTGAAGGATTACTTTCTACTTATCAATTGAAACGGACATTGAGTTTTGATGAAATGTGCAGTTTGATGATCAGGTGTTAAGATGGTGTCAAAAAATGAAACAATATATATTTATCACAGTTTGCTGGTGTATTCTAAGTTTGACCTCGCCAAATGTAAACAGCAAGCAAGAACAGCTAGTCGTGAACTCTCGGAACGATCCTAATGTTTCTTTTAATGTGTTCATGCAGCCCTGTCTCGCAGAGGCACAAAAACAAGGCGGAAAGCTAATCTTTTCCTATGCAAGTGATTACTGTATAGCAGAAGAAATTTCAAAAGGAAAAACGAGATGCAACTTATTTATTCGATGTTTTTACTGCAGGCATTGGCAAACTTCTGCCTTGCAATCGAAATGTTTGCATCGAGGTACACAGTGATCATCGGAGAGGAAAGCGACATTCTTCTTGAGGCTGGATGTTCTACAATTTTCCATATATGCAGCATGGATGAAACTTGCACTCATGTGATAAGATACAGAACTACAAAGGAATATAAGATGGCAAAGGATAAAACGGAGATCGAAAACTTGAAAGAAGAAGAAGTCGTCGTTTGGGAGAAGGTTGCAATTAAAAAAGTAAGTAAAATTGCCTTTTAAAATCATACCATTATCACTGAAAGAAGTTTAAAGTCGTAGTCACTTTGTATTTGGTTGTAAGCCAATGGTGAATAAGCCAACAAGCTAAAAGACAGAAATATTGTTAAAACTGAATTTGATATTGCTTTTCGTTGTCTTTTTGAAAAAATCTCTGCTTCAAATAGTTAGATTTCAGGTTAGCAGGTTTATAAAGTGCTTGAAGTTCTAGATTTTAGCCTTTGATCTTCATGAGCAAAACTTGCATGTTCTCTGTGAGAGAAACATTTTCGAACTTGATCCACCAATCAAAGTCTGTTGCGAAGTAAAACGAAAAAAGGAATCAAAGAAGATCTTGTTTTATCAAGGATTTAGTGTTAAGAGGCCGTACTCGCTAACGATAATAGATGCAGTTTTTAATTACTTCATTTAGTGTTTTGATCTGGATTGGATACAAGTAAATAAAATACTTTGTATTTTGATCAGGGGCAGATCCTACCCAGTATCTTCACTGGAAGAAAAAGCTTAGAGATGCCACGAAATAGTGGAAGCATAGCATAATGAAATACTTTTGGTTCGAAACTCTTCAGAGAGTAAACATCCTTTACCCGACATAGGTTTAATCTGAAGAGTTTTGAATGTCATAACGCAAAAAGTAGATCTTTTCGCAAGTAGGTGGTTGGTATTTATTCTTCAGCTGAAATTAGCTTGGTTGCTTTAGTGCGAATAAAAATTTATGATGCATAGAAATAACTAGGCCATAGATTTCGAAGAATAAGAAGAAACCTATGAACAAGATTGCCCGTGTAAAAATTCAAAAATCTAAAAGATAGAAAAGGTTTTTGTAAACATCACAACATCACATCACAACATCAAAAACCAAGTTATAATCATGCTCTTATGGCTTGTAATGAAGATTTTTTCTCCTTAGAAACTCGATAATTTGATATTATAGTTAGAACAAAGAATTGACATCGATAAACATTTCCTTATTTTCAATCTCTTTTACTTCTATTTATTAACTTTATTAATCATAAACGCACATTTATGCGGGTTTTATTATGCTACGCTGTGATTTTTGAACCTCCTTTTGTATGCTGGAAAGGTCAAATAAAATGAAGAAGTTGGAATTCCGCTTCCGATTTCGGAACACGGACAATTATTTGTTACAGTGAATCCTTGCATCAAAGAATGATGGAATTTAAGAACGTTTCTGCTGTTTTTTATTCACTAAGCACCTTTCTTATAAGATTTAAGGTTTTATTTTGAATTCCATAGTCAACTCAACCATTTTTGTAAGAAAAAAAGCTTTTCCAGGAGAGTTTCTGACCACGTCCATCATTCAAGTATACATTGTAGATTTGAACCGAAAAGCAGCAATATTTTTAAATGTATTTAGTATTTTCACATATTGTCATAATGATTTTGCTTTTTCAAATCTGAATTCATTGTTTTTGCAGACCAAGCAGCCAATTAAAACTGAGATGTCATCCTGCAAATCGCTGAAACAAATTGGCCGCACAAGTGGACTCTACGACATCCAGTTGCCAAGCGGAATCCACCAGGTGTACTGCGACATGGATACAAATGGTGGTGGATACACATTTCTTTCAAATGACAGTGTGTCAAGAATCAACCAATCAGATATCGACTTCCTACTGACTGACAACCAAGATGTTCTTCTGCGCATTTTGAAGTTGAATGGCTCACAACCTTATACAGTGATTCAGCAATACAATGATACAGGGGGACTCTCCGTCCAGTATAGCAATTATGTTAACTACACCAAACCAACTAACGATGCAATGAGTGCCTACATTTTTGTTGGTACCTTACCAGCATCTTTTGCCAGAAATAACGATAATCAAGGATTCATCTCTAATGGCATTCCGTTGTACTTTCAGAATTGTGACAAAAATCCCAACAATTACTTTGCATTCTTTTCCAAACGTAGGCAAGTATCACTGAGAAGCAAGGTAGCAAGTTTTGGGGCTCGCTGGATAAAGACACTTCAAGAGACACAAACAAAAATACCATCAAACTTTTTTCTGTTCACTGAAATGCACTTCGGAGGTTGTGGATTCTATGGCGAAAGTGCAGGGTGGGCAAACACAACCATTTCTGTCATTGGTACAACTCTAGGCATACGTTAAGAAATCACAAAAACCTCGATCACAAAAAACCTCGAGATCATTGCAACGAAGAATATTTGCTTTGTAGAATTTATTCCAGACTTGCGTTACTGCCTTCAGGCAAAGTGATGATTCCTTCTTGAAGGAAAAGCTCTTGACTTTTTGTGACATTTAAAGTGTTGCTGTGTGACTGGGTTACACTTTCTCTGTAATGATTCACCAACTTCTTCTTTTTTCGGATCTTTTCAGAAATATAATTGTATGAGCATCTAGCTATTTATGAACTACTATACTCAGAGGTGGATCCAGAGTGAGTTCCTTGGTGCACAGAACTCAGTCAGTTTTCCAACATGTAGATAAAAATAGTGTTGCCTGAAACAAGTAATATTTAAACTAAAAAATTGTAACCTCAAAATTCTGATTTTTATCGCAGTCTCTTCAAAACCTTAAAATTGCCAGTTTGATGTAATTTGTTCGCCCTTTTCGTTCCATCTTCTCTGTCGTGATCTTGAAACGATTTTCCAGACGCTATGGAGGACGACAGCAGTCAATTCTAGAACTCGGAAATGAACGTTTTGTGCCTCGGAAGAGAATGAATTGAAAAACAATGGTATTTTTGTTTGAAACACGGGTGGAACCCTGTCAAAACAGCATCTGGAACTCGGAAATGATACCATATTTGCAAGAGATTTGTACAATAGCCAGTAGTTATTTGGCTACCTATTGTTTCTGTTCTATTGTTCTTATTGCTAAAACATTGAATTCGATATGGCAATAGAGTTGTTAAGTGATGACGTCACAAAAATATATTTTATAAATTTTGAAATTTTTTCCCATAACTTGAAAGAGCATCATGAAATTCCTCTAAATCTGCAAAATCAGTTAAAGGCATTAAGAATTGGCTGAGATATGACCAGATGAGCACAAGCTCTGGCCCCATCAAACCTCTGTAATTTGGTCTCAGTTCATAACTTTATTAACTGAGCCAAAATAACAGTAATCCATAAGCAAACTTCAAATCAAGCAAATTGTTGTGTATAACGCAAGCTGAAGGCTTCACTCCAGTTCTGTTAAATCTCTGCTTCTATCAGCATCTAGGAGATGAGCTGTTCATTGGTGATCATCTAACGAGAGAGAGTGTAATAGTATTCGATTGAGAGTCTGAGTGAAGACATTGGAGAATAAAGAGCGTAAGCCAAATCTTTGACCTTTATTTGTTTTGTAAAATTGCGAAAAACTGCCTTTAAAAATATCTGACTTTACAATTACCAGTTTTACAGGAAAAATGTTTTTTTTATATTCCACTAAAAATTTACAAGACAAATTACCTATTACGCTACCTACTAATTACTTGACAAACACTACAAGGATGTTGATACCACAGGGAGCAATAGACCATGACAACCCCGTGGCAAATAAACATAGGAGGAGTAAAGACTACCAGGTGAATCAGGAAGAGGCACCACCCGCCCGCAAAGCCGCACCTGAGAGCCACCAACCGAAACCCATAATTGGATGCGAATTTAAACAATGCTATAAAAATTGTGTCCCAGGCCTCACTTGAGGGATTATTATCGAGTGTGTGGCCCCACCACGACTTCCCAAGCATGCAGCACCTCTCCCCCGATCCACCCATTACATAAAAATACACAGAAGAATATAATAATTAAATTAAATTTACATCTACTAGACGGAACTTTACAAACAAGATGCTTTACGATAACGTATTTTTTTTACATTTTAGGTATAACAAACTATGATGCGATCCTAATGAAGTCGACCAGTTTCATGGATGAATCTTAGAGTCAATTCAAGAATATTTTTGTTAAGATCATTTGGGAAGTCTTTGTCACCATATAATAAAAGATGTGTTAAGAGCTCGTTTGGAATATTAACATATCCAAGTGGTCGCAGTAATGCAAAAACTCGTGCGAGAAGATTTCGGCGTTGAATCTCAAAGGAAAGGCAAAGCAACAAAAAGTGTTCCGTGTTCTCAATACCGTCGTTCGTAGGGCACATTGGATGGATGGTAACTCTAAAATTGTACTTGAACTTGTGAAAATTCAACTTGCTTAGTCCAACCCTAAGTTGAGTAAGATAGGATAGTCCGATGGTTCATGGATCCCAAAGACAGACTTAGCAGGGGGGCGGATAATGGACAATAGCTTTTTCTTAAAAATCGCGATGGTTGGTGCGAATCTGATCTCTGGACATAGATCATTCCAATCAGACAGACAACTGCGATAGAAACTAGATTGAAATCTTTCTGTCCTTGCTCTTATTCGCCCAACGACATCCTGTTTGCGAAGAGCATATTGCGACTGTTGAAGTTGCGGGATAGGATCTGTTGTATATGCAGGGGACATGTTATTTATTATTTTATAAAACAATGTTAGGCTTCTACTCCATCTTCGGGAACTTAATGACTCCCAACCAAGCTCAGCGTACAGCTTTTCCCGTGAAGTTCCCCTCCATGCCCCTGTAACGGCTAGGGCTGCAGAATACTGAACGGACTCTAACTTTTCCATAAAATTTGGTAATATTGTATTTCCGCTAAATTCACACACTCTAGCCGGAATATGGTAGATAACATCCCCGTAATCGAGATGGGGTCGCACATAGAGCTTGAATAATTCGTTAAGAGTATGTCTGGGTAGATACTTGGAGACAGTGGCGTAGCGTGAGCGCAGAACTTAGGCATGCGGTAACATAAAATATACGGCTATGTTGAATAAATGTAATGGTAATTTCAGTTTCTAAAAAATACAAGCGGTAATTAATGATAATCGTGATAGCAAATTTTGATTTTCAAAGTAACAAATCATTTGTAATTCTAATCAATCAAGGTGTCTATTCTTTGCATCAGAGGCTCCGACAGAGGTTGGAAAGTGAAGGGGGGCCAAGGGAAAAATTATCACCCATGCGAAAGTTTTTGAAAAAAGCTCAATTGTTTAGCAAGACTTTTCAGAATAACTCCTAGTGCTAAAACTGCTTTGCAAAAGATTTTATTCTTATTCATATTCCTCAAGAAAAGGCATCACCTAATGCCCACCTAATGTAAGAATTTTTTATGCTATAATGAAGCTGGGGATTCCCGCAAGAAGGAGCTCTCCACATTGCGAAATTGTTAACACACTGCAGAGCCTAAGCGAACAGGAGCAACAGTTTCTGCTCATTTTTTACTCTCATATTTAACTAAGATGAAATAGTGAGCTGTGAGAGTTGTTAGAATTGAAGATGCTTCCATGTGTAAAGTTTCAGAAAGTTAGTCCCGGCAAATCATCATGTATTTAGCAAGGCTTGCGCTCAGGTCTACCGCATGCCCTGGTCCGTAAATTCTGACTATACTGGCAAGCCTTTTGACTTGAATTACGGAATGCGGATCATAACAAATAGACTCTGACCCCACTTTGACGAAACTTTTTCTCTTTTCAACAGTCACAAAGTAAAGAAAGGAAAATAATTGGATTTGAAATGATGTATCACGCAAAGAGTATTCGCAAAAAGCAGCTTATAGGTAGAAAAATGTTGTGGATTATCAAATATTTGGGAAGGCTTGCGCTCAGGCCGACCGCAAGCTCCAGTCCGGAAAATTCTCACTTCTCTCAGAAGCTTTTCTCGAGTTGCACTGAAGCTGCACTGGAGCATCACATGTTTCTCTTATTTTGGACAGGCAAAAAGAGTGATGTGGAGGGGCTTCAGTTTTTCAGATTTTTCGAATTTCATAATTTTTAGCGATCTGTTTACTTGGAAAAATAGCCAATTTGGGGCCAATTGGCCTGTTGGCGCTAGAGTTCACTGCATGCTGCTCATGACATGAAAGAGAAGCCGTTTATTGCGGAAATTGTTATGCATTGAAAGTGTTGCAAGAATTCTAGAATTTGTCTATAAATTTTTACGCTTGCGCCGCAAGCGTAGCATACATAGACGCTACGCCACTGCTTGGAGAGATATCTCAGCAGGCCAATGCCTTTTCTTGTTTTAGAGATAGCTGATTTAATATGAGCGGAAAAAGTAAGCTTTGAGTCTAGGACAACTCCTAAATGTTTGTGTTCTTCAACTTTCGTCACTGGTATGTTATTAAAACGAATCACTGTATGTTGAATTTCAATTTTTTTTAGAGAATACCAATTCCACAGCTTGTTTGTGTGGATCTGGTTAAATGACATCTTCCAGTTATAGGCCCACTGACTTATCAATTCTAAGTCATGGTTCATGTCGTTGGCAGCTGTATTTGAGTCCTCTACTACGGTAAATAATGAAGTATCATCAGCAAAAAGCTTAGCATTACACTTTAAGTTTGTAGTTAGATCGTTTATATACACAAGGAAAAACAAGGGTCCTAAGATAGAGCCCTGAGGTACTCCTGCTGAAATATCTCCCCAACTTGAACTCTGCCCATTCAGAACAGTTCGCTGTTTTCGATCCTTGAGGAAACTTTGGATGAGAGAAAGAAATTCCCCTGAGACGCCACATGCCACACTCTGTCAAATGCTTTGGAAATACCAAGATACACAGAGCGAACATCAAGAGGAGGATTACAGTCAAACGCTTTGAAGATCGTATGCGTGATGGAAATTAATTGATTGACAGTAGAGTCCCCGGGACGAAAACCAGACTGATTTGGGTTAAGTAGTTCATTTGTAACAAGATGCTTGTATAAAGAGTTGTACATAAACTTTTCTAATATTTTGCCAAAGATTGGTATTAGAGAAATTGGACGGTAGTTCCCCTTGACATTTTTTTCATGTTTCTTATGAACTGGCACTACGTTTGCATACTTCCAAACTTCAGGAAATAAACCACGCCGCAAGCAATTCTTGAATATTATTTTAAGTGGGATGACTAATGCAGCATCACTTAATTTTATCATTCGGACAGATATTTCATCCCAGCCATGTGCCTTATTAGGATTAAGTGACCTTATGATGCTGCCAGTTGTAATGCTAGAAAAAGTTATGCTGCTAGGATATGTTTTAAAATTAGTTTGTTTACCGATTATATCCAACAAGGACTTTTGGTGCAGTAAGATCTGTAGCTTTAGATATAATAATTTAGATTCTACTTTTTTGCAGTGGCTGTTAAGTAATTGCGCCTTTTTAGATTATTTGATTTTTTTTAGATTTTAGATACCGGACAGTACATAAGTTGCCGTCAGTTTGCATGATAGCACAAACCGTCCTTCCTGTTTGTACCATTAACATTGGAAATTGGAACTATGGGCGCACATACCCGACCCATATCAGGCACCGCGGAGCAGGGGGGCTAGGGGGCTTTAGCAAAAAATGCCAAATATTAAGTATCAAACTACCAGAAAAGCCTCTTTTCATACGGTTTTAGCCCCCCCCCCACTTTTTAGACCCCCACTTTTCTCAACGCTTTTTCAATATTTGGTTTGGCCTACAGACAAAACCTAACATGGGCCGTACTTAATGCACACAATCTTATCGTCATCACAACAGTCAAGCAGTCCCGTCGGAACTGTGAGAGCCCCCCCCCCCTCCCCTCCTAATAATTGTCAAACTGTAATATATTTCCTTTATAACAGTGTAATAAGTGAGAAGGAATACAAAGGGCAGCGGCAACCCCTCCCACTAACCCCAACTAACCACCCCCCACTAACCCCCCCCATAACCCCCAACCCCCTCCCCACCGATAACGAACAATGCGACGGAATTTTCGATGTTATCCTCTGC